CTTCGACTACACCTAGCACGGGACTACGTAAAAGACTTGCGTTATATCAGTACAGATATCAATCTAGCGGATGGATTGACGAAACCACTTCCAGGAGAGAAGTATACTCAAATCTTCAAAGCTCCTTCAAGAAAAGCTAATGAAGTATTTGCGAAAGCTCATTTTGTTGATTTCAATAATCTCTAGGATTTATTGAGGCGAATTTCACAAGAATTCATCACATCAAAGATTTCTCGAGATGGTTTCAGGTCCATTCGGAAGGGGGAGTGTAGGTATGATCAAGAAACACGACCTAAATCGATCTTGACACACCGTCCCGCTCTGAGTGCAAAATTGAAATCACGATGTAAATCAAGATGAACTGATGATGATTCAAAATGAGGTCTAACCGAAATCACGATGTAAATTTGATGGTGACGATCAACGATTGTTGATCTGATTTTAGCGTATACTATGGCGATTCGAGACTGATTTTGAAGTACCCCAAAGCTTGAATGTTTACCCGCAGGCTGTGCGTTAGTACCATTCAGATTGATTGCAACTAGAAACGCCTTCAAACAGGGCCTATTTACACTTCACTCAAAGATGACCAGTGTTCAAATCGCCCGCGTTTCTTGCGTTGTTGATTGTCTTCCGACACATTTCCATTTATGTGGCTAGTCAAACAGGAAGACCTCGCAATTTTCGAAGTCCTTTTTTCATCTTGATGTCCTTTATTGAAAAATTTGTGCAAAGTGTGCAAATGCTTTCGCGATTTTTGGGCCTCAAAAAAATGCATTCAAGGGGGGGGCATAAACTAGGGTTAAGGGCACACCCAGAGCAGAGATTATTTGGGCCTCCGAAAGGTCGAGATGATCACTCCCGGAGACCCAACGCCCCCGCTCCTCACACTAGTGAAAAGCACTAATTAAGCCGCGCCCCAGTACCTTGCTCCAACATCTTCTTAAGCCGTTTTTTCATCTTGATGTCCTTTATTGAAAAATTTGTGCAACTTGATTTGCGCTCTGGTGCTGTTTTTCTCTTTACTACGGAGTGGCATCTACCATGCGCGTTGATGCTAATGCCAAAAAAAAAAATGCGTCTGACTAAAATAACTGAATGCAACAATGAAGTTCCACGCGAAGATGAAGTAGGCTGAGACTGTGCGCAGCTTTGGTCTTTTGCAGTGAGTGTATATGACTAGGCTGGTGACCTCCAGCACGAGTTGTTTTTTCATGTTCGGCTCTCACTGGGAGATCAGGAGGAAAATTTGAATTTCTGCATAGCAATTTGCTACGATGTGAAGATGGTCGGAAACTCTGAAAGTTGCTCTGTACTCGCATTTTGTTGCAGCCCGGGTGGTCGTTTTCAGAGTCACAATTATGATTCAGCTGTGTCTTTCTTGCTCGTCTTCTTCAAATGTCGTTGGAGAAACCGTACGTGTGGATTGCAGGAGGTACTGGAGGTGTTTCTCTTATTTCTTCTTCCCCTCTTCGTCATCCACCTCAGTGCAGGTGGAGCAGGTGGTGCTGTCGCTGCTTTTGACGGAGCATGTTCTTGGCGTGATGTCGTTATCTGCAGCCGAGCATAAGGTATTGTTTTTGTTCGTATTACTTTTTCCTTTTCCAATCTCGATCGTGTTTTCAATCTTTTCTCCCACCGCCGTTGACCTCGTTTTCCACACCAGGAACAAACACGTCAGCATTGGAATCCAGTACGAGTAGAGCGGATGCGGGTACCACGGAATTTCTGGGTCCGGGAGCCGCTGCTGGTTCCAACCAAGGAGCTGGTGTGTTTTATTTTTGTTTGGTGAGCGAGTAGATCACGCATGACAGAACAGGGGAAACACAGTGGCAATTTAGTATATTTCTGCAATTACATACAAGTAGAAACACACGACCTCCGAAGTAGTAACAAGCAGTACCGACGTCCACAGCGGAAACGATATATGCCACTGGATGTGCCACTGCGCGTATTTTTTCGGATTTGGTTCCACTCTTCGGTAATACCTCGACATCGCAAACGCGAAATACGCGTGCACCACTCCCATGATCCCGCAAAACCCGCTGAACAGGTCCAGAACTCGCTCGAACAACGCCACGTAGAGGTACAAGTAGCTCCCCAGCACCGCAAACACCGTGTCGACGAAGTGGCTCCAGTATCCTGTGCAAAAAGTATCGCACTCGTATAAATGCATTGCAAATTTCCTCAGCATGAGAAATAAAATTTGTAATGCAGATTTGCGGTGGAAACAAGATTTGTAATGCTAAGCTTGCACTTGTACGAGTACGATACTTTTGCACAGGATATCCAGCTCGGCCTTGCGAGCTCCAAATAGTCCGACCAGAAGGAGACCCAGGCCTGGAGGAACCAGTAGTACGGGGCGAGTTGGCAGAGGCCGAGGTGGTTCATGATGGGGAGTTTGCGGGCGATGAGCTCGGGATCGTTCCAGAAGAGGTAGATCAGCGCGTAGAACCAACAGGAAACGGCGTAGACGTAGTCCTTCTGGATCAGGGGGCGCCAGCTGGCCGGAACCCCGGACTTCTTCATGTCCTCCAGCGTCTGGAGGAAGGACATTTTGACGAAGAAGTAGGTGTTGATGTGGCGCGGGTTGTTATGAGCTACGTACTTTCTGGTCGTGCAGCTGCTCCTGCTGTAACTTAGAGTCTCTATGATGATCTAACTACGGGGGTAGTTTTACGGAAGGTCCAAGAACGCAGCTGCTAATGGTGGCCAGGGCCACATCTACAGCTTAGAAGACTTACTTAGACTCTCTTGTTGGGCAAAAAACGTCACACATAGGTAAAAGGTCACGGAGTGCAAATGCGGAAACGGACACCGATACGTGATGCAGAATAAATGAGGTCCTGGAGGAACAGAAATATTTGTGCTGGGTGAGGCGGGATGAGGCAAAAAGACTGACAAAAAGTTTACTTCTCGCTGAGACTACCAGACGCTCGCTCGCGGTCGCAATATGAAGGTTTCCTCGCACGAAGTAAGCAGACAAAACAGATCATCATCAACATGAATGAAAGCCTATCTCTCTTCATGACTTCTTCGTCTGAGCTCCTTTCGCTGTTGATAGCAAGGCTGCTCCTGCTCGTGTCCTCGGCTATCTAATCAATAGCTGACGGCCCCGATCCCGAACTCTGACAAATGGATACAAAAATAAAATAGACTTTATCAGACACGACAGCATGCGCCAACTACACTTGATGAAGATAGACGAAGAGCAGACGTCGTCGGGCCCCCTTCTATCTTCGATACGCGGCCGCATGCAGGGCGAGCAACTGAATGCGCCCGCTCGCACGCCCGCGGCGCGGCAAGGGTTGCAACGAGGCGGGGCGCCACCAAGGCGAACACACAACCAGGGCCGGCGGCCAAGGCAAACGACGCCGCGGCGCAGGCGCCAAGTCCGTAAGGAAGCGAACCCGCCCGGCCGCCGCCCGCGCGGCGCAAGGATGAAAGGCGGGCGCGCGCCACACACCCGCCTACCCCTACGGCCAAGCAACGGCGACGCACGTGGATGGGGGGGGCCCACGCTCGCAGCATGGCCCCAGGGCTTCTCGCTACTCGCGCGCCGCTGTCTCCAGGTAGGCCCTGAGAAAAAACAAAGCTGGAGGGCGCCCGCGCGGGCGCGCGTGCATGTTTGGGAAGGGGCCGCCCGGCACTCGTTTGCTTGCTTTTAATTTGCCGGCACCCGCGCCGCGGCCCGCCGCCTTGCCTTCCGGCTTGCGCGGGTTTCGCGCACCGTGGCCAGGTTCTGTAAATCACACACCGAGCACGGCGAAAGCCTGCGCCTGAAGCCCGGGCAGGGACAGGGCGCCGGGACGCTCGCCAAAGTTTCACCGCCACCCCGATGGCGGGCCGCCGGGCCACCACGGACAACCAGGCGCGCGGGCGCCCCGAAGAAAACGGCCGCCCTAGGCAACGGCGGGGAGCCATCCAATTCCGGGGGCCGGCTCGAAGCCTTTCCACCTTGCTGCGCCCGCTCCCTCCCGGCGCGGCGTTGGGCTTGCTACCTAGCAACAACCTCACCGGCCCGCCTTCGCGCGCGGGTCGCCGCCGGGGTCTCCTTTTCAAATCGTAGGCAGTTCAGGACGCATTCGAATCCGTTCCGGGGAAAACTCCCGCGCGTCGATTTGCAAAGCCTCCGCGGGACTTGCTGCGTTGCTTCGCGCGATCCACAGCGGCCGCGATCTCGGCCGCGCGCGCGACTTTGCGCCCGCGTCCCTCACTACGGCGCGGGCGCGCATAATCGCGCGGCGGGCAGGCGCGGGCCGCCCAATTACAGTTAGCCGGTGGCGCTGTGGCCGCGGGTGCTGGGCCAGTGGGTGCGTAGTCCCCTGTAGATGTCAACGACGCCTCCTGCTGAAGCGGCTTGTAACAAATACTCCTGCACTGCTGGACTCAGCCGAACACACTAGAGGAGGGCGTGATCGCGGGAAAGCCCTTCCCGGGTACGAGCTTGGACATCTTAGTAAGTACTTTTGTTCAGCTCTGTCAGTGTCGTCAGTAAAAATAGTGCGAAGTGGATATCGATATCGTCACAATTACGGACCACCTGTGAAGATATGAAACAAAGCTAAGTCATCAACTGACATCACGATCACCGTCGCATCATCTTCAAAAAAGCCATCCTCTCGTCTCCTCCTCGTCGTCCCATCTCACGCCGTCTCCTGTCCCACCTGCACTCGCGCTTCCATCATACTTCCCACCGCCCCGTACGGCCCTTTCCGCACATACAGCTCCAACATTTCCAATCCCTGTTCATCCAGCAATTGCCGGCACACTTCCGTCTTTTCCAACAAATTCTTCACAAACAAATGCTTCTCCACCCGCCCGTCGTGCGTCGTTTCCGAGCCGAAATCCAGCAGAATCTGCCTTATTTCGTCCGACTCAATCAGCATCCTCGCGCAGCTGAAGTCACAGGCGAGGTTCGCGAGTAACTGGTACAAAAACGGCCTTAATTCCGCATTCAAACTCTGTTTCGTCAATAACTCCAACGCCGGCCGGATCACGTGGGGGGCGATTTTCAGATTCGCTTTGGACTCTTGGTTTTTCTCCGTACTGGTCGTCGCAATGATCCAGGCGACCAACCCTGCTTTGCAGATTTCCGGATTCGTGGATTTCGCTATCGCCCCCTTCGCGAACTCCACCCAGTTTGACTCCACTACCGCGTTCTTCTGGCTATGGAAGCGTCAGGATCGAAATCATCAAAGTTGAAATAGTTTGTGATGCATAAAACCGATACCAGTCGGAAGCCCACTTATGAAGCGGCGCATGACAAATTTTCAGAGCACCGGAGTCCAATTTGTCGTGCTGTTTGGGCACAGAAGACCGCTTTTGTCGTGCTACTCTAGTAGCGCTATTCCAAACCCTAAACAGGCTCACAATCGGCATCACTTGCCTTCCCGGCAAGACAGGCGCTTCATGCTTTGCATTTTATGCATGGCAAATCATTTCAACTCTGTCGATTTCAAACCTGACGCTTCCATATTGGCTGTTGGGGAAGTGCACCTGAAACACCGCGCCGAACATTTTTAACAAGTATCCTGTGCAAAAGTATCGTACTCGTACTAATTGCAATCATGCATGACAAATCTTGTTTCTTAGCGAAATCAGCATTACAAATTCCATTTTTCCTTCTGGAAAAACTTGTATTGCGATTTATACTAGTACGATACTTTTGCAATGCATAACAAGCAGAGCTTCGCGATTTCGTTCGTGTTCGGGGCGGCGAGGAATTCTTCCACGTACTTTAGAATCAACTGCTCGTACAAATCGTTGAAATAGTTCTCCGGCTCTTGTTGTAAAATGAAGCAGCAGAAGAGCACGCACATTGGCGCGATCTTCGGGTCTAAGGAGAGTTGCATATTATCTCCCTCGGTCAGTTCTTGTTTGATCAAATTCGGCAGGTTTTCCGTTAGTAATAATTTGCGTCCGTATCTGCTCGTCCCCAACTGCTCAAATAGCTGCACCGCATTCAGCTTCAACAAGATATCCTCTGTGAAATACGCTTGGACTAGAAGTTGAAATGCGGACTTCGGCACTTCTACGTCCGCGGAAATCAAGTCCGCGACGAGTTGTAGATACCGGAATTTCTTCTCGTCATCCTCCGTTTGCGCGGACACGAGGAGGGAGAAGTCCTGCGAGTTGTGTTCTTCAGTATTGACTAGCTCCACTCGTTCTTTCACCCCAGTTTCGCAGAGCAATTTCGTCAATAAATTCGCCGTCTTCAAATCCTGCTTCAACATCCAGGCGAAGTTGTCGAATTTCAACAAATCGGCAGTGATGAGGTTGCTCCTCGCTTCGACAGCGGTGTCCCCATCTAACGACAGCAGTAATTCCAAAACCGGTTGAATCAGGTTTGCCTGCTCCTCAAATTTCTCCGCGGTGGCTCTGTTTCGCCCGGACGTTGATAGTGGTTTCCACAATTTCGTGACGAAGGTTGCGAATTTGTCCCAAAGCTGGCTGTACTGGAGCAGCCGTTTGAGAACTTGTAGTCGCTGGACGTCGGACAGGTGGTCTTTATTGTTGTTTTGGTTCTGTTGCGGCGTGGTGTCGGTGAGGTAGTTGAGAATGTGGGTGTTTTGGACCAATTCCATCGCGTTTTCGACTGTGTCCGGCGACCGGAGGAAGTCCGCCAGGGTGGACTCGCGGGGAGAGAGGGCGGACATGGTCTTTGGTGATTGGGAGTCTTTTGCTTTGTGGTCTTGTTGGGAATTCTTGGGAAAATGAAAGTGGTATACTCAGAAGAACTTCTAGATATTAACGCCAAGAAGAGCTCTTGTTGTTGATGTTCAACCCATCGTCGAATCCATGTTCGTGTGTACTGTCCTCTCGAAGTTGTTCAGTTCCATATACTTGGATTAGCTAGTGGATATGTTGGTGAACCGCCATCGTGAAATTCATTGTATCGATCCGGTCCATCGAGAAGTAGATCAAACATCAACAAGCCAAAGCTATTTCAGTTAAAATCGGATGTGGGAGGTATACATAGCCGAGGAGCTGCTGTTTGTTGTGATTTAGTGTTGGGGGCTCGAACATAAAGCGTTAATGTTGTTGATCGCAGGTACATTTCAAACTGTCTTCAGGCACAATTTCGGCCGTGGGGCTAGGGGTAGTGACAAAGCAAATCTTCATATTAAGTGATCATATTAAGCACGGTCGAAATACAGGGAGGAACATCACAACTATGGCAAACTGCCGCAACTTGTTTCGGAAAGAACTGCGCGAGCAAGTCACTTTTTCCAGTTACACGACACAGCAAGCAGACTGCTTGCTTTCCATCTATGGCAGCTGGCGAGCAGTCGTCGGACCAGATCATGCCCCCAACCCGCCTTCGGAGACCTACAAGTACGCTGCGCCACCAGCCACAACAAACGGCCTGGCGCGCGAGGCCGCATGCACGCTGGCACAGCCAAGAACAATAAGACACCACACGCCACACCACTAATGGCAGATGGGCAGGGCGGGAGTCAGTCTGTCACAAACACGGCCCGGCTGCGCTGGCGGGACGGGGAGCAAAACTGCACCAACACAGCCGCCGAAGCTAGCCAAGGCTGAGGCTGGCGGCCCACAGGCAGCCGCAGACCAGCGGGCGCGGACGCGGGGGGCGGAACCGAAGCGAAAACAACCGCCCCGCCCCCTCTCGGGGCGGCCGGGCCGGCGGGCCGCCCGAAGGCCCGCCCCCGGCCCTAGGAAGCCGGGGCGGGCGCGCGGGCTTCACACCATGCCGCCGGGGCTAGCAGGGGGGGCGGTAGCCGGCAGGGCGCGGGCCGCGTCTCCTCGAACTGATCGCGCGAATCAATTTGATTGCGCCGGGCCGGTGCGTGCCGGGTTTTTTGAAGGCTTCGCCAGGGCTTTGGCTCGCGTACGTGGCCGCCACTTCCGGCCGACCTGCCTCCCCGCGCCAAAGAGGGCGGCCGCCCCGCTAGGCCCGGCGCCAGTGCCCGCGGCGCGCCGCCCTACCGATGGCCCCCGCGGCGCGCGCGAAGGCGCGGCGGGGGCAGGGCGGAGCACGTGCGCAATCGCTTCGGCGGCGCAGCGATCCAAACAAGGGCGGCCCGGCGGCCAAGAAACCGGCGAAGCCCGAGCCCCGCGCGAGCTCGGAACCTCACGAAACCCCCCGCCCCCGCCCGCCAGCCCTTGGGGAAGGCCTCCGCCCTCCCGAGTCACAAAGCCGGCCGCCTCCGCCTGCGCTTCGTTCGGTCGGCGGCCCTCCTCCGGCTGCCCGCCCCACCGGAGCCACTGCGCCAGGCCTCGCCACAAGCCTGCGGCGGCTGGAAGACCACGCGCCGGCGCTGTCTTGGCATCGCCTACAGGTTTTCTGCTTCACATCTCACTGGAAGCCCGCCTGCGTCTCTTTGGTGTCCTCGAAAAAAAAGGAACACAACGAGAAGGACGGCGCGACGTTGTGCGCGTGCCTGTCGATCGGACGACGAGTCTCGGCGCTGCGGTTTTATTACCAGTGCGCTTCTACTAGCTCTAATGAATACCCATGTCGTCAACACTGGTGCACAGACAAGTCGCGGTTCTTCTTTTTCAACAACTCAATTCTTGTTTGTGTTTTTATTCTCAGTCAAACTTTCTGCATCTTGGACTGTCCTGTGGATTGGTAGAAGTATAAATTTCAGCGACTCCTGCGCCGGCGACGAGAGTAAAAACAAAAAAAACTCCCTGGCGAAAAAACAAAAAAGTAACTCATCCATCGGCCTCAAATACGCAGTCGAACTGCCGCCGGAGGTGCAGTGGAATAATTTGCAATTCGATAGCGCGTTCACGTTCTTCAACCGCATTGAGGAGAGCCGAAAAGTCGTTAAATTTCAAATGTGTCCGTACCGTTCTCGTATTGTAAGTAGGTGACGCACCACGCCGACGCATTCGCATCAATTGCTATGTGGCAAATAGGGCTGTCGACTGGCGGTGGCGCTGATTCGGTCTACATAACTGCTTTACCGGATCAAAACAAGAGCGCACCTTCGCCGGCGAAGCGACAAACTACAAAAAAGAAAAATTACAAAAACGTAGTTAAAGTACTTTGTATTTACTTGTACAGTACTTCTTGAAGAAAGACCTCCAGACATCAAGAGCAGTTACTTCCCCATCCTAGTTCTTCGTCCTCTAGGTCTATTGCGCCCGACTCACAAATTTCATTTCCTCCGACCCCACCGCTACGTGGTCGCAATACTGACAAATCCCGTCTACAATCCACGGCAGCACCTCCCTCTGCCCGTTTTCCGGGTAGCTGATGCAGTTGGTGTTCTTGCACGACAAAATTTCAACAAAGTTCGACGCTGCTCCTTTCTCCGAATCTTCCGGGGTGGTTGCCGTAGTCGCCGTGATTTTGCTCGAAGACGTTGAAGAAGCTGCTGGGGGACCGCAAACCTGCAGTTTCTCCCCGTCAAAACCCGTTTTCAACACTTTCCTCAGCCCCTCCTCCTGGTCAAACCATCCGCCCAGCAACCCGAGCAAAATCGTCCGCACAAAATACCCGTTCCTCGATTGCGCGTCCCACCCGTTCTATGGATTGCAAAAATGTCTGGGTCTGGAGTCTTGTGATGCAAGAAAGGGAATAGTGAACTCACTATAATGCGCTGTCAAGCATGACAAGTTTTTTTCATGGTTCTGAGTTGCTAGTCCGCATGAGAAACTACGTTTTCGCATGACAAGGAGGAGGAGCTCTTCGCGGCCATACAACACAGAGTTCAGAGTCATGCCAGACTAGCATGACAAATCTCGCAATCTCCCAGACCCAGACACTTTTACATTTGATACGTTCAAACTCGTGTTGTCGATGGAAAACGGGATCACCGGGTGCCGGCTGTCTATGGAAGTGTCAGGATTGAAATCGTCAAAGTTGAAATAACTTGTAATGCATAAAATCGATACTAGTTTGAAGCCCAATTTCCAAGCCGCGCACGACAAATTTCGGCACCGTCTAAATCCAGTTTGTCATGCTGTTTAGGGACAGGGGGCGTCTTTTGTCATGCTACTTCAGCAGCTCTATCGCAGACCCCAAACAGGCTGTCTCTCGGCCTCACTTGCCATCCCTGCAAGAGAGGCACTTCATGTCTTGCAATTTATGCATGGGAAATTGTTTCAACTTTGTCGATTTCGATCCTGACACATCCATACTGTCTCGCGGCAACGGGTGGAAGAATTTCATCTCGTTTTTTTCGAACAGTTGCTTGAAGCAGTCGAATTTCAAGTGGTGATCCGGGTTGAACGTCACCGCTTTCCGCAATTCCTTGCTCTTCTCCTGCACCTGCTGCGACATCCGCTCGAGCTGGAGTCTCGTGAAGTACCAGATCTTCGCGACCATTTTGGGGGAAGTGAGGTACTCGTCGAGGGACTGGAATTTGTTCACGCTGAAGCCGTTTTCCTTCATTTTCTTCTCGTATTGCTCGGGCATGGCAAGTTCCGGCGGGGCGATCAGGTCCACAGTGACGTTTGTGAAGACACGGAGTCCGTCGGCCTGTAGGTGAGCAAGTTCTGTGTAGTTTGTCATGCTGGTTCGTTGCCCGAGACAGCCGAAGAAAGTTTATCATGCACGATCGCACGTGCTACTTCTTGACATTGCATACACTAGTACCTTCGAGTGCGCTGTTCTCCCATGGTATAAGTCGCCGATCAGAGCCACGTGGATGCTCTCCGTGTTCCAATCCGCCCGTTCTAGAAAAGTGAATTCGTCTAGCAGCTCCTGCGTTGGGTGTTCGTGCTTGCCGTCTCCAGCGTTGATGAAAGACGCTCTTGGTATGTCATGGAGGGTGCAGAACCTGATAGTGAGAATGTCTTTTGATCATGCTGTAATTACATGGAACTGAGTCGTGATTTGTCATGCAGTTTCAGAACTACGCCATCAAAGCTTTATTCAATCGACCACCAGAACATAGTTATCTTGTACCGTTCCCCAATCTCGTACTCCAGCCATTTACAAACCCCTTCCAGCTTCGATCTGATGACGAACAACGTCTGTCCCTCGCTGTACCCCACCAGCATTTTCATGCAGTCCGTTATCGTCTCCCCCTTTGCGAACGAGCTCGTCGAGCAGTCAAAATCGTTAATTTTCAAATTTTCGTGAAACCCCGCGGCGTTGCGGAAGGATTCCTTGGTTCTTGTGGAATTCTCCATGAAGATCAAATACGCGCACTTCCGGTCGTCCCGGGAGAGTTTTTGTCTCTTTTTCATCCGCAGCTGCTCCTTGGTTTCCTCCACAGAGGAGGTTGGTAGTTGTGGTTCAGTTCCGTAGTTTTCGTTAGATTTAAAGGTTTGCTTCAGGAGTTTGGCTTTCTCGTACAGGAACTTCTGCTCCGCGATCGAGAAGTCCGAGATCTTTGAAAGCGTACGACCCTGCATCTTGTTGATTTGATTTTGCGATATCAACTATGTGCGCTTATTGCTTGTGCAGGCCAATGCAAAAAGCAAAGCCACTGCCGCCAGGGGGGCAGTGTGAGTGTCTTTCCTGGTGGGTCTGCGCAGTAAGTATGACCGCGCGCTTATCGTGTTTAATTGTATACATTGTCTGCCGACCCGGACGCAAGGCACAACAGGGGAGGAAGAGAAAGTGAAAGCTCAGGAACCCTGAGCCTGACGCAACAGGTTGCTGCGAACTTCTCTCTCCAGCATCTGTGCTGACGTTGCCTGCTCGCGCGATACTATGACGCAGTATGCCGGCCCGCGCGCGAAAACATATATCGCTAGGAGAAGCGATAGAGATCATAGCGCGTTGAGTCTGATTCACCGACAAGCCGTTCCAAAATCTGGTCCCCGTCAGACAGCAAAAATTGCCGAGATCGTGACAACTCATCGAGCAACAGTTCCAAAGCGGGCACTCCATCGCCCCGGAGTGTTGCAAACGCCCACTGCATGCGCGTCGACGCTGCTGGCTCAAGCACAAATATCTGACTGCCACGAAAGATTTACAAGGACGACACAGGGAAGCAAGGGCGGCGGAACACGCCACGGACTCTCTCCCTACCTTGCTGAAACGCCGTAGCGCGTCGCTTTGCGATCGAACACTCGCCCGAGGCTGCAATGAGTCGCAGGGCAGGCTGGCCACGACAACCAACACCCCCGACAATGCGGGGGACCCACGCGCGCTTTACTTGGCAGGCTGCGTGGAAATAGGCGGAACACCCCGCCAGTCCGCGCGCCGAACAAAACAAGGGGCCAAACTCACCGCCAATCAGGTGAAGTAGCTTGGCGGCCGCTGAAAGTCGGGCGCCCAACGAACACGCAGAGCCCATACAATGCACCGTCCCAAAAATGGGCCGCCCGGGCGGCCGGGCAACCGCCGCGCGCCTGCATGCTGAGGCGCCGGCGCCTCCCGGGCAGCGTGCGCGCACGGGCGCCAGACGAAAGGGGCAACAAGCCGGGGACCCGCCCCCCCCGGCGAAGGGAAGGAGAACGAAAAAAAGGCCGAGAAGCCCCAAGGGCCTCCAGGGCAGGCAGAAAAACACGCGCGCGATCGCTCGGACGGAAAGAGGGCCGGCGGCCGTCCGTGTGCCCTTTCTTTGTCGTGCGCCCAGTCGATCGATCCAGCTCCAACTCGCAATCTTCCGCCGACTTTCTTGCCGAAGGGGCTCGGCCCGTTTCGCCGGACGTTCGGGATTTTTCCTCAGCGGGGGCGCAAAACCACGCTGCCCCGGGCGCGCCGGGCCGCTACAGATACGGCGCGCCAAGCAGCGCACCGCGCGCCCGCACGCGCGGCGGGCGCAATGCGCCGGCGGGCCCGGCCCGCCGAAGGAGCGAGACGCCACAGCGCCGGACGCCCGTCATTGTATGTCGCGCCCCTCGGATCCGCAACAGGCAGGGGATGCCTGTACGTTCTCCACCGGCTCGGTGTCGCTTTGCCACATTTCGGGGCAGTACGCGTCCGAAGAAAATATCGCCGCCGGTGGTTTCGTGCTGTGCTCTCGATCTGACTGACCCCGGCCCTTGGCCGACCGCGCGCCTAATGCGTCCGTGCGTGTCCACACCGGTCCCGGCTCACTGTGCCCCTTCGCCGGCTTCCTGTCTTTGCTGCAACAAAAAAGCGCCATGCTGGCGCGGCGCGCGACCCCCCTGAAACCGGAGCAGGGGCCGGGGGGTGGGGGGTGCCCCGAGCGATTCCCGGGCCGAAGCTGCAACATGGGCAGAGGGGCGCCGACCGCCAGCCGCCGGCGGCCGAGTTCCAACGCGGCGCCCCATCGAACTACCTGGCACGGCGCCGCCGAGTTTTACATCGCGCCTGGCTGCCACGAGCTCGGGCGGCCTCCGCGGCTGCCTCTTGGATGACACTAGCGAAGCCAGCCGCCCCATAGAGACTTAAGGCACAAGAGGCCCGCGCGCGGCCTCTTTCGCAGGCCTCTTTCACACCAGTCGGCAGCTTCCGCGCGCTGCGCTGGTAGACCAATGATAACTACAAAGCCACCTCGGCGGCCACTCCCAGGGTGCAAAGCGAACAAAGTAACGCCGGGCGTCTGTCAGCCACGAGACTAGCACCAAGGCGCCGTTGTCTAAAAGCATTGCGCACTGCTAGTTTGTTCCTGTATGTTGGTGTACATCTGTTGTGCTTTTGCTTTAGTGTACAAGACGAAGACATTTCTGATACAGGTAGTACAGCATGCTGTTACTGTTTCTTCTACTCGTTGTATTTATAATATTTTTACTGTTCTTTCACTTTCCTTGACTTCCTCGTTTGACGAGGGAGTGTCGCTAGATTTTGCAAAGCATTTTGAAAAACAAAAAATAAACTAGAGACATTACCACACTTCTCACGACGACTGAGAAGATTGCCCAAATCAATCACGAGTATAATCAGCATGCATTTAGTTCGGACTAAGCTCGAAACTAGGAATGAGATGCGCTGTATTCTACTTCTCAACTTCCTTGTGGTTTTCTTCAAAAAAATGTAAATATCACGTTTTCTTGTAATCTCTTCTATATGCACAGTGCCTCTGTCTTTCTTCGCTACTCCACCCCTTTTGCTTTTCCCCACCAAATAGCATCATCCTTCGTTGCTCTACCGCGTCGGCAAGTTAACATCCGCGCTCTTGTCCTCGTTGTTGAACATTAACCTGACTCCCCCCGGTCCCAACTCCACTCCAAACGGCGTATGAAATGCAAAAGCATCGTACTAGTAGAAATCGCATTACAAATTTTCCCAGCATTAGAAAAAGAATTTGTAATGCGGATTTGCCTTAATCAAAAGATTTGTAATGCACGACTGCGATTACTACGAGTACGATACTTTTGCACAGAATACGGCGGCAATCCCAGCAACTGCCGGACCGTATCCCGGATCGCCACTCCCGCCCCGTTGTACGCACTCGCCTGCATCTCCATGGACTCGACCACAAACGCGCTCGCCGTTACGCACTGGTCGTTCACGTCGTCAAACTCGCAGTGCGCCCAGAGGTTACAGTACGTGTCCACAAACTTCGTCCCATCTGGGTTTGCTTCCGGGGCGGAGTTGCAGGAGTCCAGCTTCGGTCGGCACTGGGCGGCTATCAAATGCAAAAATGTCTGGGTCAGGAAAAGTGTAGACTTGTCATGCAAATTTTCCATGACCCTTGAGGTCTGCAGTGCGGGATTCGGCATGACAGACTCTGTGAAGTCTCTGCCATGCCTATCCTGCATGAAAAACTCCCTTCCAACTTGGTCAAAAGTGTACAGCTTTTGGCACTCATGCAACACAGATTTTTGCATGCTTCAGATTTACCATGACGAGTTGCAATCTTCCAGACCCAGACATTTTTGCAATACATAGCGGTTTCCAGATCAAACTCACACGCGTTCGGCCCGCCCTTGTAGCGGAGCGCCGCGAGGCAGGACTGCTCGGACCGGTGGAAGAACGCGAGCGTGCCGTTGTGGTGCCGTAACAAATCCCCTTCGCAAAACTGGGAATTATTCGGCATGTCCTCCCGCGGGACCCACCCTTCAAACGCCATTTTGTCTGCCTCGTATTGGGGAACCTGCGAAGCGAGGGTAACAGTTTTGCTGTCAACGTTGGGTGAAGTGGAGGATTGAGCGGCAGTTGTGGTGGTTAGGGATCCTGAAGAAGTCGTTGTTGCTGCTCCCGTACTACTTGTTCCTGGTGCTTGCCTCGCTAATCTTCCCCTCCTCTTCTGCATCTTCCTCATTTTGTCATTTTTCAACAGGATCAAGGACTCGTGCACCATGTCCGCGATTTCGTCGTTCCCCTCCACGCCTAATGCTCGGAGTTTCTCGTTGACAGAAGCCGCGTTATCCTCTTCTTCTATGTCGAAATCCACCTTTGCTTTTCGTTGGAGATTTTTCAAAAACTCGCTCCTCGTCTGCTCCCTCCTCTCCAACTGGATGAGTTGCTGTTGATGAAGTTCTATCCTATGCAAAAGTATCGCACTCGTAGTAGTCTCAGTCATGCATTACAAGTCGGTATTCCAAGCTAAACCAGCACGACAAATTTCGCTTGTCATACTTAATGCGATTTTTACATACTAGTACGATGCTTTTCTTGCAATGCACAAGTTCCTGGGGCAGTGGGAGAAACGTTCTCTCCTTGTGTGCCTGCTTCATATCAAATGCAAAAATGTCTGGGTCTGGAAGAATACAAACTTGTGATGCGCTTGCGCATTTCAGCACACAGAAAAATAAAAATCTCTGATGCATAGGTAGCAAAAGCTGCCCACTTGCACTTTCTGTCACCAAAGTGGGGGATTTGTCATGCGGATTCGGCATTGCGGAAGCTTTTCGAAACCTGTGATGCTAGAGCTTCCATGCCAGACCTTCTGTGTAATGCAAAAACAGCATGACTCTTCCAGACCCAGACATTTTTAAGTACATTTGATACTTCTCCTTCTGCAGTAAAATCATCCCCTCCGGACCTGTGTGTTTTTGATCCACGGTGTAGTCGAAGGTCGGGTGGAGGTTGAGAAGCTCGGATTCTTCGGGAAAAGAGACGGCGATGGAGGACTGTTGGGCCGCTTTATTGTGGGAGAAAATATGCCGGAACTTTTTGGTCAGAGAAGTAGGCAACCCCTGCTTGTGAAACAGTGGTCCTTCCGAAACCGCTCGGATGACGGCTTTGCCGGAGACGAGGGTGGAGGGGGAGGGGGAAGTGGTCCAGAAGAGGTTTAATACGCCGAGGAAGAGTGGCATTCCTAGTACTGCTGTGCCACCACAGGTTCCAAGAGGCATATCGCCAGCTGCTGATACTGCTAACGCGCCGGCATGTGGCCTCGGAAGGCGGCCACGCCGTCCCCGGCGCTTCATCGTTTGCTTTGCCAAGTCAGCCTACGTCGAATGAAATCGATGGATGAACAAGAAAATGGGAAGTTCAAATCAGCAACTGACTCAGTTGCTGAGCTCACGCGCCTACTTCGCTTCTCGCGCAAGGACATGCACTCACAAGACGACAGCTTAATTCTCTCGTGCTTATGATCCAGACAAACACTAAGCGCGTTGCAACATCGTGTTGCTCTGACATACATCATGGTCCACCACAACAAAGAAAAGGAAGGAACACTAAACGGAGGCCAGGCGTGGGCGCTTGTAAAAGGATCAAAGGCGCCACTGCAGCATGACGCTCAAGAACTGTTGGCGGCGCGCTGCGAAGATCGCCCGGGCAGCCGTTGCGCCGCGGCTACCTCTGAAAACGTACTGCAAGTCCGCGCGGAGACCAGACCCTGCCTCCCACCCGGCCGCCCTGGGCCTGCAGGGGCGGGGCCCATCGATCCGGGGCGGCCCGGGGGAAGCGGCGCGGCCGGCGGGCTGCCCTGCGAGGACGGAAGGTGGCCCGCCAACAGGTTTCGAGACTTCGCAGAGGGGGGCAACAATAAGGCACCAGCGCAAACACCGCCCCCCCCTTGGGGCCCTGGGTTGCTGCTTATCCGCCCGCCGGGGCGCGCCGTCTCGCTTACGCGGGGCGCCTACGCCGGCAGGCGCCACAGAGGGGCGGAGGGGGCAAACAAAATAAAGGGCGCCGGGCGGCCGCTCTGTCTTCAGCCGGTACATGTGTCCGAATGCTAGGCGGCGCGCGCCGCCTCCGGCAGGTGTTGGTCGGTAGCGTTATGCAATCTCGAACGTGATCTCCGACGTGGGGCGCCCGACCGGCATCGGCCAGAGCTGGAGCCGGCGGCGCGCAAACTTTCTCGGCCGGCTGGGGATCATGTCTCAGGGCCCGCCATCCGAAACAAAACCTGGGCCGGTCGTCCCACGGTCGACGCTAGCCCCAACTGTGTTCGACACGCGGAAACTACAGATAGGCCTGCCTCAAGAGAACGCGGGGGCATGGCTCTCCAACATTTTACTCCTCCACAGAGGGCAAGAGGCTGCCGCATCTTCTTCAAAGCCAAAGATTAGACAGAGGCTGCCTCTAATGAAGAGTATCTCGGTTGTCATCTCAACAAAACAAGCAATCCCAGAAGATCATCTCGTCACAGAGCAACAAGTAAGTAACAAGCCACTTGTTGTTCTCGGTCACACCAGGATGAGGATCTCTCGCTTCTCATTCTCTCTAGTGATTAGGTGGGTGATGTTGCTAGGATTTGCTTCACTCTTGAACTTCAACTTGAATGTGTCCTCTCCTGCTACTTGTATCCAAACACAACAAGAAGAGAGTGGTGCATGCTAGCGATAGCGTCCGCTACACCTCCGCAACGTGTGGCAGTTTAGAGCAGCAATAGCTGTAGCTCCGTCTTCCATCCATATTTTTGTTGCTCAGCACGAGCAGCACTCAGTAGTGTACAGTTCGCTATTTAGCCAATACGTGAGTACAGTTTTTTCTCAGCATGCTTTCTAATCACATTGTTCTGTTCTTTTCGCTCTCACATTCTTGCGAAAAGATATATTCATTTCAGTTGGTACAATGGACAAAATTGGTCTAGGAGGACCTCTTTCAATTGGGGTTGTTCGTCGTGTTCCTACTTGCGCTTAGATTCATCCACTACTGAGACCCTCCAGTGGGTAAGCGCAAATTTTACGTCTAGATCCTAGCATACAGTTGCAAGATAGCAAAAGATAATTTTTTCTCGTTGTTAAAGGATAAGAAAACAAGAAGCCATTGAACAAGATAAAAGATGTAAAACAGATGTAAAGCAAGTTGTTGTGACACACAGTAACAGTATGGAGAAAGTAACTTTTGGCGGTCCGGTCCTACATGTGAGTCCATCAGAATGACAGGAAGCTCACAGCTACTAGACCCCGTGTCGCATATATTTTAATTTTAATTCTTCGTGACAGACGTTTAGATAAATTCGAATTGTGATAAAGTTGTAAGCAAAGTTAAAGTTAAACCATAAACCAGTTTAAAAGTTTTGTTGAGTGCATAGCTGCACCTGTGCTTGTGCACGGTGTCTGCGGATGACTCTAAAGTCTGCCAGAAACAGACACGTGTGTTGTCGGCTTTTTTGTCTTTCTCAATTGTCCTGGAGGAGAAATGCTGAGAGCAGTCCAAGAATCTAATCTCAGGCCGTGTATTAAATGAGTTGTGCGCTGCTCGCCTTTTTGGAGGTGGAAGAAGTTGAATTATTCGCTTGTCGCACTCCATCAGCACTATTGGTGCCAACTACATCAGTTCATCTTCACTTCTTCTTTTTCTTCTTCACGGCGTCCTTCTTCTTCTCGCCGGACGTCGGTTCCGAGGGTTATCCTCTGCAAAAAACCGCCACAACTACTCCTTGACATGATGTTGAATTTGCAATGCGGTTTTGATCACAAGAACGGCAGCTCTTACATCATCTCTCGCTCAGTGGAAACACGCAGCTAAGCCTTCAATCATGTACAACCATGCGCAAGCGCATCACAAATTCATGCTTCGTCATGTTAGAGCAGAATCTGTGCGCCGGTTTTTTACAAGTCCGATAACCCATCATCAGTGGATTTTTTCGAGTCATCTTCCGATTCTTCGCTGCCGGCGGGTCCGGCGAGCACGTTCACTTTTTTTTTCTTCCCGTCCTTTTCGGGTGCCCGTTTCCGCCCAGTGGGGGTCACAGACCGGTCCTTGGTCTTCGCTTTATCCGCGTTCCCGAGGATATCCACTTTGCCCTTCTTCCCGGCTTTCTTGACGGCGGCCTTGTCCGCAGTGCTGTCCGGCTGGTTGGAATCATCCGAGGTGTTAGCCGATCCCGGGTATGGATGGAAAAAGCATAAGCATTGCGCGGGCATATTAGACAGCATGATCATGTCTTCATGAAGATTCATCAACGCGGACGCAGTATGAAAAAAACAATACACATACTAACTGTAGTAGCTCTATCTCCATGGGTGCGGTATCAAAATTCCAATATTGATTGAGAAGTTTGTCATGCGTGTTGCTGTTGTCCTACACGGTGCTTGTTTTCCCTTCAATACCGCTTCGTCCTTCTTCTTCTTGTCCTTTTTCCCCTTGTCCTTCGCCTTGTCGTCTTTCTTTTTCTCTCCTTTCTTCGCCGGCTTTTTCTTCGCCGCACCCGACTCCGGTTGTGACAGTGCACAACTCCCCCTGCTCCCCAGAATTTGTCATGCAAAATCGCAATCCTTCCAGTCGCTCCCACGTGGCACTGTTTGCATGACAAATTTCGGAAGAACCCTAAACAGTTGTACTACAGCAAGTGCATAAAAAAATTGTCATGCGCAGGCTCCAGGGTCGCTGGCGGTTGTATTGCCGCTCATGCAATACAAATGAGGGGGAGGGCGGGGAGTTGTGCACTGTCATACCGGTTGTGAATGGGGTTTCCCGTCGCTGTCGTCGTCCTGCACTGTGTAGCGGTCTCGCGAATCCAACGCGTTCATGACGATCATGGTGTCGCTATCCTGAGTAAAACCGCCCCTACACCAGACGAGTCAAAATGGGAAATCTGCTAGACAAATCGACCAGCTTTGGTTGTTTCGCATGACAAGTTCGTCCTCGTAGTGCAGTCCTGTTAGTTCAGCTAGTTCAGCAGCATCGCAGATCTATCATATCATGCTATTTCTCGCATCACAGATCGATCCCAAAACACGACTAGAGAAATCTTCTCATGGGGTTTCGCACGAGAAACTTTTTTGGCATGCAGATTTGCATGACAACTCTGGGGTGGGGATGTTTTTCCTCAGAATAGTCGTCGGGTTTCATGCTATCGGAGACCGGGTGGGCCGCGGACGAATCGCGTTTCAACTCCGCAAGGTCCGCTATGGGGGAATTCGACTGCACGGAAGACGGCGCGGAGCTGGGTGCGCTGCCGGGAGAACCGGGCTGCTTGTTCGAACCGAGTTTCGAGCCGAGTTTAGATCCGATTTTGGACTGCGACTGCACTTGTTGTCCTTTGTAGGAGGCCATGGCCTTACTCGTCGGGCTGTACTCGCTTTGCTCGCTGGCTTCGGACCCGTCTGTGCCAACACCGGACTTGGCGCTCGCCAGGTCTATCCCCGTAACTTCCTTTACGGCCCTACTCGGGATGGGTGTGGAGCTGGGCATGCCCGCGCTATGGATGGACACTCATCCGTTGCGGTACCATCGCGAGTTCGATCATGATCGGAAAATGGGCTCGTTCAATAGTGCCGGGAGCCGCGCGCAATCACGATGCCACAGCCACCGACATCGAGCTAGATCCGTGGGGGCGACACATGGCGCCGAATGGTTTCGCACACCGGGCGAGTAAGTCCGACGCCGCCGGACCGGCCCCACAAGCCCAGGCAATTTGCAATGCGGGCTGGCTGTTGCGTCTAACTAATCGCACCTGGGTGGGGTGGGCACACGGCCACGCAAGCTAGGCGCAAACCCCAAACGCTGCGCCCCCAATCTCAAAACTAGCTACCAGAACCAGCGAAGCCACCACCACAGGCACACCCATGGAGACTGCCCATTGCCGCATCGCAGGCAAGGGGCCGACTACACCTACGCCGCGCGGTGCTGCTGCAACGCCCACGCCGCTGCGAAGCTGCACGCGTGGCCAACGCAACAGCTCCGGCGCCCTCGGCCCCGTTCGAGCATGCTGCCCGTGTGTGGAGAGCGCGGGCAGCCGGCGCAAGGCACAGAAAAAGGCAGGCGGGCGCTGCGCCCCTGTGTGTGGTCTGCCGCTGGCTGGATGCGGCCGGCCTGGCAAGCCGCTGCGGTGGCAGCCCGATTCATGGCGCGGACTGCTCGTCGCGCGGGCATGGGCCTGCGGGATAAAGGGGGGGCGGCAAAATGGCTGTAGTCCCGCCCCCTTCCGGCGATGGAGGGCGGGCTCTGCGGCGCTGGCTGAGCGTTGGTCGGCGCTAGGCACGGCCGCCAGGCACGCATGACGAAGATCCCCAGCCCCAGGCGCAGACTGCGCGGTGAGTGCAGGCCCGCCATTTTGCGCAGCTGGTCACTGCGCGGCCTCCTGGCAAATATTGCGGCGCGCCACCGCCAGAGGACCCTCTCCAGAGAAAGCGAGGCAATCGGGTCCGGCGGGTTTTTCCTCGCCACATTTCGCGATCTGATCGGAGAAACAGCTGCTGCGCAGGTGTTTCTCCGAAGAAACACCTGCACAGCAGCTGTTTCTCCGCTCTGATCGCAAAGTCGGCACTTCGCGAGCCCGAGAAACGGGCCGCGCGAAAACAAAAAATTTTTCGGGCCTGCCATGGAAGGGGCGCGGGCGCGGAGCGTTTTTCCTTTCTGGGCACGCCAGGGAGGGGCTTGGGGAACAGGCGTCGAGCGACCCGGGAAAAACCGCTCTGGGCGGCCCCAAAAGAAGGCGAACCCCCAAGACGCAGCTACGCCTGTGACAACGGGCAGGGGTTGGCGGGGGCGCGAGTCTGATCAACGCACGCTGCCACCGCCAAAGCTTGCTCGCACCCAGCTCGTTAGCCGGAGCAGGCCAGAAAGAGCCACCCGGGCCGCAGAGCTCCGTCCGGAGGTCCGGCCCCGCGGAGGAACCGGCCCGCCGAGGGCTTTTTGTCAGCTGCCTTGCTACCCGGGCACGCATACCAAAATAAAAATCGCACAGGCCGGCGCACAGGCCAACGGCGCCGACGCTTCACAGAGGGTCGCCGTGTGTGCGCGGGGCTCTGCAGCGCCTGCGTGGACGCACAAATAAATTTCCGCGGCCGGCCGAGCCGGCGCTGGCAACACAGGCCTCGCCCTTCTTTCAAGAGAAACATGGCCACTGCGCTCCGGCTTGTTGAGGCCCGCTAGCGATGCAACGCCCAACGGTTCCAGGCATTTTAGAAACGCCCGCCCGTACTTGGGCTGCCGGACTGCGCCCTTCCGGGGCGGAAGGGCGCCAACGCTGCGAGCCGGGCTAACCTTTATCCGCGTGTCTGGGGGCAAGACGCGCAACGCCTGCCTCACCACGAAAAAGCGGCGGCCTGTCAGCTACTGAGAGTGCGCCACTGGTGGCCGCGCGATGATACAAAAACCCACAAACAGAACGCCACCGTCGCGATTCGTCGCCCTTTTTTGCTATGTTTTTCGCTCATGATCGCAACATTTTTTCGATCATGATCGAAGTCGCGATGGTACCGCAGCGGTATTGTGTCCGTCCATAGCCCGCGCTCGCGGACTTCATACCCGACTTGTTGACTGAGCCCGACCCGTCCTTGGTGTAGTCGATGTTAACAGAAGGCTTCACGCCCTCCGAAGCCGTGCTCTTCGCGCCGCCGGTGCCGCCGTCCCCCGCTCCGGGGGATGCCTGCTCGTCGCCACCGGCCCCGTCGGCTGCCTCGCCGCTCTCCCCGGTGCCCCCGTCCTTGTCGGAGGTGGCGGCGGCAGGGGTGGTTTCCGTCGTGGTCACCTTGGACGCCTTCGAGGGCTTTGCGGTGGTGCGCTTCGTCCCGCGCAGCATCTCCTGGCCGCCGGGGAGCACGAAAAACCAGACGACAACGAACCCGATAAGGAGCAGCACCACTGCGGAAACCACTAACACGATGATGGCGATGCAGGTGATATTGGAGGTCTTCGGAGCCGCTGTGGTGGTGGTCGTTTCCTCGGTGTTCTCATCTTCTTCGTCACCGAACTATCCTGTGCAAAAGTATCGCACTCGTACTGATTGCGCATATGCATGACAAATGTTTTTCCTGAGGAAAAGCAGCATTACAAATTCCACCTTCCTTCTTGCCAAAATTTGTGATGCAATTTATACTAGTACGATGCTTGTTTTGCATTGCATACGAACATGTACTGTGCCATTTCCGATGCCTTTTCTGACGAGTAATCCACTCCCGCCTGCGCCACTGCTTTCGCCTTGTCCCACAGACTCTGTCCCTCGCCCTCTGCTTCCTGCGTCTGACTCGACGCCATGATTTTTGCGCCCGCCTCTTCCTTGGCGGCCTGGCTCGCTCCTCCCATGGCTGCGTGTTCACTAGAGAAAATGACATGGGAGTGCTCCTGCAGCGTATGTGTCGCCGTGGCGGAACTGTGGACTTTGATTTTTGCACCCAGCTGAAGGGTGGAGGAAGGATCGGCGTTCTTTTTCGCAGAAGTCGTCTTCATCTCGGTGGAAGAAGTTTTTGTTTTACGATTGTCAACATCTACAAATCCAGCGTTACTATCGTTGTTCGTCATTCCCTCTTCTGCTACTGCTACTGTTCGCCCTGCTTCATTCTTTCGTGGTTCCTGCCCAGGACTTCTGTCCCGCTGCAGGCGCTCGACGTCCGGAGATGATGAGACCCCGGGACTTCTAAGTTTGCTTGTGTCGTCCCTCCCAGTCGCGGTTGAGTCAAGTTCTTGCTCTTCGGGTTGTCCGTCGTAATTATTTTCAACATCATCTGCCTCATCCTCGTTCGGAGACAGCGGTTCTTCTGCATCTTCAGGAACTTCTTCCTGAAGATCTTCCCGTTCTCCGGGCGGTATTTGATCCGGGTCCTCGCCAGGAGCATCTACTTCGCTTTTTCTCCCAGTGGCTGATGAAGCTCCATCCGCATTTGCACTTCCTGCTCCTGCTGGTGGTTTCAAAATTTTTCTGTCGATTCGTTTTCGCTTCTGGATGACTTGAAAACCGAGCACCTCACCGAGGAGCTGGAGTTGATGTCGGGAGTTTGTCATGCTACTTCTGCCACAAGGATTTTCGTAGAAATTGTACAGCAGAAGCAGGAAGTAGGAAGATGTCATCCACCTGCGCAAGAGAAATTTCGCGGGTCGCGACATCTTGTTTCGTTTGGTTTTGATAAAGAAATTCACCCTTATCTCAGTGTTTTCAACATCTTTTTGATCAGTCTACGATCTCCCGCTATTGCGGAGGGGTGTTGATATTACGTATTCACAAAAATTGATAGCGTGGTGAAGAGTCCATCGCGTCAAAGTTGCAGCGACTCTGGTGCTAACGACGTCATCTTCACCCTGCCGATCCTAGAAGTTTTGTTTGAAAAGTCTTTTTGGTCCGCCTATGTTCAAGTTGGAAAAGACCGTGTCATGATGTTGCAAACGCTGTAGCCTCATCCTGTACGACGCCGAAATAGGTATATCGAAGAGCGCTTCCTGTGAAAGTGAGGACAAATTACTTCGTGACGAAGAGCTGACGATGACTACGATCTAGACGAAGCATCCCAAAGATTCGTCGGGAGCTGGTCTCTCTTTCAGAGCGAGCTGCACAATATGGTCGATTTTGTTAACACGACCGCAAATTACGACCAAAACAACCCGAGCTGTTGCAAAACCGATTCGTTTCGACATGTTCGATCTTCCTACGCCCTAATACGAAACCCCTAAATAAAACGATTCGACGACATCGACTGTGGCCTTTGACGAACGGGGAAACTACAAGATTTTGACGGTTACAACTCTGGTATCCATATCATGGCGCGAACACGATCATTTCGCGTGGCATAAATGAACAGAACTACCTCTTTCCTGCCGAATCATAACAATAAGCTTCGAGCTGTTTCCGATATTTCGTTTTCAAAAGTCTACTCAAAATTGTGTACAGGTTCTGGAAATTTTCTTTCGGATATTGTACAATTTTGATTTTCATTTTGTATAGATGAGATGCGACTAAGGCATCAATCTCAATGACTAATAACAATGCGTCATGGATGAAAACTTCGAATTGTCAACAAATAAATGCTCCATCAGATAATTTTTCAGGTATCAGGATAAAATTGCAATAAAACCTTACTTCAATCAACTACCTGCAACAGCCAGGAAGGCTGGCGAGGTAGAGAACTTTCTTTGTCATATGCTATTCACGAGTAAAAATGTCTTCAAAATAAATCAATGCAATACAAAAACGTCGATGATTAACTTTAACAAGATGAAGCCTAATATCACTTTTGGCTCTCATGCTGATGTCCAAACAAAAAATCTCAAAAGGCATACATCTCGACAAATTGCAAATTTAGATTGGAATTTCTGGTCACGATGAAATGAATGAAAACGACAAGATCAAGAAGTTGAGCAAGATAAAAAGGTTTGAAATTTGTAGGTTACGAAACCACACCAGGACGAGGTCTGCCGCCCCATTTAGCTCTCACACTCCACTTGATCCCTTCTTGCTCATGATACCTCCCGCTGCGAAATTTTCCAACGGGCGCACGGTCTCGATGTTTTGACGCCGGTCGTGTAATGATCTTTGCGGACCACGATATGAACAGTGAACTTATCCCTAGTACACGTTCGCGCACAGCAATAGCTCGTGTTCTTGCATGAGAATTCCGCCATGGACCGGTTTTTTTTAACATGACAAGCACAACAAGTGTCGGCCCCCGCTTGCAATCTGTCATGCATTTGTTCGTACGTGGTGTACGGGAAATAATTAATTTGTAGTGCATAGATGCCGCGACGCCATCAGGAGGTTATTCTCTTCCTCGTCATCCCCGGCTTCCTCCTCAAAGCTGGTATCCGTAGATTCCCCCTCCCCTGTATGGAAGCGTCAGGATGGAAATCGTCAAAGTTGAAATAACTTGTAATGCATAAAATACTAGACGCAAAGTACCTGTCTTGCAGAGCAGGCAACTGAGGCCGATTATAAGCGTGTTTCGGGTGTGAGATAGGGCTGCTAAAATAGCATGGAAAAAGCAGTCTTCTCTGCTCAAACAGCATGACAAATTGCATTTCCATGCTGCCAAAATTTGTCATGCGCCACTTGCAAACTGGGCTCCAGGTCCAGCTGGTATCGCTTTTTTGCATTACAGATTATTTCAACTTTGACGGTTTCAATCCTGACGCTTCCAAACCCTGCTGGCGCTGGTGCAGCTCCAGCTCCTTTCTTCTTACTTGCTGTTCCTTTCTTCTTGTGACTGCTAGTAGCCCCAGTTTTTTTCTTCTCACCTGTAGTTTTCTTTTTCAACTTCTTTTCTCCGGAGGTTGCTGCGTCCTTTTTTTTCTTCTTCTTTTTCGCCGCTTCGCCATCCGAGTGTTTGTTCGTTTGATCTGACTGCTCTTTCTCAGTGCTAGTAGGCGAGGACACGTTAGAAGTACCCCCGGAGGTGTCATGCGATACGTCGCTGACGTCCGTTGCGTGACTGAGATCCGACTTGATTTTCGTGGACTTGCCCTTTTTGCTGCTCGCCTCCGTGTTGACGGAGCTGAGAGCAGACGCAGCGCTGCCGGCCGGTATTGAACTTGCGCCGGTTGCGTCCGTTTTCTGAGAGGAGGTTATGTGTGCTGTGTCGGCGGAAATAATTACCTCGCCTTGTTCTTCGCCCGGTTGGGTAGCACCGCTGTCTCCTGCGTGGCCGTCCCCCTCGTGACCGTGGCCGTCCTGGCTCTGCAACTTCTCCGCGCCCATTATGAAGTTCTCAAATGTTACATTCTCAAATGTTACAGCACGAATTTGAGATGCAAGAATGGCAGAAATGAAACTGAAAGGGGGAAGACGAAGATTTTTGCACCTCTTGCATTACAGGTTTGGCACAGAATATTCTAGTTGTAAAAATGCTATCTAGCGCGTCGAGAACTTGTCATGCGCAGCAGCTTGATCATGTAGATACTGCTCCTGGTGGCAATTTTGCATGGCAAATCCATGCAACAGTTGAGAATATAATGCTTGAGAGTTGTCCCATACCCTTCTTCTTGTAGGCGTGCACGTCCACCGCCCCATGCGAACTACCGTGGTCGAAGTCGTGAGAGCCAACGTGTAGTGCGCAAAAGCATCTTCCCATAGTGGCCGTATAATTGCAATCTTGCATGACAAAAATGCAATCTTGCATGACAAAATAAATTATGGCCTTCTAGTCGTACCTGATTCAGTGGCATATTTCCCAAGACAAACTCAAGAAACTTCACGTTTCCTTCGGAAAAGATTGAGACTGATGCAGTGCATAATTTCGACTCGCACTAATTCGAAGGACTTTTGCTGCACCAGTGCATACCAAATCCACTTTCACCGCTTTGTCGACTTCGCCGCCCTGGCTCGTCCGGATCTCGGACTTCTTCATTGATTTCTTCTCCGCAGCCGAGCCGCGTGCCGCCGTTCCCGAAGCGTTTATCTTTGAGGCTTTTGACGTAGGTTCTTTCTTCTCCTCGTCCTTTTCTCCTCCTGCACAAGTTAGACAATAAATGATCAAGGCAATCAACACTATCAACAGAACCGCTCCGCCACAGATGATATAAAACAGCATCGATGGAACCCCCGCGATCGTTCCTTCGTCCGCTTCACTTGTGGTGTTTTTGCCGTCGTCGAGCAGAGTTTCGCCGCTTTGACCTTGCCCAGTGATATTCCCTGGGATCGTTGTAGTTGGGGTGTCGTCGTTGCCAATGATGTGCTTGTCCTGCTCCGTAACCCAAACGCATTCGTACTCGTAGAGGGTTGCGTCCGTGATCAAATCTGCGTACGGAAACGCCTGTGCCTGCGCGCACAACTCCTCCGCATTTTCGTCGTTCTTTTTACAACACGCAGCGACTTTCCCGTCATTCGCCGCAGTTCCCCCGTGCTTCGTACCACAATGGTCTTCGCACAAACCCTGTTTGTCACCACAGGCTCCCTTACAGCTCGGTTCTTGCACCCAAGCCGGGATCGCGACGCAGGAGTGGTAGGGCTCGAAGGTGGTCGGGGATGAGGTGATTTCGGTTTTGTATTTCTTCGACAAAAAATTATCCGCTGGCAGGTTGCTGATTTTGTTCAGCACCAAGCACTCGCGCCGGGGGCCGGAAAACCCGAATTCCGGTGTAATAGTTACAGTACCACTACTGTCGGCGCTGTTAGTAACTTCGTACTTGCAGCAACCGCCGATGTAATTATTGTCCGCGGGTTGTTCGGTAATCAAGCAATGATCGTTGCAGAACCTGGGCACGGAATCCGGATCCGTCTCCCAGCCGCCACTCGCTCCCTCGAAGCAGGGCGTCTCGCATTCCTGTGTGCGATTGTGAACACTGCAGTCGGGGCAGGAAATCAAAATGTTCTCCGTTCCGCCGGTTTCGTCTTCCTGCAGCGTTGTGGTCGTCGTTTCAGACGTAACGTACACACACTCGTGCTTCCAAAACGCCGGATCCGAGATATCCTCCGCGCGCAACCCGACCGCCCGGCTGCAGACGCTGGTGCTAGTAGTAGCATTTCCATCGTCCTCCGAAGTTGCCCCTGTGGTCGTGTAGTTTTCGCCTTTCTTGCAACAGCCAATGTCCGCCGGAATGCCTTCTGGGTCGAGCACCTTTCCGCTACTCTCGTCCCAGGTGTACCCCGGCTTTTGCAATATAGCCTCCGTTGCGGGCGGATTGCAATACTCGTTGCAGACGCCGGTCGTGGAGTTGCCGCAACTTTCCGTTCCGCTGCAGTTCGCCTCCATGTAGTCCTCGAGCCACACCGGCATGATGACGCACGATTTGTAGTAGTCATTCGCAGTGATGGATCCGTTTAGCGTTTTCCTCCCGATCTCCTTCAGAAACGACCCCACCAAATAGTCCGTCCTCTTCTCCCACACAGTCAGGAAGTTGAGAACTTCGCACTCTTGTGGTCCGGAAAACTGCCCCAGCGGGTCTACGGTGGTGAAATTGCTCCACATGCAGCATCCCCCCATGTAGTTCTCATCCGCCGGCTTGCACTTCTCCGGACAGAACGCCGTCGTGTCTGCGTTCGGACACTCCATTCCGTATGGAAGCGGAGGGACTGAAATCGTCAAAGTTGAAATAGTTTCAGTCTGTGATGCATAAAATGAAATCCACAAAATGCCTGTCTTGCAGAGTAGGCAAGGGAGGCAGATTGTAAGCCTGTTGAGGGGTAGAAGTAGAGCTGCTAAAGTAGCATGACAGAGGCGTCTTCCTTACCCGAACAGCATTACAAACTGGATTTCGGCTCTACCCGAATTTGTCATGCGCAACTTGAAACCTTGGGGCCAACTGATATCCGTTTTATGCATCACATATTATTTCAACTTTGTCGATTTCGATGCTGACACCCACGTATTCCGCATTCCATGGGACGCACTTGGACGGCGTCCGCAGCCACGGAGATGCCGCGGAGATCGGGGGTGATGGCATTGGTGCCGGTTTTGAGCGTTTCCGTGTTCACAAACCCATAGTGGTCGCTGACTCGTCGCGCAATCACCCCGGTAATCACCCCGCTCTCCACCTTCTCACACACCTCCGGCGTGATGCCCGCCACCGCGGCTCCCTCTGCCTTCAGACAGGCCGCTTTCGCCGCTCTCGTTGCGCACACGTTGGAGTAGAACAAGCCGTTGCCGTTGTCGACCTCGTCGATAGACCCCTTTTTGTTGTTCGCGGCCTTCGGCCAGCAGTGGTAGGGCAGGGGTACTTCTGGGTTGACGTGCCTCATGCTGTAATGTTGCGAGCCATAGCTGTACATCACACAATCGTCGCCGAGGAAGTCGCAGATCATTTTGCACACCCAACCGAATTCCACTTTTAAATTTTCTGGCGCTTCGTCGGACTCGTCCGAGGCAACGTCCTGCTGCAACTTCGGAAGTGGCAAAGCGGCCGCTCTTGTGTAGAACTGTTTCAGAAAGTCTATCCTGTCTTCCGCCAGCGAACCGTCTTCCAACGGACCGCGCAAATTCACATTTATCCAGTCAACGGCGGCTTTGCACTTCTGCCCTGCGGCTGACACCTCTGCTTCATTCATGGTCCCGTCTACCCCCATCACATTCACGTTATAATTTTCAGCAGCAATTTATGCAACGTAAATTTCCTGCACATGTACAAAATGCATGACAAATTTCGCTAACTTGCAGTGTCGAACTTGTCATGCTACACTAGGATCGAAGGCAAGTTTTGTCATGCAGAGACTGCACTTGTACGTGTACAGGAAATTTACTGTGGATACAATTCCTGCCATTTCGGTTGCGTTTTCCACAATACCCGGACTCAAGTTGATCTCGCATAAATCCCCAAAAGCGTAGTCGGCTTTGTCCTTCCCCATCCAGTCCTGACAGTCGCCCACTCGCCAATCGTACGTCGTTTCCGTCACGCGGGTTTTGCAGATTCCGGAATAGTGGTGCAAAACAGGCTGTTCTTTCGCCGTGTGCGTCCACTTGTTCTGCAGACTGAAAACGTCCGTGCCCAAACCAGCCTGCGAAGTCGGGTTTTCAATCTTCGGAATACACAGAAACTCCGAGTGGTTTTGGTTTTGTTCGGGGGCTGAACCTCCAGAAGAACCTCCTTGCTCTTCTTCTCCCGAAGGAACCGCTGCTGCTGCTGCTGTGTAGGTGAAGGCGACGCACGCGGGTGTCAAATCGCAGATCATCTTGCACATCCAGAGGAAATTTTCATTGTTGATCCTGTTCGTCTGTTCCTCCACATCTAGCACGTGTGTCACGTATTTTCTAAGGTACCCATCTTGCTCCTCTGTTAGCTTGTCGTCAGTAGTGACAGAAGCGAAGCCGTGCGTCGTTATTTTTCCTTGTATCGCCAGCAACTTGCCCCGGATCTCGTTTGCAGCTTCGTAGGCCTCGACACAGATCTGCGCCATCGCGCTCGCGTCTCCATTGCTGTTGAAGCCCGCACTGGCGTAATCGGCTTCCGGAATCTTCACGGAGGTGGCGTTCACATCTTCCGAAGATGTTTCCTTGTTCAAATCAATGCGGCAGAGAGCGGAGAGTTGGAAATTCGTATTGTCGTGAATTTCCCAGGAGGAGGGGGGGCAAAGATCAGCTTCGTTGGTGATGATGCCAGGAGCGGTTGTGGTTCTTCGTGATCGTGCTGTTGCACTCGTAAAATAAAGTCTTGATTGAATTTTGGAAGCTGTTGTAGCCGCTGTTCCTGCGCGTTTTTTGCCACGTTCAGCTACTTTTGACCTCGCGCCACTGCTCTCTTCTGTAGCAATTTTCAACATCCCCATCCGTTGGTTTCTTCTCTCATCTACTTCGATGTTGAGAAAAGAGGACGAAGATTCTGACTCGTCCTCTTGTTCACCAGAGATATTCACTGCTGGTGCCCCAGAAGTTGACGCACGTAGTTCCATTGTGACATTCACCCTCTCACCGCTGCCGGTCATCTTCGCAGATGTTGACCCAACATCTACCACGACAAGCTGGTCTTCGACGTCGTCCGACTCCTTATTGGCTTTTGGAGCTTCTACTTCAACAGCATGATCCACGTTTCTACTTGTAGTTTCATCTTCATGGACCACCGGCCACTCTCGACCTGTGGAAGCATCTACCTCCTTATCCTTCCTAGCATCGGTTGTTCCACCGACCGCCTTCGCCTTCCTGTTTTTTCTTCGGTCTTGTCCAAGTTGTATCTTCCTGGCATTTGATGACAATTTTTCGCGCTGTTCGCTTGTCCTGCGCAGTTCGCGGTGCTCGTGCCGGTTCTTCACGCTGAACTTGAAGGCGGCAACGAAAATATTACTAGTAGCTGTGCTACCTGGTGTCGTGTGCTGGTTGAAGATGTTGTTCTTCTCGTGGTCAGGGGATGATTCACCACAACGCAGGTCTGCTCCCGTAGTCGTGTCATCTTCTTGTGAAACCCGACAGATAGACCTGAAAAGGCCACCGTAGTTGTTCTCTCGCTCGTCGTTCTTGTACAATAGCTGGTGCCACAAGACCGCCAAGCACAGCAGTTTCAATCGTAAAAGCGTCGCCGCAACAACAAATCCACGACCCCGAGCGTTCTGTACGACGCCAGGGGCGGGTGCGGGAGCGCGGGCAAGGGCCAGCTGCTGGTTGTAGGAAGGTGGACGTGTCATCATGTAGTAGTTGTAGAGCTTATTTTTCGTTTTCAAAAAAACACTTCAGTAGTGGACGGGGCCAATCCGAACCAGCTAAGATGATATATTGAAGTGGAGAACTTACAACTGCATCACCAAGAACAGAAATATCATAAGGGTCATGCTACTTGGTGGTTTGTTAAGTTACAGGACCCACTTATCGCACGAGGACTTCTTTTCCTGCAATCCTGACGCAGGGGCAGGCAGGCCAATGATAGGCAGGCAGACATTACGAATGGCACGATGTTGACGACAGAATCGAAGACAACGACCCGAACGGATAGTAAGTAACTTTGACCTGCAAGAATTGTAAAGAGGAGGTAGAGCATGGAGCTGGAGTGCCGCCCACGACATTAATTGAGCACGATCCATCGTGACGACTGAAACCTGTACGAAATAGCGGCCTAGGGGGCGACTACGGTGAAGAGAAATGAAGGAGTTACAAATGAAAACGAGGACGGTGACCGAGATGAATTTAACGTTCAGCGACGAAACGATCCTCGACCTGGACCACAGAAAACACGGCGTGCCATATTGTCAGGCAAAACACTATTTGTGATCCGTCGTGTTACCACGACGCACTAAAGAACGGATTAGAAATATGTCAGAAATAATTTGTCACGCGTGGCTGCCTTGTCGAGCCGGGGGTTGGTCATTCTTAACGTGAGTAAAGCCTTGTCAAGAGCCCTGACCAAGTTGTTCTTGTTGGGATCCAAGCGGACATCGCCTTGATGTCGGATTCGCGATCTGGTCTATTTCAAGCGCCTCGACTGACGCCGCAACTTCATCACGCGGGCCTTTTGATACAATTTCAAGCCATTGGGCCCCGGATGATATTTCAACTGAAAACATCGCCAGTCTTCGTCGGTCTCCCTCTCAAAAGAACATCGCAGGTCGTCTGCTTTTTCCTCCTCTTGTTCGTGACTTCATAAATTTTCGAGCCACCTGGTCTGCTTTTTTCGTTATTCGATTTTTTCCAAAACAATTGCAAAACTAACACAACGTCTAGCGTCTGTCTATCGAGGGTTAGAGTAAGAGGCTCCGCCAATCACGACTATGCTCTCGTCCCGTCCCCACAACATCTCAAAGTCGCTTTATTTCATCCCCTTACTTCTCTTGCATGAAGGTCTGCGATTCAAAAAATCACTTCAGCTTGACCCTTCTGAGTGATAACAAAATAAATACTTTGTAATGCACCTGAATGGTTCACGTAGCATAGGTATTTCGGGTTTTTCGTGCTAGTAGTGTTAGCACGATTGTGAGCGATTCGATAGCTGTGCTGCGCGACTGTGTTGAGCGATCTGTATAGCACAACAACGACTCAAGTAGTTCTACTTTTTTGTAATCTCATCCTGCTTCCTCGCGTGCTCACACATGTCGTTGCCTATGATATCTAGCCAAGTTCTAAAGTATTGCTTTGAGTATCAAGACCGAAAATCATGCTCAAAGCCTACCGCCCTGGGTACCCTTGTCGCCCTGGGTGTCTTCAGCCACCTCTCAGATGTTTCAGTCTTTTTTGGCAGATAACTCCACGGCTGCACTGAGTCCCGTTCCAAAAAGGTGTCTTGTTGTTAATATGTTGATATCATTTTCTACTGCAGGCAGTTACTTCTGTTTGTGTTTTGTAAAAAATCACACAACATCAAATCCAAGAGATAATCTAATCTGTTTTATAGTTCCGACGTGACAGATTATAATACTTCGCAACTGCACTTGCTTCTCATAGACAGTGCTTCTTTCGGAACGCAAATCGCTTTAATTCTCCCGCAGAGGCAATGTGGTAAAATCAATCGGGTGCTCGCTTCTTCGGCAATGTGGTAAAAATCAAAACTAATAAATGTTGAAAAAACAAAATAGCTATAAGTAACTTGGCAAAACTAATTATGTTGAAAACAAAAATCCCAAAGGAAAGTGTGGCAAAACTAGCTATGAAATCAATATAGATAAAGATGATAGAAAAGACATCAGCGAGAATAAAGAGGCGCGTCCTACGATAACTTTGTCTGGCAGTAAGCAATCACACACAGATAGTTTGGGCTACCTAGTGCAACCGCATGCGAAATCGAGGACACTCTTATCCTGATTCGAACGCGACAAACTCCCAGATAATATTTAGAAAATGTCTGTCATGTGGCTGCGCATGACCATGAGCCTTTTAGGCATGCAGGTTTGCATGACAACTCCACCGGGATGGGGACGTTATTGCACAGCATGGATAGCGATAGAGATGAAGTCAGAGCCATACTATAATAACTTAAAGGAGCGCTTGCTTCATCAGGTCGAGAAGTTGTCTGGCGCGCTCTTGCTGGCCATTCTCCACATAGTAGTTCAGGTGTCAGCCAGAATTCAAAACACAAGCAAAGCAGAGCAAGTACAAGACAGTGCAAAAACATAGAAATAGAGTGGAGCTAGGCGGTACGTATGAGCTTACAAATAGATCATTTTCAAAGTGCAGTCGTTCGCTAGTATAAGTCGTTCGTCGTTATGGCCTTCTTTTGCTTTCAAACCTTAAAGGAAAACGAGGCAGATCACTAGACTAGCAAGGGGACCAGGCGAGTCGGATGAAGGCAAAAGCAGCAGCTTCCGCTCGTGTAGTGCATTACAAATTACGTCGCTACTTTATGACCTTCTTTTGCTTTCAAACCTTAAAGGAAACTAGGCAGATCACTAGACTAGCAGGGGAACCAGGCGAGTCGGATGAAGGCAAAAGCAGCAGTTTCCGCTCGTGTAGCGCATTACAAATTGCATCGCTATTTTCTGGCCTTCTTTTGCTATCAAACCTTAAAGGAAACTAGGCAGATCACTAGACTAGCAGGGGAACCAGGCGAGTCGGATGAAGGCAAAAGCAGCAATTTCCGCTCGTGTAGTGCATTACAAATTACATCGCTACTCTATGACCTTCTTTTGCTTTTAAACCTTAAAGGAAACTAGGCAGATCACTAGACTAGCAGGGGAACCAGGCGAGTCGGATGACAAATCTAAGAGCTAGTCTAATTATCTGTTTTATACGTTCATCCGACGTGACAGATTATAATACTTCGCAACTGCTACTGCACTTGCTTCTCATAGACAGTGCTTCTCTCGGAACGCAAATCGCTTTGATTCTTCCGCAGCGGGAATGTGGTAAAATCAATCGGGTGCTCGCTTCTTCGGCAATGTGGTAAAAATAAAATCAAAACTAGTAAATGTTGAAAAAACAAAATAGCTATAACTTGTCAAAACTAATCATGTTGAAAACTAAAATCCCAAAGGGAAGTTTGGCAAAACTAATTATGAAATCAATAAAGATAAAGATGATAGAAAAGACATCAGCGAGAATAAAGAGGCGTGTCCTGCGATAACTTTGTCTGGCAGTAAGCAATCACACACAGATAGTTCGAGCTACCTAGTGCAACCACATGCGAAATCGAGGACATTCTTATCCTGATTGATGTAACGCGACAAAATGCAAGCGAGTATTGGAAAATGTCTGTAGTCGGATGATGACGCTATTGCACATCATGGATGGCGATAGAGATGAAGAAGTCAGAGCCACACTATAACTTAAAGGAGCGCTTGGTTCATCAAGTCGAGAAGTTGTCTGGCGCGCTCTTGCTGGCCATTCTCCACATAGTAATTGAAAAGGAAAAGGAAGGTCGTTGCGTCAGGCCCTCCCACATGTTCGTCCTGAGAGAGCTGCTCTAAGACTCTCGCAAGGTCCTCGCTGATCTCAATGTCGCTTCTCGCGTCGCGGCCCGCGTTTTTTACGTGCGCCCTTATCATAACGTTGTAGGGACCGACATCCCGCACCACCCCCGCGCGGTTCATCCTTTCGAAAATACGCTCCACACCCTCGGGGTTGCCTCCCTCGGCGAACGCGCTCATTACCGCGGTAAAGGTGAAGACGTCCGGCTGCAGGCCTGCGGCCTCCATCTCTGTCAGAGTTTCCTCCGCGGCTTGGGTATTGCCACCCTTAGCGCGGGCATTGGCCAAAATGTTGTAGCTGACGACGTCCGGGCGCAGGCCTGCGCGCTCCATCTTCTCCAGCGCCCTCTTTGCGCCCTCAGCATTGCCACTCTTAGCGTGGGCAGTGGCCAAAATGTTGTAGGCGAAGGCATTCGGCTTCACGCCTACTTCAGTCATCCTCCGTAGGGAGGCCTCTGCGCCCTTCCAGTTGCCACATTTTGCGCAAGCGCTCATCAGGGTGTTGTAGCTGACGGCGTTCGGCGCCATACCTGCGTCGACCATCTTTTGTAGGGCCTCCTCTGCGCCCTCAGCATTGCCGCTTTTCGCGTAAGCGTCCATCAGGGTGCTGTAGCTGACGACGTTTGGGCGCAGGCCTGGCGCGCGCTCCAATTTTTCCAGAGCCCTCTCTGCGCCCTCAACATCGCCCCTCTTCGCGTAAGCGCCAATCACGGTGTTGTAGCTGACGACGTCCGGGCGCAGGCCTGGCGCGCGCTCCAATTTTTCCAGAACCCTCTCTGCGCCCTCAGCATCGCCCCTCTTCGCGTAAGCGTCAATCACGGCACTGTAGCTGATTTCGTTCGGTTTCAAGCCTGCAGTCTCCATCCTTATGAAAGCTGCCTCCGCGGCTTCAACATTTCCGCTCCTAGCGTAGGAACTGATCAAAGTGTTGTAGGCGGCGCCATCCGGTGCCACGCCTGCGTCGATCATCCTTTGTAGGGCCTCCTCTGTGCCCGCAACGTTGCCGCTTTTTGCGCAAGCGTCCATCAGGGTGCTGTAGCTGACGACGTTCGGCGCCACACCTGAGTCGATCATCTTTTGTAGGGTCTCCTCTGCGCCCTCAGCATTGCCGCTTTTCCGGTAAGCGTCCATCAGGGTGCTGTAGCTGACGACGTTCGGGCGCAGGCCTGCGCTCTGCATACTTTCCAGAAGCCGCTCCGCGTCCTCAGCGTTGCCACATTTCGCATAAGCGCTGATCGCAATGTTGTAGCTGCGTTGGTTCGGTTTCACGCCTGTCGCCATCATTTGGCCAAGAACTCTTTCGGCGCTCGGGCCGTCGCCACATCTAGCGTGCTTCTTCATGAGCAAGTTGCACTCGTGGACACTCGGCGCCACGGTTAGCATGCTGTTGAAGATGCTATCTGCGCCGAGAGCATCGCCCTCCTCGGTGCATTTTTGCATCTGCGTCCCAAACATCGAAACCGGTGTCTTGAATAATCCAGTGTATTTGCTTGTCGGTTGTATGAGCTGCAAGCATGTCTGGATCCGGGAACTTGTGAGCAGGTTTGTGAATGGTGGGCGCACTGCGTTACGCAGCCGCGCATAACAAGTTTATTCTTAGCCTTTATGTATTGCGCTTCCCAAATGAAAAACTGCATTTTTGCATGACAGGTAAGATGCTGCTTTCCTGTTCATGCATTAGACATTTCAGGGTCATGTGAGACAAGCATGACAAGAAGCTTGCGCGCCTCCAGACCCAGACATACAACTTGCACTTGATACAACGAGCACAGTCGCGAGCGCCACGTATGCGTTGCAAATGTGTCTGGGTCTGGAACAAGATTAAAGCTTTTCATGGTGCTCAGTCTCGATCTCAAAATAAAAATCTGTGTTGCATGAACGCCAAAATTTGCCGACACCAGGCGGATTTTTCATGCGGAATATAATCAATATGCAAATGCATGAGGAGGGTCGTCTCGCCAGATCTGCGATGTTCCTGCACGCATTCCAGACAATGTGAATGCGTGCGGTCCGCGCATGACAAATCTCGCACTCATCTTCCAGACCCAGACATACACATATTTGCAATGCATAACCGGTCCCCCAGCTGCATTTCCACCTTTCCCGACAGACAGGCCGTCGCCTGTGGAACGCATAAGCGGTCCCGCTCCAGCTGCATGCTCCGCTCCCCCGCCAGCCAGGCTCTCGCTGATGGAAATCGAAATCGGTCCTCCAGCTGCATGCTCCGCTTCCCCGCCAGCCAGGCTCTCGCTGATGGAAATCGGAATCGGTCCTCCAGCTGCACTTCCACCTTTCCCGCGTCCCACGCGCGACGTGGATCTACGACGAGACTCCGGCCCTGTGCCGCCACCTTTGCCGCCGCTGCCTCGTCCGCGTCCCGTTCCCTTTATCGAACGACAATCAGCGCCACGTATGCATTGCAAATGTGTCTGGGTCGGGAAGAATGGAGCTTTTCATGGTGCTCGGTCTCGAGGATCTCAAAACAATCTGTATTGCATGAGCGCCAACATTTGCCAAGTTCTGGCTAGACAACAGGCGGAGTTTTCATGCGTAGGCATGAGGAGGGTCTCGCAACAAGATCTGCGATGCTTCCGCACGCATTCCAGAGAGTGATTGCGCTTGCGGCTGCGGTCGTCGGCGACACGCATGACAAATCTCACACTCTTCCAGGCGCACACATATTTGCAATGCGTAATCGGTTCTCCGGCTGCAATTTCGCCTTTCCCGCATCCCACGCGCGACGTAGAGTGATGAGGAGACGTCGCCGCCGGCCGACTCTGGGGCCCGGGCGATAAAGGCCTTGCGCAATGCCTGGTGTGGTCCCTTCTTCTGGACCAGGCCTTGAGCAATTTCTCGGCGCCATCCACATCCCTTTGCCGGAAAAGCGCCTTTCGCAACGATTTGTATTCGTGGTCCCCAGGCCGGCGGCTCTCGTTTCCCTCCAGCATTCTGAAAAAACACTTGGTCGCCTCCTCTAGCTTTCCTGCGGCTAGCAGATTTAGCACCTCGGAGCCTTCGCCACTTTTGGTAGATTCATCAGCCCCCTCCTGGCTGCCGCGAGGAACGTCCCCGCCGCTGCCTCCTCCCCCCGTCCTGTTCCCTTCATCGAGCGCGCCAGCTCCCATCTTGTTGCCCTTGCCGCTATTGTTGCTCCTGCTTGCGGGCCCAGCAGACGACCGCAACTGCACGGCCGCCACAGCCGGGAGAAAGTAGCTGGTAGTGCCTCGCGTCGTTTCAGAAGTTCCCTGTCCTCCCTATGAACTGCTTAGGTGTGACAATCTCAAGCGTTGCAATAGAATCTGGATTTCGCATTGAATAAAGAGCATGAGGAACATGGTCATGGATGCAGCCAGAGCTCTGCGCTTTTCGCAATACAGATTTCGCCAGATTCTCATCGGGTTTGAAGCTCCTGAACTTGTCATGCGCGTCAATTTATCTGTGACAACAGGCTAGATGCTGGACTTTTAGCAGGTTTCCATAATTCTATTTGTAACACTTGAGTTTGTCACGTCTAAGCACGCCATACTTTCAGCAGCGCTGCGAAAAATAGTTCTCCGTGCAAGTAGAAGACAGACACGCAACCTCCACTGGCAGAAGTTGCAAGGACGCTACGAAGGAAGCTGCGGGCCATTTTTTTGCCGATAATACACTGAATTGAGTGAGTGAATGACTACTACTTAATAACTGCGACGAACGGCACCGGGCGCGATGCTCTAATTCTATGCTGCTTCTGCTTCTCGTTTGCACTGGCAGCAAGAAAGAACGTAGAAGTAGAGGGCGAGAGCCTACTTGTTATATAGAGCAATAATATTGATTTCCTTCGTGACTAACATACAAACACGGAAGCCACGGTTTTTTTAGCAGGATGCCTCGGACAAGAAACGATCGAAGCGAATAAAACACCTCCCAGCACTCAACGGTCTGAAAAACAAATATGCTTATTTTGAGCGACAAATGCAAATCGAGGTCGTGTCTTTGTTACCAAATAAATCTCGCCTTAATATGATCTTCTTTTTCTTTTTACTACGAAGTAGTTAAAAAGTCAGTGCTTGTGTACTCAGCGTTCTAGGATTGGAGAAAAAATATTAATATTATGTAAAAAATCAGTATGCAGCTTTCAGCGGCTCCTTAGAAGTTTTGGAGGATAAATAAACCCGGAAAAGACAAAAGCCCCTGTGACGGCAGTTTGTTTCCTGGTATCGCGATCAATTCTTGTCTGATGAATTTGAATTGTTGACTCAGGCTATTTCTATAGTTGCACTCCGGCCAAAGTGATTTATGACGGTTCCGCACGAAATTTATTTCCTTGCCTGCAGCAAGTAGAGAGAAGAAGTCGGCATATTAAAATGCTACAACTTTGTGCGAAGTAGTGTGCTAGCTTGACCGATAGCGATAGGAGTCTCCATCAATTTCTATGCTGAATGATCTTCAAGCGAAATTATGATCTTAGCCTTTTATTTTGAGCCGTTGCAGACCTCGAAGCAGTGCGTTGTGAATATGAACCTCGAGCAAGTTGATCTATTTTGGCCAAAAATCAACAGCAGGACCACGGGATTTTTAGTCAGCGACGACCGACTACAGAGTTACGCTTTCTTTCCAGGATCATGATCGAGCGAATTTATAATTTCATACCCACGTCGGCGGGCTCTTGAATTTTTCTTCCATGGGTACTTCGAGAAAAAAGAATTATTTCATCTTGGGACCAAAACTACTGCATCGCTTTTCTTGCAGTCCTTTCCTCATCATATCATCGGGCTTCGGATTATCAGAGCTCTCAACCGTGAAAAAGAAAAGTAAAAAAAAACAAAGCCAAACTAGATTGACTTTTACCACGCTGACAGCACTGCTGGTAGTGCTAGTACCTTCAAAACCGAGACGTCGGATGGTTGTACACCGAGATGACCATGATGCAGCTCCAGCTGCATCATTCGAAAGAAATAATTATATCCTCGTCCTGGACCACAAAAAAGTGTTAGCCCCGGTTGCTGCACCAGTTGCTTGTTCTGGTCACATTTTGTACAGGAGACAAGAAGACGTCGGCGAGGCGCCACGACCGGTCCAAGCAGGCATCTTCGCACTACGCGGTTTTTATAAGATCTTGAATTCTAACTACTCTTCAACTCAATAGTGTACAGTTGTTCCGATGTGTCGTGACATGGTATTGCACATTTTTGGCATCCCTTCTTGTTGCCAACATCGCTCCATGTCCATGATAATAACTGAAACCATATTAACCAAGCTGTATCCGTAAGCTACAAAGAAGATTGACAACACCATACTAACGTGAAACTCGTTAGTACAGAGAATCAATTTGAATTTCGTAAAGACATAAGTCGACATAATTTCTTCATCGTCGGCTATCCAACTTTGAACACATTGCATGAGGTAGAGTAACGAAAAATGTTGAAATTCTGTAAAATTTGGTAAACGTAAACTGAGATGAAACAAAAAAGAGTCAATGCTTGTATGAAACGTGTAATCAAAACTTTAAAACTAAAAGTCGGTGAAGGTTCTGTGATTATGAACCAACTATCTGCAGCTGGAAAATCGTGCACAACCTTGTAGTTGCACTATCTTCGTCGAAAATAAAAAGTTTCAGTTTTCGAGTATTATCCTCCTCACTTGTTCGAAGCGGTCGATTTCGGTGATTTCGATTTCATTTTCGACGAGAGTTTCACTTTTTTGTGTTTCGCATTGGACCTCTTGGCATCGTTCGGTTGAAAAGTGTTGTCTGAAAACTGTCCTTCTAGCGCCTTATACGCGGCATTCTTCCCCTATCCACAGTAAATTCAATATCCCCGCACACGACGTTGCTGCGCAAATGCAGATTCTGCATGACAGAACTTGCTTTCAATCTTATTCAGCAGGACAGGTGGCACACTGCTCCAAGGTGGCGAAATCATATTGTAGTCATGCATCTTGTACAACATGTGCGTCGTGTACAGGAACAATAAATTTGCATTGCATATCCCGGAGGGTCGGAACTTGGCTAACTTTACCGAAGCTGCGATCGTTTATGCATTGCAAATGTGTCAGTCTGGGTCTGGACACTTGTGATGCTAAAGTATCGATGAGTCTGGCGCTTTCAAGTGCAGCCAAGCATGACAAGTTTCTTTCACGCCGTCTGATGCGTATCACGCATGACAAACTGCGTCTTTGCATATACAAAAAGAAACGCCTTTGCTGGCTACGCAGCACAGATTTTTCAGGAATGCTAGAGATGCAACACAAGTTCCACATATTTTCCAGACCCAGGCACATTTGCACTTGATATCGTTTCTCCGTGCAAGACTTCGGACTCGTCCCCACTGGTGTCGCTTTTCCTTCCGCTTTTGCGCTTTCCACCGCTGTGCTTCAGACTTGCCACTTGCCCTATGAAAGCCTCAGGTTGGAAATCCTCAAAGTGAAAATAATTTGTAATGCAAAAAAACGACTCCAGTTGGAGCACCATTTATAGTCGGCGCATGACAAATTTCCCGGGCACTCAAAACGTGTCTGTCATGCTAGTTAGGCAAAGGGGTGCCCTCCTCTCATGCTAATCAGGAGCCCAATTCTGAACCCGTAGAAGCACAATAGTCGGCCTCCATTGCGTTCTCTGCAATACAGTCTTTTTGGTGTCGCATTTCATGCATCACAAATTACTTCCACTTTGAGGATTTCCATTCTGAGGGTGTCATATGCCTGCCGTCAAAGTGACTGCTGTGCCCGCCCCCGAGTTTGCTCGCCCGGGCGCTGGACTGCTCTTGGTTCAAAGCACTGCCGCGCTGCAGGGCCGAGTATCAAATGCAAATATGTCTGGGTCCGGAAGGATGCAAGATTTGTCACGCAGGTTCTCGATGACCCATGAGGTCTGGAATGCAGCACCAAGCATGACAGATTCTGTTAGATCGCTATCATGCCTGTCCTGCATGAGAAATTCCCTCTCAACTTACTAAAAAAGGACGGCTGTTGGTAATCATGCAACGCAGATTTTTTGCATGATTCAGATTTAGCATGACAAGTTGCCATCTTCCAGACCCAGACATATTTGCATTTGATACCGAGGAAGAGTACCCCAAATTGCTCACCCGGATCGAGGAGCCTTGGGGGCTCAGTGCGCTTTGTCGCATGACGCTACCGCGGGCGGTGGTCATTCTGGAGCGGCGTTGGACCTCCTCGTTCCCCAGCACGGCGTCCAGCTGCAAGGTGAATCCCGCGGGCTTACTGTGCCGCCACAACCCCAGCATGTATCAAATGTAAAAATGTCTGGGTCTGGAAGAATGCAAGATTTGTCATGCATATTTCTCATGACCCATAATGCCTGTAATGCTTGAACTAGCATCGCAGACTTTTCGAGGGCTTCCTGATGCACCTTCCGCATGAGAAATGGCCTGTCTGTGTAGCAAAAACTGTACCCATTTTGCTGGTCATGCAATACAATTTTTTTTAGAGTCCAAAAACAGCATGACAAATTGCAATCTTCCAGACCCAGACATTTTTACATTTGATAGCATGAAGTCCCGCACCATACCCACGGTCGCGTTGCTATGGGAGTGTCAGGATTGAAATCATCAAAGTTGACATAGTTTCTCATGCACAAAATGCAAGGCATGAAGTGCCTGTCTTGCCGGGATGGCAAGTGAGACAGATTGCGAGCCTATTTAGGGTTTGAAATAGAGCTGCTTAGAGAGCATGACAAAAGCAGTCTTCTGTGCCCAAACAGCATGACAAATTGGATTCCGGTGCTCCGAAAATTTGTCATGCGACGCTTGGAAATTGGGCTTCCAACTGGTATCCATTTTATGCGTGACAAATTAAAACTATTTCAACTTTGACGATTTCAATCCTGACGCTTCCATAGTTGCCCTTCCCGAGCTTCAGCTTCTTGTACACATTCAAATTATACAGATCCGGTTCGGGCACCAGGTATGCATTGCAAATATGTCTGGGAGGTCTCCTTGGCAAAGTGCCAAGTTAAAATTTTTCTAATGCATATTTTCCATGACCCATGACGTCAGTGATGCATGCTCTAGCACCACAGATTCTGCGAAAGCTTTCTGATGCTCATACCGCATGAGAAATTATGCCCTCTTTGCTTGGCAAAAACAGGACCGCTTTTGGTGTGCATGCAATACAGATTTTATGTAGGGTCCAAAGGTAGCATCACAAGTTGCATCCTCCCTGACCCACCAGACATATTTGCAGTTTATACCAGGTCCCGTTTGTCGATGTGTTTGGAGGAGACCGCGGTGGCGAGCCTCGTCAGTATCAACTGTAAAAATGTCTGGGCCTGGAAGATTCTGACACTTGTCATGCACGTTTTGCATGAGCCATGAATTCTGTGATGCATACCCTAGCAATACATATTTTTTGAGGGCTTCCTGATGCGTATTCCGCATGACAAATGCCTTCTCAGCGCAGCAAAAATTGCATTTCCTTTGGTACTCATGCAATACAGATTTTTTTGGAATCCAAATGCAGCATCACAAGTTCCAATTCTTCCAGACCCAGACACTTTTGCAATCCATAGTTAGATACGGATCCTTAAACCCGCTCCCCTTCAACACCTCTAGTGCCTGTACGTCCGCGATCTTGAAAAATATGGGAGAGAGTGTCAGGATCGAAATCGTCAAAGTTGAGAAGATAACTTGTAATGCATAAAATGCATGACGCGAAGTGCGTGTGTTGCAGAGCAGGCAAGTGAGGCTGATTGTAAGCCTGTTTGGGGTTAGAGCTCGGGCTGCTAAAGTAGCATGAGAACATCGGTCTTCTTTGCATAAACAGCATGACAAACTGGATTTAGGCACCACCAACATTTGTCATGCGCCACTTGCAAACTGGGTTTCAACTGGCATCCAATTTATGCATGACAAATCATTTCAACTTTTACTTTACCGATTTCGAAGATCCTGACACATCCATAAAAAATTCCTTCGCGTTAATGGTCTCCGGGATTGCCACGTGTTCCACCTTGGGAGGCAGCGGTGGTGGCGGTGGTATCAAAATGCAAAAGTGTCTGGGTCAGGAAGATTCTGAGACCTGTCTTCATGCATACTTTGCATGACACAGGATGTCTGTAGCGCACGACCCAGCATCACAAACTTTTAGAGGTCTTCCTGATGCCTACTCCGCATGACAAACGCCCTCCCCGCGTAGCACAAACTAGACACCTCTTGCTGGTCATGCAATGCAATTTTCTTTAGAGTCCAAAGCTAGCATCACAAGTTCCAACCTTCCAGACCCAGACATTTTTGCATTTGATAGGTGGTTCGTCTTGCTCGGAGGAAGGGGGTATCCTGTGCAAAACAAGTATCGCGCTCGTAGTAATCGCAGTTATGCATTACAAATCTTAATCTAGTTGGTTAGGTAAATCCGCATTACAAATTTAATTTGTAATGCTGAGGCAATTTGTATTGCGAGTTGTACTAGTGCGATGCTTTTGCAGTGCATAGGGGGTGAAAGCATAGGTGGCGGCGGGGGCACATCCACATCGGGTATGGAGGCTTTTGCAGGCGGGAGGTCCGGCTCCGACGGCGTTGAGGGGGGAGCGCTACTTGGGGGCTTGAACTTATGGGAGTGTCAGGATTGAAATCGACAAAGTTGAAATAAGAATAACTTGTAATGCATAAAATGCAGCCCACAAAGAAAGTGCCTGTCTTGCAGAGTAGGCAGGTGAGGCAGATTGCAAGCCTGTTGAGGGGCAGAAACTGAGCTGCTAAAGTAACATGACAAGAGGCGGCTTCCTGACCCAAACAGCATGACAGACTGGATTTCGGTTCTACCCAAATTTGTCATGCGCCACTTGCAAACTGGGTCACAACTTTCATCCATTTTATGCATCGCAAGCTATTTCAACTTTGTCGATTTCAATCCTGACACATCCATAGGACTTCACCTTCTCTTTTTTCGGCTTCTCTTCCTTTGCGACCGAGGGTATTTTCGGCTGCTCCTTGTACTCGCCGTCCGACGAAGTTGGATCCTTGGCGGGTTCTATCCTGAGTAAAAACGTCCCCACACCAGAGTCAGGATGGGGATTTTGCAACACAAACCTAGGAGCTTTGGGAATCACGCATGACAAGTTGCGCTCCGCATTGTAGGGCAGGTTAGCAAGTGCAGCCGCATCACAGATTCATCTGCTCATCCTGTTTACAGCATCACAAATTCCAAAACACGATTAGAAATGGCACTCATGGGGATGCTCATTACAAGTCTTCGTGTCTTTGCAAATCTGCATCACAACTCTGGGGTGGGGACGTTTTTACTCAGGATAGGTTCTTCCGCTTTTTCATCCTCCTCGTCGCTCTTGCAACAGCAGCAGAGCAACAGGAGCAACAACAGCAGCAGCACCAAGGCCAACAAAGGCCAGAGCCAGCAGCGGCATCGTACAAAAAAAGTGCTTCACTGTGATGATTTTGCAAGATCTGCGTCACAAGATTGTTACAGCACATGACACAGAAAATTTGCCACGCGCGCTTCCCAAGTGAAAACACGCTTAAAAATCCTATGTCTTGCATGTGTAGCAAGACAAACAGTGTTGCGTTCCACTTCCTGCATCGCAAGTTCACGTATGAAACACTTTTTTCTTGCGATAAGGGAAAGCACTCCTCCAGGTCAAATCCGCCTTCGTCCGGAGAGACGGTTAGGAGGTCGCTCGATCCATTCGCGTATGCATTGCAAATATCATGTCTGGGTCCGGAATAAAACGTGAACTTGTGATGCGGGTTGTGGTCTTACGTTAAATGAATCTGTGTTGGTGTTGCATGACCAACAAACGCGCAGCGTTCTTTTTCCCCATGCAAAAACGCCGTTTTTCATGCGGACCACGCACTATGCGACAGAGGTGCAAGAACTTGTCATGCTTGGCTGCATCGTTCGGAAGCGTTTCAGTCATCCGCACTTCAGCATAACAACAACTTTATTCCAGACCCTGACATATTTGCATTTGATATCGTGGCATTTTGGCTGAACGGGTCCGGCGTACTCGTTTTGTCGTTTCCGTTGATGTTGTGCGCATTCGGCTTATGCAATGCAAATTTATTATTCCCGCACACGTACAAAATGCATCACAAGTTTCGCCAACTTAGAGTGCACTAAACAGTTGCCACGCTAAGTAGGATCGAGTCATGCAACAGAACCCGCAGCGTACGTGAACTCGGTAAAAAATTGTTCATTGTGGATACGGGTCAACGGTTGTCAGGCTCGGGTCGGTCGTCGCCAGACTTGGGTCAATCGTTGTCAGACTTGGGTGAACCGTCGTGCCGCTAGAGTCAGTCGTCGCGCCGCTAGAGTCAGTCTTCGTGAGGTTCGGGTCAGTCGTTTGCGGCGGAATCGTGCTGGAGCTGGACGACTGGTTCGGGTCTACCCAAATAATGCCCCCATCAGCGTTGCCGTTGTAGATGGTCTGACAATATGCCTTCCCTAGACCGTCGCACGCACGGGGCACGCACACGTTGGAATACACGTGCTCCTTTCCCCCGTCTTGGTCCCCCGGCTCCACATCCTGGGCGGCGGGCGACCGGCCCTTGTGCTTGCGACTTTTCGGCTATGCAGTACTACAAATTTCCCGTACATGTATAAACATGCATCACAAATTTCACCAATTTGGGGCGTAACACTTGTCATGCTAAACTAGCAGGATCGAAGCCAAGTATTTGTCATGCAGAGACTGCATTTGTACGTGTACGGGAATTTTTTTACTGTGGATATCGGCCGGCAGGTCGCGGGAGCCCAGTCGTACTCCGAGCCTGTCTATCAAATGGAAATATGTCGCGGTCTGGAGATGAAATTTGTGACGCTAAAGTATGGATATGTCTGGCTATGCTATCTCCAGTGCAGCCAAGCATGACAAATTTCCAACTTGACGCCGTCTCATGCGTAGCACGCATGACAACTACCTGCCAAGTTTTTGTTTTATTTGCATGACGAAAAATAAAGTGGCGCCATTGCTGGTAGTGCAACTGCAATACCAATACAAATTTTTCAGGAATGCAAAAACATCATGCGAACACAAGTTCCAGTTTTCTAGACCCAGACACTTTTTGCAATGCGTACTGTATAGGTGTAAACCACACAGGGGTCGACGCCTGGGACTGCCTTCGCTATCCTGTACAAAAGTATCGCACTCGTACTTTAATTGCAAATACGTATGACAAATCTTCTGCCCAAGGTAAAACAGCACTACAAATTGCATTTTCATTTGTCATGCTGAGCAAATCTGTCATGCGAATCATACTAGTACGACACTTTTGCAGTGCATATTCGCAAACCAGTCGCAAATCATCTTGCAGATCCACCCGAACTCTCTCACCAGCTTGTTCGCGTAGTACTTCGTCGAACCGCCACTGGGCGGTGTCACGGTGGTCGCCGTATCAAGGTGCTCCATAAACACACTGAATCTGAGGCCGTTGTTACCGTCTGTCTGCTTCCCCCGGTAGTAGTTGATGATGTCCTGCTTCAGCTGCTGTGTCTCTTGCGATACGGAACCCGGATTGGTTTCCTTGTGCGTCGGATAGGCGTTGAGCAGGGGCGTGCGCATCTTTTCTTCGATGTATTTCAAGGCGTTCGCGCAGGTCTGACTGCTGGTTGTGATCATCACTTTGTCCATGACTTTGTCCTCCCCCCCCATGCCCGTCACGTCGTAATTCCCCGGGTGGATTTGCATTATTTCCCGCCAGGTGGGCAGCAACGTAGTGGTGGTGCCGGTGTTGAACCCTGCGGAGGTGACCACTTCCAATTTGATGTTGCACAGATCCCCGAAGAGGTAGTCCACCCGGTCAATGGCCTGCCAATCCTGACACTCTTGGGTGTTGGGATCATACAAAGGATCACTCGGATCGCGCGGGTTGTTGGGGAATTTAGGGTTCGTTTGCCAATCGAAATTGTGAGGGTCCTCCTCGGTGAAGATATTGTCAATGTCGGTAGCATCGTCGGGATTCGTGTTCGACCCGTCGTCAATCACACTATCGTAGATACAGAGCTCCTCCCCCTGCCCTACAATGCCGGTTGCGGTTTGCTGGTCTACTGGCAAGATTTTCGCTTGTAGCTTTTCGGGCAGATTTATGCAAGAAAAAAACTGTGTAAGTGTACCTTTCTTCGGCTGACTGCATCACAAATTTGCTCTACATGACAGAGAAAACCTGTCATGCGCGGCTTGTAAGGGAAAGCATCACACATGAAAAGAGGACTTTAACTTTATGCCACACGATGTGTGGCATGACAGGCACAGGTGTAACTCTATTGCATGTTCTGCACTAGTACAGAGTTACACCTACACAGTTTTTTTCTTGCATAAAATTTTGGATGTGGCCGCCGGTAACGTCCGTGTGGTCGATGCACGACCTCTCGACGCAGAAGGCGGACGCGATGCCCTCGGTCACCCACCCCGTGCTGCCTTGCGTGTTCACCGCTTTCGGCCGGCACAGTTCGAAAGCGAAGTTTTCCCGCTGCTCTCCCGCGTGCTTCTTGCGCGACACAGAAAAGCCGACGCACTCTGGAATGGAATCGCAGATGGCGCGGCACAATATGCATTGCAAAACTCTCGTCGTAGGAACTGCGTCGCAAGTTTTTTCGGAAGGAAAAGTCAAATTATTTCTTGTCACGCTCTTCAATTCTTCATCGCGCACTGTAGTACTTTTCATCGGATTTTTACCACTTCTACGAGTTCGGGCACGATACTTTTGCAATGTCGATACACATCCAGGCGAACTGACACGATGGTGGGGGCCCCCTGCGGGTCGATAGCGATACGCAGCCAGTCGATACACATCCAGTGGTGGGGGCCCCCTGCGGGCAGGAGAGGAAGGCGGGGAGTTCCCCTGCGGCAACACACGTGCGGAGAAGAGGAAAGCGGGGGGCCCCCTTGATGCAGCAAAGGCGGAAGGGCGGGGGCCCCCTGCGGGCGGGAGGGATTTACCGAGGAGAAGGACGGGGGCCCCCTGCGACCCCAGGCGGGCGGCCCGGGAGAAGAGCGGGGGCCCCCTGCGACCCCAGGCGGGCGGCCCGGGAGAGGAGCGGGGGCCCCCTGCGGAGGCGGGAGGCGGACAGGCGGGGGCCCCCTGCGGACGGGATTCATGCTCCTTGAGCAGCTTTATCCCAGACCCTAAATAGGCTCACAATCTGCCTCACTTGCCATCCCGGCAAAGCAGGCACTTCATGCCTTGCATTTTATGCATTACAAACAAGGTCCGAGCACGGGGACAGAGTCCCCGTGCGGCGACCTTCCCACCCTTGGAAGGATGGGCCACACGAACATAGACAGCACGCCAGAACTTTTGCAGCTTTCCTGCACGCCGAAAGCACGAGGCCGGGCATGTTTCTCCGACACAGGGTTTCCAAGGTCTGTTAGTAGTCCAGCAAGGTGAGCGAGATGGATGAGTCTTTCTGGTTTGTTTCTCCGGGACAGGTTTTCCAAGGTCTGGCAGTAGTCCAGCAAGTTGGGCGAGAGGGGTGCGGCCATCTGGTCTGTTTCTCACTCCGACACAGGTTGGCCAAGGTCTGTTAGTAGTCCAGCAAGTTGAGCAAGATGGATCAGGCTCTCTGGTCTGTTTCTCCGACACAGGTTTTCCAAGGTCTGTTAGTAGTTAGGCCACCAATTTGAGTGAGATGGATGAGTCTTTCTGGTTTGTTTCTCCGATAGAGGTTTTCCTAGGTCTTCTAGTAGTCCAGCAAGTTGGGCGAGATGGATGAGTCTGCCTGGTCTGTTTCTCCGACGCAGGTTTTCCGCGGTCTGTTAGTAGTCCAGCAAGGTGAGCGAGATGGATGAGTCTTTCTGGTTTGTTTCTCCGGGACAGGTTTTCCAAGGTCTGTTAGTAGTCCAGCAAGTTGGGCGAGAGGGGTGCGGCCATCTGGTCTGTTTCTCACTCCGACACAGATTTGCCAAGGTCTGTTAGTAGTCCAGCAAGTTGAGCAAGATGGATCAGGCTCCCTGGTCTGTTTCTCCGACACAGGTTGCCCAAGGTCTGTTAGTAGTTAGGCAATCAATTTGAGTGAGATGGATGAGTCTTTCTGGTTTGTTTCTCCGACAAAGGTTTTCCAAGGTCTGTGAGTAGTCCAGCAAGTTGGGCGAGATGGATGAGTCTGCCTGATCTGTTTCTCCGGCACAGGTTTTCCAAGCTCTGTAAGTAGTCCAGCAAGTTGAGCGAGGTGGTTGAATCTTTCTGGTTTGTTTCTCCGGGCCAGGTTTATTTTCCCAGGTCTGTCAGTAGTCCAGCAAGTTGGGCGAGGAGGGTGCGGCCGTCTGGTCTGTTTCTCACTCCGACACAGGTTTTCCCCGGTCTGGTAGTAGTCCAGCAAGTTGAGCGGCTGGATGAGTCTGCTTGGTCTGTTTCTCCGCCGCAGGTTTCTTTGTCAAGGTCTGTTAGTAGTCCAGCAAGTTGAGCGAGATGGATGAGTCTTCCAAGGTCTGGGAGTAGCTAGCCCAGCAAGTTGAGTGAGATGGGTGGGTCTTTCTGGTTTGTTTCTCCGAGACAGGTTCTCCATGGTCTGCTAGTAGTCCAGCAAGTTGAGCGAGCTGGGTGAGTCTGCTCGGTCTATTTCTCCAGCACCGGCCTCCCTTCCGAGGTCTGTTAGTAGTCCAGCAAGTTGGGCGAGCTGGATGAGTCTGGCTGGTCTGTTTCTCCGGCGCAGGTTTATTTTCCAAGGTCTGCTAGTAGCTAGCCCACCAAGTTGAGTGAGATGGATGAGTCTTGCTGGTTTGTTTCCCCGAGACAGGTTTGCCCGAGGTCTGTTAGTAGTCCAGCAAGTTCTGCGAGATGGATGAGTCTGCCCGGTCTGTTTCTCCGGCGCAGGTTTTCCGGGGTCTTTTAGTAGTCCAGCAAGCTGAGGGAGATGGCTGAGTCCGCCCGGTCTATTTCTCCGACACAGGCTGCCCAAGGTCTTTGAGTAGTCCAGCAAGCTGAGCGAGATGGATGAGTCTGTCTGGTCTGTTTCTCCGGCCCAGGTTTCCCACGGTGAGCGAGTCTGCTAATTGTGCAGCAAGCTGAGTGAGCTTGTTGGGTGAGTGTGTCAACGGGATCGGGCCCCAATGGGCCCGGAAATAAAAAAATCACGAATCCCAAAAGAAAAACGAAAAAAAAAATTTTTGCACTGCCGCCCTATTGTGCCAAACCACTCCGCCGGGGCTCGCTCGATAGGAAATCTGTAGGCCCTAAAATAACGCCGGGGCTTTGTCAACAGGCTGCGGACCTGTGGGCTCCGGGGTTTTCGAAGAACTGCGCCACATGAAATCGAGCACGCAACTTTTGTTCGGGCAAACACAACATCACCGAAAAAAAAGAAAAAAACCGAATAAATTTGCGCCAAAAAGTTGCCTTCTTTGCGACATGAGTGCGACACGGGTGCGACACCGGTGCGACACGGGTGCGACATTTTTCGGGTTCTTCCTGAAATCCCTAAGAAAAAAAAAACCACGGCCGAGAGCCGATTTTTTTTAATTATTTCAGATTTTTTGTCGCAACAAAGGCGATTTTTTGTCGCAGAATTAATTGGCCACTCGCCCACCCAAAACTTTCCCACCCAACATCCCTCTCCCATCCCGAAGCACACACCGGCAACATGTCAACGGGATCGGGCCCCAATGGACTCGGCGGAAAAAAAATCATAACTCCCATGCTCTTTTTCCAAAAAAAATTTTTTGGAAAAGAGTTGAAACACCCAACAAGGCAGGGAAAGCTGGAAGCGAAAGGAACAAGGGAAGCCCCACACCCAAACACCCCTTTCAATGTGGTCAGGAAATCAGGACGCGAATTCGCAAACACCAGAAAGATGGGATGGCCTGCCACGCCCCGCTAGAACTCCACACCAATGAGCCCTGTGGGGGTGTGTGCCCTGCGGTCCACACACTGCTGCGGGGTGGACCCGACCTAAATATCCTGCCACCCCCATAAAGAAAAAAGAGTCGGGAATTAATTTTGCGACAAAAGACAATTAATTTTGCGACACCGATGCGACAAAAAATAAAAATTGGGTGTCTTGGGGACGCCGACCCCGAGGCACAAAAACACCAGACCACCCAAAATCACAAGCAAAACATGAGAAACGGGCAAAATAAAATTAATTTTGCGACAGGGGGTCGACAGGGGGTCGACACCCCCATGGTATACCGAAGCCGGATTTTTTGTCGCATAAAAACCGGCCCTGTGAAAACCAATGGGAATTTGAACCAAGAGAAAACTGCCCGAAATTTTTTGTCGCAAGATTAATTCGAGGCTCTTTTTCTCATATAGGCAAAATCCCATTGGTTTTTTCAGGCGCCGGATTTTTGAGATTTTTTGTCGCATAAAAAAAACCAAACACCAACGACCGGAGAACTCCCAAGGAAGCCGCCGACCTCCGGGACCCTTCGGGCCAAGAGGCGAACGAAGAAAACGCCCCAGACTACCCCGGGCGCAGGAAAAACAGGGCGCCGCCGCTTTTTTTTAATTTTTTTGCGGGGATCATGATTTTTTTGCTTTTGATGACACTGGGGGCCGATCCCGTTGAAACATGGGCTCCCTCTGCCGGCCCCACTCCAATCCCTTGCGCCCAAGCCTGCTTTTCCCGCCCAACCCACAAACCCAAGACACACAACCAGAAAAAGAAAACGCACCAGCGAGCGGCTGCAAGAACTGCAAAAACCCTGCGAAAACTTAAAAGCGCGAAAATTTTCCGGCTTTTGTGATTTTTTTGCTTTTCTGACTACTGGGGGCCGATCCCGTTGAAGTGTGTCTGGTCTGTTTCTCCGGCATAGGTTTACCGAGGTCTTTGAATTGCCCAGCAATTAAGTTGAGCGAGATGGATGCGTCTGTGTGCCGCATTTGCCAGGTGCCTGCTTGGATTGTGTGCCAAAGAGACTGCCCATAGCATACATTCACAAAGACACTCGCCAAACCGTTGGAGTTATCTTGTCCGCCCGGCCGCATTGAAAGAATGACCATCGCGGCGGCCCTTCGCGTGCTCGCCCGGCTTGCAGCTCTGGCAGGCGGCCACGAGGAGAAGGGCCCGCCGGATAAGCAAGGCGCCGGAGGGCAACCCGCCGGCCCGCCGGCGTCTTTCTTCCTTCATTGGGGCGACACCTACGAAACAACCCCGCCGGGCACGCAGGGCCCCGGGCGCGGCGCCAGCGCTGACATCCATATCCAGATTGGGAATCGTTTGCGGGGGTTCGAGAATATCGCCGCGGGGCCTACCTGCCCAGCTCGCCCCGGCCTCGGCCCACCGGGTGCGTTGGTTGCCTCCGATGATCTCGCGCTGGTGGACATGGAGTGTGGCTGGCCGGCAAATCCGTTCGCCCCAAGGACAACGCTGGGGGAAGCACCAAACGCCAGACCGGGCTACCACACAATAGCCGGCAGCTCCACTGGGGAGAAGCCGCGGCCGACTCTTCCGGACCTGCCGACGGGCAGCCCGGCCGGTGCTAGCCAAAGCGGAGGCAGCCCGGGAAACCCGGGGGGGCCCACGGGGCCGTCGGATGACCTACTGTGCGAGGAGTGTGATGGCGGAGACGGGGAAGGCGGTGGCGGGCCCCCGGGCAGTAGCTGCGGCGCCGAAGATGATCCCGACGACGATCACTTCGTGCCCAGGTGCGCAGACTTTTCGCTCGAGGCCTTCAACGGCATCGAAATGGCCGAGGACCTGACCGACCCGGACGCAACGACACCGCGCCAGCCAGCTCTGGGGCGCTTTGCAGATGATTGGATGTATGAAAGCACGGAGGACGAGGGCCAGGCCGCATCCTCGGCGGCGCGCCATGGTGGCGAAGAATCACAGGACGGGGAAGAGGGCGACGGGTGTGGGTCGGTAGGCCAAGCGTTGGGACCCGAGGGGCCGCAGCAACCAAAGCCGCGGCCGCGCCTCCCTGATTTCCCAGCCCCTGGCCCCCCGCGAGAAGAGGCGGCGACGGGCGACCCGGAATCCGACGAAAGCGCGGCGCCGGCATTGAAACGGCGTCGCCCGGTCCTTCCAATGTTGCAAAACCCTGCGGCCACCGCAGCGGCGAAGGCAGAGGCAGAAGGAAAGCCGCGGCCGAAAGGGAAGCCCCCCGGGATCTCTGTCCACAAACAGACGCGCACCTGGGTCGCTGCCAATGCAAAGAAACGGGCCGCCGCCGCTGATGCGACCGCGGAGCGGACGGAGCGTGCCCGCCTGGTTGCAGAGGCGCGCCAGGTTCTCGGCGTGCAGCCAATTTCGATTTCCACCTGCGCCGCCTGCAAACATTGCGGCGCGAGCTTTTTCCTGGAAACGGCCCGGACGAGTTGCTGCCGAGCCGGCAAGGCGGTTGACTATCCGGGCAAATGGGCGCCACTGCCGGAGAGTGTTGCGCGCCTGTTCGAGGATAAGAAATGGGGCGACTTCAGCATCCGCATCAACCACCACTACGCAGTTGCAAGCTTCGGGATCGCTGGGGACGGGGCCCGCCTTGATGTGCAGACCAGCGAGGACGGCAAGACGACCAAAGGCATGCCGGGGCCGAAGTCGGCGTACAAAATCCGGGGCGAGACCTATTTCCGCGTCCTGCCGCCCGACCATGAGAGCGAGCACTCGCCGCTCGTGTGGCACCTCAGTGCGGGCCTCTACCGGCACACGCAGAGCAAGCTGGCGCTCAGGGAAGAGCGACGCGACGAGATGGCCCAGGCTTTGGGGCGCGCGAAGTTCGACAACCTGGAGCGCACCCTTCTGGAATCCAATTCCGTTTTTCAATCATTTCAGCAAATCGCCGGAGAGTATCAGGAAAAGGAGCAGGAGGGCCGCGCGGATTTTAAGATATTTTTCCAGAAAAAGCACCAGGCCGAAGAGGTTGCGGCCGTGATAGATCTTCAGCAGGACTTCGCCGCGCCGCGCGTCCTTGTCGCAACGAAGCTAGACGGCAAGACAACAACCGCCCCCGCCCTTTCGCAGCTTTATGAGCCGCTCGGCTACCCCTTGCTGAATTTCTTTGGTGTTGCAGGATGGGGGCGCGTGCAGGTTCCGGACAAAAAGGACCCGAACGGCTACGGCCGCTGGCAACACTCGGAGGGCCACCGCGAGTCCTTGCTGGAGCATCTTCGCGCGAAAGTCTTCCGCGAGGAGAGACTCCGGGACATGCATGCCCTTGGCCAGCAGTGGCTTGTGGACCAATACAGCCGCCACGAGGACGAGCGTCTCAACTACTACGCCGAAATCGAAAAGCAGCGAAAAATCGCAAAAGCCAAGGCAGGCGCCGCCGCTGTGCCGGACGCGCAGGCGCCAAGCGGTCGCGTCGTCCTTTCTGATTCGTTCACGAAGTCGCAGAACTGGTTCCGCAAGAAGCTCGACGACGCTCTTTTCCTCATGGCGAAGTTTGGCCGCCCCACGTTTTTCGTGACTCTTACCGTCAACCCCGAATGGCCGGAGGTGGTGCAAAACCTCCGGCCGGGGCGGCAAGCTGCGAGCGACCCCATCCTCGTGGAGCAAATCTTTTGGGCGAAGCTGCTGAAGTTTTTGCAGATTCTGAGGGGCGACGGCAGCCCGCTGGGCCGCGCGATCTACATCGTGACGGTCATCGAATGGCAGAAAAGGGGATATCCCCACGCCCACCTACTCATCCGCGTCGACAATTCCCGTCTTCATTCTGCGCTGGAGCTTCATGAGATAGATAAATTTGTCACGGCGGAGGCTTCGGAATTAAGGTCGGAGCTAGGGCGCAAAATCTTCGCGGCCAAGATGCAGCACAAATGCGCGGCGCTGTGCCTCACAAAGGCCCACCAATGCGACCGGGACCCAAAAAAGTGCCGCGAGATGGTCAAGAAGTGCAAGAAGAAATACCCGCAGGACTTGGAGCGCAAGACAACGACGGACCCAAATACTGGCTACGTGAAGTATCGGCGGCGCACAAAAGAGGACCTCCTGTCGGTTGAAGTAAGCGAGCGCATCCTGGTGCTCTGGGATGGCCACGCAAATACAAAAATCGCAAGCACCTCGACAGTGGTCTGCTATCTCTTCGGGTATTGCTTCAAGGGCAACGACAAAGCCAAATACTTTGCCGCCCTGGAGGAGACTGATGGCGACCAAATTCAGGCCTACCGGCGCGCCCGGTATTTGTCCAGTATGGAGGCGACGCGCAGGATCATGCAATTTGAGAGCGTCAAGCTCTGGCCCGGGGTGACGATCGTCAATGTGCAGCTCCCGGAAGACGCTGCCGTGACGTTCAAGAATGGGAAGGCGCAGAACGTCCGGAAGAATGGCTCGCTGGGTGACGTGGAGACCTATTTCGCGCGGCCGGAAAAATTGAAAGACCTGGCCATGCTGGACTATCTCACGACATACAAAATCGCCAGACGTTTGGGCCAGAAAGTGGAAAGAGCGGACCCGCGGGATGGCGTCGACTACCATGTAGACCGCAGGCCGGGCGGCGGGTGGTATGTGTTCCCTTTTACGGATGGCGACCGGGTCGTCCGGTTTAGAACCGTCCACCCCTTCACGGGGGAGAAATATTTCTTGACGATTTTGCTCCGCCATGGCGTCTGCAAGGCCATGGCGCCAGCTGGTCGGCCGGGCGCGGGCTTCGAGATGTGCAAAGAGTTCGAGGGCGAACGCTTCCCATCGTTTGAAAAAGTAGCGGAGCAAGCATTGCCGCACCTGCTCAAGGACTGCGGCGCGCGGCTGTACTTTGAGGAAGAGATCCGGCTGGCGCGCTCGCCGGACAACCTGCGCTGGTCGTTCGTGCTGTTGTTGCAGCATGCGGCCTGGGGCGCGGCGGAGTTTGAGGAGTATGCGAAGAAGCTCGGCGAGGACTATACGACCAAGCTGGGAAGCCACGGCCCGGCTGCGGTGTTCTACGCGAAGAGCGCGCGCGCCTTTGTCCTGATGGACATTGGCCGGCGTCTGGCGCTGATGAAGAGGACGCTGGCGGACTTCAAGCTTCCCGAGCCCGAGGCCGTGAGCCGCCCGAGATACGACGAGCTCTTTGCGACGGATTTGGAGGAAAAGGAGCCGCCGACCTACGACCAGCTGAAGCCAGGACAGCAGGAGGCCTTTGATTGGCTGGAGCGGGAAATGCTGGGGGAGTGTGACCCCAAGCGTGGCCGGCTCGTTTCTTTGCAGGCGCGCGCCGGGGCCGGCAAAACGTTTACCAGCAACGCCTTCGCCAATGAGATGGAGCAACGGCATGGGGCAAAGGTGTTGACCTGCGCAACGACTGGCATCGCCGCCGGGGTTCTCCACGGCGCCACCACGATGCGCAAACTCTTCCGCCTTCCTATTTTGGACGCAGAAGCGGACCGCGTCGACCTGGAGTGGGGTCAACAGACGCAGACCTGGAAAGAAATCGCCGCCGCGAGCGCGATCATAATGGACGAGGCTTTCATGCAGAATCGAGCCTACCTCGAGGGCATCTCGCGGAAGCTGAAGGAGGTACGCGGCAACCCGGGGCCATTCGGTTGCATGCTTACCATCCTTGCGGGCGACTTCAAACAACTGCCCCCGGTCGTAGTTGGGGGGACCACGGACGCGGAGGTGTACGAGAAGAGCTTCAAGTCTTCCGCGCTTTACTCGTTTATGCGGAGCGTGCCGGAGCTCACCGAATCACAGAGGGCAAAAGACGACCCGCGCTTTGCCGCCTTTCTCGATGACGTCGGCCACGACCGCGCAACGTCAGAGCATTACGAGCGCGACGGGCAGGGCGCGCAGTTTTTGCTCCTGCCGAAATGGCTGGCATACACCACCGACCCGGAGGAGGCCCTGCGTTTTCTCTTTCCGAGTTTTCGCGCATTCGCGGCAGGGAAGGCGGCGGACGTGCGGCGCGCGTCTTTTCTGTCGATGGCGGTCGGCCTTTCGGAAAGCGCTTACCTTTGCAGCGTCAACAGCCGGACGACCGAAATCAACGAAATGCTCCTCGAGCGGCTTCCCTGGGAAGCGGAGGCAAGCAATGGGGCGAATGTCGTGCGCATCGATGGCGAAGAGTATGGGGCGGGCCTCTTTACGGGCGAGGACTTTCTCAGCGACCTGCAGACGGGTGGCATTCCCCCGGGCCGGCTGACTCTGAAGGCCGGCGCCGTCTACTTCGTAATGGTAAACCTCGCGCGGGAGCTCCCGAAGTATACCAAAGTCATACTGCTGGCGCACAATGTAAAGAAGAACCATGTCCATGTCGCGCGCGTCGAAGACCTCCGCCCCCTGATCGCAGACGCCGAAGAGCGGGCCGCCGAGTATATCGACGCGACCCGCCTGGACCGCGTGGCCATCGCCCTGCCGCGAATGCGCCACACCTTTACACACAGGGACATCCAGGTCGAGCGCATCCAGTTCCAACTGCTTCCGGCCTACGCGTACACGATACACAAATCGCAGGGCCAAAGTCTCGCGCGCATCGTCCTCGATGTTGCGGGCGGCGATATCTTTAGCCGCGGCCAGCTCTATGTCGCCCTGAGCCGCGCCTCCTATTCTGCGGCCGTCCAGGTCTTGGTGGATCCGCACGACCTCCGGGCGAACAGTGTCGGCGAAACGGTGCCCCGCGTCCGCAATACGGTTCTGCCGAAATTATTGCAGCCGGACCGGATTCGGATAACTCCGTGGGACTTTCTGACGAATGACCCCGAGGATTTTGGGAAAAGCCGCGGCGCGCCATTGCAGCCGCAGGCTGCGGACGATACGGCCGGAGAGGCAACGGAGGCTGCGGCGCCGCAAAACACGAACGGCGGCAAAACGCCGCGCCGTCCCGTGCTCCCGGCAATGATGACGGAAGCCGAGCGCCGGGCGGACACCCAGAGGAGCAGGAGGGCCAAAGCCCGGGGTGGCGAAAGCCGCGCCGCGCCCGCACTAGGGGCTGCCGATGATGCGACCGGAGAGGAAGAAGAGGCCGCGGCGGCGCACAGCACGACCGGCGGCAAAACGCCGCGCCGCCCCGTGCTGCCGGCAATGGTAACAGAAGCCGAGCGCCGGGCGGACACCCAGAGGAGCAGGAGGGCCAAAGCCCAAGGCCGGGGCGGCCTGTAGCTAACTTTTTTGAGCAAGTTCCGAACCTGTGCCATTTTTTTCCGTTTTGTCTTTGCTGCCCGATGTGGATTGTCAGTAGTTTTACCATTCAAGTCAAACAATGGCGCGAAGTCCGGCAAACATGTGCCAAGATTCAACGCGAGTCCAACTGTAGACGCTTCAGATGAAAATAAGGGAAGCCGGGAGGCCTTTACTCTGTACCGGCGCGGGCTGTGCGGTTTGGCGAAACACACGAAACCGCAGCCCCGCACGCGGCTGATACCGCCCGGGCCCACCGTCCCAGGGGGGCGCCTGGCCTCGATTCTTTGTTCTACTCTCCACGCCGGATATATTTGGCCCCCTGATTTTATTTCTTTCGGATCTGGATACTTGACATCGGTCAGGCCACTCAATTGCTTCAGATCTGATACCTGATCCCGCTCTGGATATTTACTCGATTCGGATCCAGGTGTGATCTCTGCTCTGGATATTTAGTCTTAAAACCGCCTGCTCTGGATGTGGTAGTCTGTCGAGGGCGCGCCGGGGGTTTGTCTGGGGTGTTTCAGGGGTGTCTTCCGGGGGTGTTTGACGGGGGTCTGCCTCGGGTGTGCCGGGGGGGTGTGTCGGGGGGGTGTGTCGGGGGGGTGTGTCGGGGGTGTGTCTGGGGTGTGTCTGGGGTGTGTCTGGGGTGTGTCTGGGGTGTGTCCGGGGTGTGTCTTGCAAATTTCGAATCGCGATGCTATGCAGCCACTTTGCATACCCCAGAACACACCCCAAAGCTTCAGCAGTTCTTGTCGGGGGAGTGTGTCGGGGGTGTGTCTGGGGTGTGTCTGGGGTGTGTCCGGGGTGTGTTCGGGGTGTGGCCTGCAAATTACAAATCGCGATGGTATGGACCCACTTTGCATACCCCAGAACACACCCCAAAGCTTCAAAAGTTCTGGCTTGCTGCAGTTTAAATAGTAACTCTTTCAACTTTGACGATTTCAAACCTGACGCTTCCATAACGATACTTTTGCAATGTCGATACACATCCACGCAAACTGGTGCGGCTCGTGTATCAGAGGAATCGGGCTGGCCACCATGTTGCCGTTTTGGTCGTAATTTACGAGGTTCGAGTTCACTTGGTTCACTGCGTCGTTCGGGTCTACCGCGGGAAAGCCGTAGTTTTTCTGCAGTTTGTTTACCATGTCATGGTCCAAATTTGCGCTCACATCAGTGACTTGCTCCCAAAGCGTATCGCGGATGGTGTCGACCAGCTCGTAGGCCTGCATACACTTCTATCACACCAAAAAGTGTTAACGTTAACGGACTTTGGCATGCAGGAATGCACGAAAAATGAAGCCCAAATCTGTATTGCATAGCATGCACGATAGCGAAGATTTGTCATGCGTGACTGCAATCATGCCCCAGAACCGTTAACGTTAACACTTTTTTGCCTGGTAACTTCGTGGCCATGCTTTCGACGAATTCCGGCTTCATCGGATTTCCGTCCATTTGGTCAACTGTAAAAATGTCTGGGTCTGGAAGAATCCAACTTGTCATGCTGATTTTGGATTCCAAAAAAATCTGTATTGCATGAACAGCAAAGAGAGTCCAAGTTTTGCTACACAGAAAGAGCATTTGTCATGCGGTATAAGCATCAGGTAGCCCTCACAATAAAATCTGTGACGCTAGGGCATGCATCACAGACATCAGGAGTCATGCAAAATGTGCATGACAAACCTGGCAATCTTCCAGACCCAGACACTCTTGCATTTGATACATTTGGTCAGAGTCGAAATTCGCGACCGGTATTTGCGTCATCTCCACCTGCGTCGGCTTGTGAGCGATGTCGTTCCCCTCAGTGTGTTATCAAATGTAAAAATGTCTGGGTCTGGAAGAATGCAACTTGTAATGCGTATTTCAGAACACAGAAAAGTCTCTCATGCATACGTAGCAAAAGCTGCCCACTTTTTGTCAGCAAAATAGGGGACTTGTCATGCGGATTCGGCATTGCGGAGGCTTCTCGAAACCTGTGATGCTGGCGCTTCCATGCCAGACCTTCTGTGTCATGCAAAAACAGCATGGCTCTTCCAGACCCAGACATTTTTACATTTGATATGTGTCGCAGGTCAATCACGCACAGGTCGCCCAGGTAAAAATCCGTGTCCATGAATTTTGCCCACTCCGTGCACTTCGGGGCGTCGGGCTGAAAAAAGGCGTTAAAAAACTCCGGGTATTTTTCCGCGCACTGGGTTAAGTTTGTTCCCGTATGCTGTGCAAAAGTATCGCACTCGTACTAATTCTAATTGCAAATATGCATGACAAATAATCTTCCTCCCAAGAATGTACAACAGCAAGAATACAAAGTCTACTTTTCTTCTTGCGAGTAGAATTTGTAATGCAATTTCTACTAGTACTTTACTTTTGCAATGCATATCCCGCACCACCACTCAATTCCAGCATGTTCCTTTGCCCCACGTACTCCGAGATGTAGGTCTGCCCGGTGCTGTCGTAATTCAGGGTCATGGACATATCCATGGAAGCACGACGCTGTTGTTCTAATTCAACACGCAGCTCTAGATCTAGTTGTGCTCGACCGGTAGTTCTTGTGTGGTTCATCTTAGACAACTGCTGCTGCTGTTCCTTGCTGTGATACAGGTGGTCCAACCTCGACAACCGGCGGTCCATTTGCAAAAACTGCTGCTGATCATGATGAAGATCGTCCAACATCATCTGTGTGCCTGCTTGCGAAACAACTTGATGACCTTTGTTGTTTGCAGTACTACTTGTACTGGTAGATTCCGCTCTTTCCTCATTCCTAGATGAAGAGAGAGGATGTTGAACAGCCCTACGCTGGTGCAGGCCAAGAAGCCGGTCGCGGAGCAGCTGCTTGTTAATATCGAAAAACTTGCTGCCATTGCTGTTGCCCGCCGTGTTTTTTGTCGCACTAGAAGGAACGAGGTGCAACGAGCCGACGGCAGACGACATTGGAAAGACGAAGCGATTGTTTCTTTCCAGAAAAGACGAGGAGCGAGAGAATTGCGAGTCGTCCCCCAAGGTTGCCGTGTTACAGGCCCGCGACTTGCACGCCGCCGAGTACAGTCCGGGTTTCCCTTCCGTCCGGGTTGCCCCTCCCACCTTGCCGCCTTTTGGCCAGCACCAACCGGACACGTAGGGCCGCTCATCGGCCGTAAAAACAGTCCCATCGGTTGTGCCGTAGGTAAACAGCACGCAGTCTGTATGGATGTGTCAGGATTGAAATCGACAAAGTTGAAATGATTTGCCATGCATAAAAATGCAAGAACGCAAAAACTGTCTCTATTGCGGAGGACGCTAGGGAGGCAGATTGTAAGCCTGCTGACGTGTAAAAATAGAGCTCCTAAAGTAGCATGACAAAAGGCGCCGCCCTTACCCAAACAGCATGACAAACTGGATTTATGTTCTACCCAAATTTGTCATGCGCCACTTGGAAAATGGGCGTCAATTGGCATCCGTTTTATGCATCACAAGCTCTTTCAACTTTGAGGATTTCAATCCTGACGTTTCCATAGTCTGGCATTTTGTCGCAGATGTATTTGCACATGTACATGAATTCCCGGTTGTTCGGGACCGAGGTGCATCCTGTGCAAAAGTATCGTACTCGTACTGATTGCGTTTATCCATTACAAATCTTTTTCTTAAGGAAAATCCGCATTACAAATTCAATTTGTAAAAATGCTAAGTCAATTTGTAATGCAAGTTATCCTAGTACGATACTTTTGCAATGCATAAGGTGGCCTTGTTCATGCTGTCCACTGGATCCGTCCACAGCCAGGATGTGGTTTTGTCGATCGTGAAAAGGTAGTTCTCCACAAAGTGTCTCAAGTTCGGCGGGTGACGAAGTCTCGGCGGTTGTGCAACTCCCTGGTAGCCATCTTGGGTATCGTCCTATCCAAGCAAAAAGGATTTATTATAGGAGTAACTTTTTTTGGAGGAACAGCAACTACAAATCTGTCCTGTGGCATGAGAGCAAAAACCCAAAGCTGTCATGCGCACATATGACCATGTCAAAACGCGCTTGAATGGACCTTGCAACGCATGTCCAGAATGACCACAGACCGACGCAATCATCTTGCGTGTTGCGCATCACAAAGAAGTTCCACTAACAATCATGTTTTTTTCCTGGATATGTCCGCCTCGGTTTCGTAAAGGATAAAGTCCCACTTCATTCGGTCCACATCCTCGATGCTGTGCGTGTCACTTCTCACGTAAGCGTGCTGCTGCATCACCATGAGCTGCCTTCTGACAATGTCGATTTCGTCGTAGTATGTTTTGCACAAGGCTGCCTGTTCGTCGATGTAAGCTTCTGTCAAGATTGGCTCCCCTTTGTCGTCGAGCTGCTCGAAGTTTTTCTGATTGACGTCTTTCATGTCATCCACGCTCTGCGATTCGACGTTCGGATCTAGGTCGACTTTGCACAAGTCCCCCAGAAAGTAGTCCACAGCCGGAATTTGCGTTGTCCACGCCGATTTGTCGCAGTCAAGAGCCCCGGTCGCGTAACCGTCACTGGCATCACCCCCGAGTCTGTTATTCAACTCGTGCCATGGCGTGGCTATGGCTTGATCCGCGGTGATGCTGATGCCAAGGTCAGACCCTTGTTGATTGGCCGCACTGGTTCCCATCATCGTTTCCCAGTCAAATTTCGATTCGTCGAGGTTACTTGAGGTAGAATCTGAACCGGTTTGTTGAGTCGATGTTGGGGTGCCTTGTAGCTGTCCTTTATCTCCCTGCCCCGCCGAAGAAGTTGTTCCATTTGCGTCCTGCTTCTCCAGGCGTGTCGGTATACCCTGGTTCCCAAGCTCTTCCTCGCCGGCGCAGCAGGAGGAAGAGGGTTCATCTGCGTGTAGTACCCCCTGACCCGGAGGATGGCTGACCGTGTTCTTTTTGGCAGAGCTCGCGGATCTTCCCGTGGTCAACGTCCCTTCGTGTTCGTTTAGTTTTTTCTTCTTTATTTTGTGCTCCGCAAAACGCTGTATGAACCCGGTGCCGGTAGCAGGCTCAGATTTCTGTCCACCCACGACCAGTTGTTCCGCATCTGGTCTGCCTTCTGTCCTCGTGCTATCGCTATGATCCATGGAAGTAGTACTACTACCAGCAAATGCACTAGCTGCACGTCGACTTCTCGAGGGTGCGCTCGTGGAGTTGGAGGCATCTGAATCTGTACTACTAGGATCATGATGGTCCAGGTTATTTGACGCTTGGTCTCGTTCACCTGCTTCCTCGAACTTAGAATCTACATCATGTTCCTCGTGGTCTTCTACTGGTCTTCTACTCCTGCCTATTGATCCCGATCCGTTTCCGTTTTTAGTGCCACTACTAGGTCCACTGCTCCTGCTTCTACTCCCCACCACAGACGTGCGGTGCAACTGGGCCGAATTCTTGCGCTTTGACACAGAGACTGTAACGGCGGAAACGTGAACTAGGGGGAGAAACTGCTGAATTATAGTAAACGTCGTCGTCGTGGTAATCGTTCTCGATTCCTCGAGAACAATTATACAACAGATGTAGCCCAACAGCAGCAGCGCAACAATTTGCGCCAGCACTGAGCAAGGCCGTCCTGGGGGTCGCCTACGTCCAAAGCTGCGGAGGTCGTGCCCTCGTCTTTTGACCCGCTTCCTGCTTCCCAACCGTGTTCTTGGTGTAGTCCTACAGCAGGAGATGAGATGATAATATCTGCTCGTCTTCAGTAGCTCCTGCTTGGTGATGTGAGGAGCGATGCGTTTCCTCATCACTGCGAGGAGCGATTCGTTTTTTAGCTGCATGGTTTCGTGTGCTGTTCCTCGTGAGGAGCGGTCATGTTGGTGCGCAGACCCAGCACCAGCTGCATTGTTCCCACAAGAAGAAGCTTTTTCTAATTTGTTCTTCATATTTCTCTTCCACACGCATTTGACCTTCAGTTGTCGACCTCCGAATAAAGCACTAGATGCTTGCTTTGCTGGGCTGTACTTGTCCTGCGGCCAAGCACTCCATGGCGATTTTCATTTTCATCTTCAGAGGGCGGCATTTATTCTTGTCATGCTTGCATGCACATGCATATGCAACAAGCATGATTGAGCCCCTCGAGCTCCTGAAGAAAAAGAAATTTGATTCAACACTAGGACGAGGAAGTAGTACGGAGCTCCTTGTTGTTCTAATTCTAATATCAAGACGTGAAATAAAAATGGAGCGTCGATGTTGGAGTGACGAAGTAGTTTGGAACATGAAACTTGTTTGAAATATAAATTCATTACGACGACCTCGACCACGACCCAGGCGCCATCCACAACACCATCCTGAAGGTAACATCTGACACTGACACGACCTGAACTACACGAACACCTCCATATGAAATCCGATCATAATTCTGATCCTTGTTTGCAAGATTCACACGACGAATTTTCACGACGTATAGGATTCTTCATGCTGATGTTTCAGTGGACGAGTGGACGTCCTTCATTATCCCCTGACGAGGATTTCTTTGCAAAAAGAGGAACAAATACCATCCCACGATATGAAAATGGAAAATGACGAAGCGAAGACGATTTCCATTTCTTGGAGCCGGTAGATCAGCAGACAGAAAGGTGAGCAAGTACGAACTTCTCTAGAAGGACCGAAATGAAGTACTTAGCTGCGATGTCATCATGATGTCCCTAAGAACGGGGAAACTGAACAAGACGCTCGTGAACACAAGAACCAGCTCGCTTCTGCTTGAGCTATGCGTTTATGGTACTTACGCTCTTCTATTTGCTTATTTCTTTTTTGGTTGATTATGATTTTCATCCGACCTGCAACTGTGTTTCTGTTTCTTTCTGTGTAGCAGTTTACTCCTCCTGCTGTATTCTATGTATATGGCCAACGATCAAGTCAAAACTGTAGGCGCATATATGTTCTAATTTTATATGTAGTTGTTCTTTTGCGTCACTCCTTTTGAGCAACATAGAATTTCGTTTCAAAAAATACGTAACCTACTGTTCCCTGCGACAGAGCCACCGCCGCGTAAAGTTAGAGGTACAACTGGGAATATGTTCTTGTAGAGAAAAAGTGTACTCTGCGAGTTCGACTACTAAAAGCTGGAATAGGAATACACATATTGATATTCCGTGCGGTTATTTCATCGGCGTTGTGCCATACTCGTGTCAACAAACTAACGTGGTCCTACCCTGCGGCTGCGGCCATGTTGTGTTGTCATAATTTGAAGCCTAATTCCAAGGGCAAGCACAGTCGGAATCTATCCCATTTCCAAGCTGTAAGTATGTACTTTTTCATGATGCTGCATGCTGCTGAGCCAGATGCTCACTAATTACTAATACTTTTGATGAAGTAAAGAGAGAACCACGAGGACTCAAAGCATCATGAAGGGTTCAAAACATCAATAAATGTCGCTCCTCCGGGACGATGATCTACTCGGGCGCAATATGATTCAACGCACTACTGCCCCGAGCTCCTCGTCCGTCCTTGGGGCAACTTGAAGTAGAAGCTTGTTGCTCGACATGGTCGACAACCAGAGGAGCTGCGACAGGTCTACAACTAGAACTACATCTTCTTCTTCACTGCACAAGCGCATAGAGCACAAGCAAAAGCTTGTTATTTCTACTACACCCTAGAAATGCAGAGAGATGTTGAGGCCTCATTTTCGAATCAAAAGGTGTTGCAGTACCGGGTACGATCTAGTACTAAGTCTCGTAGAAAGACAAAGATCCAAAGATGAAGATGAACCCTTGAGGCGCTGCTCGACAAGAATAAATCAGGCCTTCTTGCTACTTTTTTTTACTCATTTTGCAACTAACGAGCAACTACACTAATGTCGCCACTTCTAGATATCGCCCAAAAACCGGTTTTGCTGCACCACTGGCAGGGCAGCCACCGCCTTTGCTACCACTTCCTTCCACGGAGCTGATAAACCTTCCGCAGAACAACAAGAACTACCTGCGAAATCATCACTCCTTTCCGACGAAAGTACATCCTCGAAGCTGAAGCTGCTGATGTCCGCAGTAGACGTGGTAGATGTGGACCTACTGGTACAACTACCACCTCCGCTGCTAGTACTTGTCATAATTTTCAACTTCCCGAGGAGGTCCGCAAACTTGCCCAAGATTTTTTTGTCCACCTCATCCAATTCCTTCTCCAGCCTCAGTACCCCCGCGTCTTGATGCAACAGTCTGTGCAATTTCGAAACGGCACGGATCACGTTCAGCACCTCAGACAATTCCGCCTGCACATTAGCGTATCCGTAGAGCTCCTGACAAGCATTTTTCCGCCCGATTCGAATCCCCGCCTGGGCTTTACTCCTCGGGAGCTTCTCGAACAGGGTTTTTGGGTTTTGAGTCGAAGTTGTGGGTGATACAGCTTGTGATGCTGTTGATGTTGTAGTACTGGCGGCAGTGGGACTGGGACCTCCTGTTCCATGCGGCGTGGTTTCCTTTTCTTGAGTTGCAGTCCTGCTTGAAGAAGGCGCGACGAGCGGACTACTTCTCGTGCTGCCGGCGAAAACCGCGACTTTGGTTCTCACGTCATGCTTCAACTCTTCTAACTCGTATGGATTGCAAAAGTGTCTGGGTCTGGAAGAATTGGAACTTGTCATGCGATTTCTGGAACAGTTAAAAATTTGTGTTGCATAAGCACCAAAAGCCTCCCATAATTTCTTGCTACGCAAATAGGGAATTTCCCATGCGGGATTGACATCAGGAGGCCTGCGCAAGACCTGTAATGCTTTTGCGTGCAGTATAGCCCAGTTGCGTGATCCAGAAGATGCATGACAAACTCCTGCAATCTTCCAGACCCAGACATTTTTACATTTGATAACTCACGGTGCTTCGCCAGTCGTCGCGTCTTCGCGTTGTCCTTCAAATAAAGTCCTGGAAAGACGACGGCACTAGCAGGTTCTTGTTCATCAGGTAGACTTAGTTGTACGGGACCACCAGCTCCTGCACCACTCGCTGCAGATAAATATTTTGAAGGATACCCCGCCGCGGCCGCAGCATTCAGCGCCATTTTCTTGAAAAGCAAATCCTTGAAGCTCCTCAAATTCAACATCCTTCTCACCTCATCATCCTCCAGGAACCGTTCGACTGCGGCGGCCTTGCTAACGTTTGGCAAGGTCATCCGGAGGACGGAGGTGGGGCCTCGAGATGAAGTGCAGTCGGACGAACCACCGTAACAAGACTGGCTCGTATCACTAGTACAGATCTCCCAATTGTACTTGAAACTACCCGCATAATTTTCCTCCAGATAGCTCGTCAGTGCCGCCTGCAGGCGAAGCTGGGCTCGCGTGATTTTAATATTCCACCTTTCGACGTCGTTCATCCTCATCGCGTGTTGTACTTGTAGTTCCGCTGCTGCTTCTTCATCCACCAGCGGTACTGATGTCATGGACGACACTGTAGGCCCCCGCTGCACAGGCATGTTCGGCCAAACCCAGTCAGCACGGAGCGCCGGCGCGAGCTCGTTATTGTCTACCTTCCGAAGCAAAGTCTCTGCGTCGTAGAAAACGACTGGATCAACGTCATATGTACACGTAGTTTTTCTTTTTGCAGCTTCGTCGGTTTTGCTTTTCGACGTCGACGTCGCACTGGCTTTAATGTTCTTCAGAGGAGCGCCCTCTTGTTCTCTCAGTTTCTTCGCAAATTCTTCTAGTTCCCTCTTCAGCAAAGAGGCCGAATCTACTGCTGCTGCTGGTCCTGGTGCCTCGTCCAAGAACATGTTGGTCCTCTTCTTCATCTTCGACAATCTCGATTTTTTATTTTCGACTTCCACGCTCTTGGTCTTCCTCATCTTGCTTTCTTGTGCTGCTAGCGCGTAAGTTTCCTTTCGGGATGTGAAGTGGAGCTTGATGTTTTCCCCGAATTCCGCTCTTCCTTCTGCAGTGAAGACCTTTTCTTCCGCAAATCTCAGCAAGACGCTGAAGCCGTCCACTTGTAGTGCGTGTTGCTCTTGTCCTTGTTCAACAAAACCTAGTTGATGCCGTTCTTGCGTGGACCTACTACTTCTCGCTGCTACTGCTGCGTATGTCCACGCACCTGCTATCATTAATCCGGGCGGCGGTTGTTGTAGTGTGGCCGACGAGGACGTCCACCTGGTCGCGTGATAGAGAGGTCCTGCAGCTGCTGGTGCTGCTCCTCCTGCTCCCCGGCTGGAAGATGAAGCTTGTGCTTGCTCCACCGGTGGCGAGCTGCGGCTTTTGATGTCTTTCATATCCCGCAACGCGAACTCTTTGATCACTCTGCCGCCGAACCCTTGGACATAAGCACCGTTCACGTAAATTCCCGGGCTGGTCTTTGGATCGTAAAAATTATTATACGAAGAATTTTTAATATCGGAGGACGACTCGCGGTGGTCAACAACATCCAGAGCTGATGTAGCTTGGTCCTCGTCGACGTTCTCTTTGTCGTCCAGATAATTCTTTGCTAGAAGTTCCACATCGGCTCCTCGCTGTTCCACTCCCGCCAGCCGCTTGTAGCCCTCCTCAAACTTTTTCGCAACCACGGACGGATTTTCCGCACTGACGGGGAGCACCGTCGTGGTCGCAGCTGCCCCGGTTGCTTGAAAGCGTTTCAGAGCCAAGACGTTTCGCTTGAACTGGGATATTAGCTCCTGGTGACATGTTCTACTTGGTACACGCCGGCTGTTGGTGTTGCTCTCTCTGGTTGTAGTACAACTTGCATTTCCTTCCTGATTCTCGTTTTCCACATTTAGAAGTGCAATACCCTGATCCTGAATCCCATCATCCTCCGCTTCGTCCAGGATGGGGAATAAAAAGGCCTCGTCCAAATCCAGCACAACTAGCGGCTTATTGAGGTACTCCAGCATGGAGCGGAGAGCGGCCGGCTCATTTAACAATATTTTCTGCGACAGAACATCAACAAGAGGACCCTGCTCACTGGAGCTGGCATTTTTGACGTCGCTTTTCTTGTCCTCGGAATGATGTTCTACTTGTTGGCCGGCTAGTACTGCTGGTGCTGGTGTTCCAGTGTCTGTTCGGCTTGTTCTTCCATTTGCATCTTCGACTACAGGAGCGCCAACAATTTCTGCTTCCGCAGGGACCACGTCGAACGCGGAAAAATGATGCTCCTGTTGAGCAGAGACTTTTCTTGGATCTTGGTACAATTTCTGTTCTCGTTTTCCCGGAATTGTTGTTGTAAACCAAGCCCCTGGAAGGTGATGTTGTTCACCACTGCTGTCTTTTTTCAAGATCCCTTGCAAGGACGAGGGCCTGCTTATTTCCACACCTGCGGTTGAAGAGGCTGCGCTAGAGCTGCAAGTAGGTGAAGGAGCCGAAGGTTCTTGTTCTTCACTGCAATGGGTCCTCACGCCGAGGGCCTCAGCACGACTTCCCTGTTCGATGTTAGCCGCGACCCCAAGAACTACACTCGCTTCAGCCTGTAGTGACGCGGCAGCTTGTAGGTCGTGACCGTCCCGCCTTCGTAGTTCTTGTACAAGAACGTTCTGGGTGGAGTAGTTTTTTTCAAGCTGATATCATTTGTAAAAATGTCTGGGTCCTCTGGAAGAATCCAACTTGTCTGTCATGCTGATTTTGGATTCTAAACAAATCTGTATTGCATGAGCAGCAAAGAGAGTCCAAGTTTTGCTACACGGAAACACCATTTGTCATGCGGTATAGGCATCAGGAAGCCCTCACAAAATCTGTGACGCTAGGGCATGCATCACAGGCATCAGCAGTCATGATGCAAAATGTGCATGACAAACCTGGCAATCTTCCAGACCCAGACATTTTTACATTTGATAGCTGACGCTTTACTTTCCGTCGTTCCTTTTCTTCGACGTACTGACACAGGAAGTCCCCCAATCCCGGCGGCTCGCCGTGGGCCTCCGCCGCGGCAGCGGCCGCGTTGGTGGGGGTCTCGCGGTGCGCGATGTGGCCCAGAAACGTCGCCGCGGTGGCGCACCAATCCAGAAGCTGGGGCGGGGTCGTGTGGGTCGTGGGGGCCGTGGGGGTGGTACTGGTAGTGTAGTTCTTCGCCGTTTTATTGGTACTAGCGGCGGAGGAAGTAGTTGTAGAAGTACTACACGCTGCGTCTTTCGTAAGAACAAGACCAGAAGTTTTTGCAGCTTCATCAAGAACACCGTAGACGACGGTCATTTTAGAAGCGGGCGGGAGACGAATCAATGAAAGTAGCTGGTGCAGCAAGTACGGCGGTAGTATCAATCTAGGTGTGTAGTTCCTGCAATTGGGTCTGTTGCGGTTGCTTGGAGTAGTAAAAATTTGTATCAAGAATCCAGAACACAACTGGGGTTCGGATGGAGATGGTTGCTATCAAACTACAACAGTTCTTCTTTCTTCAGTTTAAAAGTACACGTACGGCAGATATTTAACTTACGTAGACCACGAGTTTCTATCTTGCTCTACTCAGAGAAGTCGAGTATAGGAGGCGTAGAAGTGCTACAGCTACCAATACTTACTCAAGAACAATTTCAGGAACTGTACCTGTACCTGTTTCGAAGATTTTGGAGAAGACAGAAGAGAAAATGAGTCAAATACTAACTTCAAGACACATGTTGGAATTGGAATTTCATGTGGCCATGCCGAATCGGAAGAGACTACAAAGAGTCAGATCATGATCCCGTGACCGACCACCGAAACGAAGGAGGAGCAGCTCTACTGATCAATATTTGTTGATTTGTACTTCTACTTCTTTGTTTCCTTCCATGAACGATACCTAAAGATCGGCTCCACGGAGGTGGCCAAGGAGGAAAGCTCGATAGCTTTGCTTTTGCACGAACCGATTTTTTCACGCAGATCTTTTTCTTTGCCTTCGTAGAAGATTTTTGATCTTGCCGATTTATTTTTTGTCATCAATTATGCTCGTATCTTTCACTTTCTCCTGAGAATGAAGCACGACAGCTCCAGCTGTTGTTCTACTACGTAGATATTAGGACCTACAGGATCCACGCGCACGCATGATCCCTCCACGGGGTTTGCGGGGCGCAATCGAGCTTGACCCTGTCCCCGGGCGGAAAACAATCCACTCATCCTGGTACGGACGAGCAAGAGTGTGTAGTAACCCTCTGCATTCATGATTTGGACGAACAGCGCAGGAGGTGAACAAGGATTGTGCTTGTGCCTGGGCCGCACATGGTTCGGGAAGCGACTCAGAGCGCTGCACCGGCGGGCTCTGTTTCCAATGTTCCTGATGGCAGCATCAATGCGTCTTCGCTACTAGCGTCGTGTTGATTTTTAATTTTAACGCGGTCTTTCAATTATGGCAGCGGCGGGCTACAAGCTGCCTTGCGCCGCGTTCATCGTGCATCCTGCACTCTAGCGGATGCTGCTGCCTCTAGTACTTTGGCTTTGCAGGAGTAATATACAAAGTCGGTCCATGCAAGATGCGATCTTTGGCCGCACGGCAATGGTCATCATACATCAGTAACAAAAACAATGCCCAGTGGTCAGTGGTCAAAGAGGACGGGAGAGGACCAACGCGTTGGACGTGGAGTAGTAAGTACTCACGGTCTTGTGGCTAGCTCCTCTCCGTCCCGGTCTCCCTCTGAATGTAGTTGTGCCAATCAATACCTACACCATGCGTGAATCTTCTTAAACTAATCCTTAGCAAATCAAAATAGGAAGCTTCCTTAGTAAATCTTCAAAACAGAAGTCTTCTACTTATAATCCTTTGGTAAATAAGCACGCAGGTTGGACAGCCTAGCTTATATGAATTTCGACGAAGTGCAGCTATGGCTTCGCGACTTGTTGCGTGCTCTTGACTTTCATCGGTTCAAGCACCTCTTTCCCCGAAATTTTTCAAAGATCAACAAGCTCCTTGCTTATGCTGTCGCGCTCACAAAAGTTTTTTCAAGCAGCTTGCTGGCCTTTGGTCTATAGTCGGTAGAAGAAAGTAAATTTGCAAATCATTTTTGTAGACAATTGCAAATACTAAAGCACAATACCAAAACAAGTGTAAAGAGAATTCCAAAACAATTCCATCCAGGTCGGGTTTGCTGCAATTCCGAAACACAACATTCTGTATAGCACAACACCGAGTCAGGATGTGATGACGCAATCAAAGATGAGAGAAAAGACAGCAGCGAGAACGAAAAGGCACGTCCTACGATAACTTTGTCTGGCAGTAAGAAATCGCATACAAATACTAGCTCGCGCTACCTAGTGCAGCCGCATGCGAAATTGGAGACAAGACTATCCTGATTCTAATACGACAATAAACTCCCAGGTAGTATTAGAAAATGTCTGCCATGTGGCTGCGCCGCCACGGGGTTTTTCGGCATGCAGGTTTGCATGACAACTCCGGGGTGGCTACGTTATTGCGCAATATATCAAGGAGGGCGATAGAGATGAAGAAATCAAGGCGCGCCCTGCGATAATCTAAAGGAGCGCTTCCTTCATCAAGTCGAGAAGCTGTCTGGCGCGCTCTTGCTGGCCATTATTCAGGTAGTAATTGAAAAGCGCGCGGAAGGTTTTTTCGTCAGGCGCTCCCACGGTTTCGTCCTTAGACATCAGGTCCAGGACCCTCTCAACGCCTTCGCTGATCTCGGTTTCGCCCCTCGGGTCGCCCGCTTTCGTGTGCGCCCTTATCCACATGTTGTAGGAAGCGACATTCGGCACCACCCCCACATGCTTCATCCTTTCGAAAGTACGCTCCACGCCCGCGGGGTTGCCTTCCTTGGCGTGCGCGCCCATTATCGCACTAAAGGTGAATATGTTCGGCTTCCGGCCTGCACTCTCCATCTTTGCCAGAGCTTCCTCGGCGGCCCCGGCGCTGCCGCTCCTAGCTTGGGCGCACACCAGGGCGCTGTAGCTGCGGACATCGGGGCGCAAACCTGCTTGCTCCATCTTCTGCAACGCCATCTTTGCGCCCTCAACGTCGCCTCTTTTCGCGTGGGCGCTCAGCAGGATGCCGTAGCTGACGACATTCGGGCGCAGCCCTGCCTGCTCCATCTTCTGCAACGCCATCTTTGCGCCCTCAACGCCGTCCCTTTTCGCGTGGGCGCTCATCAGAGTGCTGTAGCTGACGACATCCGGGCGCAGGCCTACTTGTCCCATTCGTCGCAGTGCCCTCTCTGCGCCCTCAACATTGCCGCCTTTCGCGTGCGCGTTCAGCAAGGTGTTGTAGCTGACGACGTCCGGGCGCAGGCCTGCGCGCTCCATCTTTTGCAACGCCTTCGCCGCGCCCTCAGCGTTGCCGCTTTTCGCGTGCGCGTTCAGCAAAGTGTTGTAGCTGACGACGTTCGGGCACAGGCCTGCTTGCTCCATCTTTTCCAGCACCCTCTCTGCGCCCCCAGCATTGCCGCTTTTCGCGTAAGCGCTCAGCGCGGTGCTGTAGCTGACGACGCCCGGGCGCAGGCCTGCGCGCTGCATACTTTCTAGAAGACGCTCCGCAGCCTCAGCGTTGCCACTTTTCGCGTAAGCACTCATGACAGTGGTGTAGCTGATTTCGTTCGGTTTCAAGCCTGCCTCCATCATTTGGCCAAGAACTCTTTCGGCGCTCGGGCCGTCGCCACGTTTAGCGTGCGCACTCATGAGCACGCTGTAGACAACGACATCCGGCGAGCTGACGACGCCCGGGCGCAGGCCTGCGCGCTGCATACTTTCTAGAAGACGCTCCGCAGCCTTGGCGTTGCCACTTTTCGCGTAAGCACTCATGACAGTGGTGTAGCTGATTTCGTTCGGTTTCAAGCCTGCCTCCATCATTTGGCCAAGAACTCTTTCGGCGCTCGGACCGTCGCCACGTTTAGCGTGCGCACTCATGAGCACGCTGTAGACAACGACATCCGGCGCGACGCCCTCGGCTTGCATGCTGTTGAAGAAACTTTCTGCGCCCTTAACGTCACCTTCCGCAGCGCGGTCTGCTATTTGCTTCGTGATCTCCAAGAGCCGCGCGCCGTGACTCTCACCGCGAGATGAAAGGGCCCCGCTGATGGAAATCGGAATCGGTCCACCAGCTTCAGCTTTCCCCCGTCCCACGTCGCGCGACGTGGATCTACGACGAGAGCCCGGCCCTGTGCCGCAACCTTTCCCGCCGCTGCCTCCTCCGCGTCCCGTTCCCTTTGTCGAACGACACCCACCACCACGTATGCATTGCAAATGTGTGTGGGTCGGGAAGAATGGAGCTTTTCATGGTGCTCGGTCTCGATCTCAAAAAAATCTGTATTGCATGAGCGCCAACATTTGCCAAGTTCTGGCTACACAACAGGCGGAGTTTTCATGCGTAGGCATGACGAGGGTCTCGCAAGCTCGATGATGCTTCTGCACGCATTCCAGACAACGCGCGCGGCCCGCGACACGCATGACAAATGAATCTCGCGATCTTCCAGACATACACATATTTGCAATGCATAACCGGTCCTCCAGCTGCATTTGCACCTTTCCCGCCAGAAGGGCCGCCGCCTGTGGAACGCGTAAGCGGTCCTCCAGCTGCATGCTGCCCCTCCCCGCCAGCCAGGCTATCGCTGATGGAAATCGAAATCGGTCCTCCAGCTGCATGCCCCGCTTCCCCGCCAGCCAGGCTCTCGCTGATGGAAATCGGAATCGATCCTCCAGCTGCAGTTCCACCTTTCCTGCGTCCCACGCGCGACGTGGATCTACGACGAGACCCCGGCCCTGTGCCGCCACCTTTTCCGCCGGTGCCTCGTCCGCGTCCCGTTCCCTTCATCGAACGCCAACCAGTACCACGTATACACTGCAAACATGTCTGGGTCTGGAAGAATGGAGCTCTTTATGGTGCTCAGTCTCGATCTCAAAAACATCTGTGCTGCATTTGCAGAGTTCTGGCTAGACAACCGACGGAGTTTTCATGATTAGGCATAAGGAGGGTCTCGCAGGATCTGTGATGCTTCTGCACGCATAGCAGACCATGTGTGCGGCTGCGGTCCGCGACACGCATGACAAATAAATCTCGCAATCTTCCAGACCCAGAGGACATATTTGCAATGCATAATCGGTTCCCAAGCTGCGTTTTCGCCTTTCCCGCATCCCACGCGCGACGTGGATCTATGAGGAGACCCCGCCTCCCTGGTGTGTCCCTTGTTCGTCCAGGCCTTGCTCAATTCCGCGGCCTCGCGGTCCTTTTGCCGATTATAAAGCACCGCTCGCAACTTTTCATATGCGTGCGTTGTCAGCCGACAGCTCTCAGGTGCCTCCAGCAAATAGTAGAAACACTGAGTCGCCTCCTGTAGCTTTCCTGCGGCTAGCAGCTCTAGCACGTCGCAGCGTGACGAAACGGAGGAAGAAGCGGCTGCGCTGGAAGCGGCAACCAAGGTCAGATGCGAGGTTGCAAACAAACTAGTGCAAATGTTGTGCAGGCAGCCGAGAGCGCAGAACGCCCCTACTTTGGTGTAGCTCTTCAACATCATTGTAATCCTGCTTCCGGATGATCCGGATGTTTGTTAGAAGTTGGGGTATAATAATAATTTCTTCAAAAAAATTTTACTGATAGATACAACTTTTTTTTCAGCTTGTCTGTTGACAGGTGGGCTGCTTTTGACTTCTCGAAGGGATGTTACAGGCAAAAAGGTTTCAAAAAAGGAGAAAAAAGATCAAAATGTTGTTGAGTAGAACAAGTGATGCAATAAATACTGATGTGATTTGTTCGAGTTACAGCTTCTAAGGCCGTGAACGAGAGACAAAGAGGTCGACGTTGAATTTGAAGAGACTGTTCTTTTGAAAGAGAAAAAAAATGTACTACACAGATATATTACTGTTGGGCGAAGACTAGCCCGGACCGATCAAAAATACTTCAAATGATCAATCTGATGCTTTCGATTTAGCAGGAGATGATTTGTTACCGAACCTAGAAGTACATTGGAAGATCACCTCACTCATGCCACCGATGGAAGTGAAACGAGCCTCGGATCCGATCATTTCTCATTCTTGCTCCTATTTTTCGTTGACAGAAGTGTGTGGAAGTGGATCTGATGAGATTGATCTGCTCAAATTGATTTTAGTTTCTTTTCATCCAATTATCTGTATCCCAGACCGCGCCGCTGGACTGCTTCTGATCTTGTTCACTTCTTCAGGATTTATTCAAGAAATACGTGCATCACCGAAATATTGCATCTCTTGTGCTGAAGCTTTGAAGGTGTTGATCCTCGTCATAATGGTTTTCGTCGTGAGACTGAGAACACAACTGCTCCTTTCGGGCTCGGATTCGACTTCTACTTCGTCCTATCGGCGTTTTCATCTTCCAACTTTTAGATTTAGCTGGGACTACTTCATTTGGCCGTGAATAATTCAAATGCTCATCATACATCCGTAACAAGAACAAATATGCCCAGTCAGTGGTGGAAGAGGACGGGAGAGGACCAAAGCGTTGGACTCGGAGTACTACTCACGATCTTACTAGATCCTCTCCGTCCCGCTCTCCCTCTGCATGTGCCAATCTCTGCATGTGCCAATAAACAAAATAAAGAAGAATGCCTACACCTTGCAGGAATCTTCTTCATCCTTAGTAAACCAAAATAGGAAGCTTCCCAAAAGTGGAATCATCTTCCTAATCCAAAAAAAATAATTATGAAGCTTGTTAACCTTTGGTACTTCATCAGTCTGTTACGAATGATAAGAAAAAGATAGTAGTGATTACACCCAGCAGCAAGGGTTCCTGCTGCAGCTGTAGAGAAGGCGAGCCAACTCTTCCGCTGCCAAGGGGTGTACAACGGTGTTAGCTTCCCACCTTCCCCTGGCCCTGTTTCAAATTTGCGTACTTAAGTGCGTAAGCACAGTTTCTTCTTCTTTCTTCGCCACTTCCAGCATCGTTTTCGTGCGTTGTTTCAATAAATAGCTTCTTGCTCCTCTTCCCAAGGTTAGTTGTACAACTACAGGAGTAGCGATCACATCCAATAAATTTTGATTTTCAACTACACAGCCAGCAATGAATTTTATTTTCCCAAAAAAAATATATGAATAGTAAACTTTTAGTCGTGCTTCTCATGGTACAAAAAAAAAGTGCTCTTCGTCTCTTTGTTCGTCTCTTTATGGTAGCCAAAATTTTTCTTCTTAGTACTAGCTCTAGTTTAACTACGTACTTCTATGTATAAGGCGCAACTTCTGCACGAAAAAATGATGACAAAACGCAGGTTTTGCAGAGCGAATTCTTCTGTATCACAGAGGTGGCAGAAGTCCTCTTTACACTTCTCCACGACGAGTAGCACAGAAAAATTCTTCTGTTGTACCTGCCAGAGCGAGAGCAACTACAACTCAAGTAAGTACATTTCTTTAATCCTCGAGCTGCATCAGCAGCTACGTAAAAACTCACATGCCTCAGTCACGGCCGCTGCCCTACTTGCTCAAAAACAAAGTAGGCCGCTTCTTTTGTTGACGCAGCAAAAACTTCCCGACAGCACGACCGCCATGCAGTTACTGTGACTGCGCCAAAAACGGAGACTTCTTGCTGGTGCGCTTCCGCTTGTTAGTAGAGCTACGACGACCTCCTGTGCGAGCGGTGGTCTGTGTAAAGCCAATAAAGGCATCTGGGGTGTACGCTTCCCCACCGAGCATCTCACTCAGCGCCGCCTTGTCGGTGTCATCCAGTCCCCGCACATCACCGACGGTCTGTAGCTTCGCCTTCATCACGGCAGTCGCCAGGTTCAACACCTGGTCAACTTCCGCCTGCACGTTTGGCAAGTTGCCTATGGGATTCTCAAACGTTACATTTTCAAGTGTTAAATGATTTGTCATGCGAAAGCACCTCAAGTCGGCAGATGATCAAGCTGCTTCGCATGACAAACTTGGGAAGCAGGACTAAACAGCACCTAAATCTGCGCCAAACTTGTAATGCAAAAGGCGCAATCTTCCTCCTTTCACTTTTGCCAGTCTTGCATTACAAATTCATGTAACAGTTGAGAATGTAACGTTTGAGAACGCCATATTGCCCAACTGCGAGCAGCGGTCCGTCATACCCACGCGCAGCGCCACCTGCTCCCCGGTCTTCGGCAAGGCCTTAAACATGCCCTCGTCATTCGCGGCGTCCCCGTACACGGCCACTTTGGTCATTACGTCGCGTCGCAACTTTTGCAGGTTTTGTTCTTCATCCAAGGTGTTCTTGTCTGTAGAAGTGGGAACAACATCAGAAGTCGTGGTCGTGTCAACAAAGGGCTCTAGCTTCAAGTGCTCGCGCACTTCCTCGTCCTCCAGAAAGCGCTCCAGCGACGCGCCCTTGTTGATGCCTTTTACGTTCACGTCCAGTTCAGGCCACGGGGCGGCCAGGGGTTTGATTTCGTACTCCATTTTATGTGCCTCTTCAGGCCCGAAAAGCTCCTTGGTGTACTGCTGCAGTGCCTCCATAACGAGGATCTGCTTCGGCCTGATGTTATCCGCATAATGCTTCTCAACGAAGTCCTTCGAGCCGAAGTTGCCTCTGTATGCATTGCAAATATGTCTGGGTCTGGAAATATTTTTGAAGTGGAACCTGTATTGCTTGGCCTGCATGCCTCTGAAATCTTCTGTGTTGCACGAGTAACAAAAGCGCGAAGACTTCTTGTGTCCGGAAAAAAGAAAATGAAAAACGCAGTTCTTTCTCATGCGCGCTACGCATGAGAACAAGGCGTGTCACAAATTTGTCATGTTTGGCTGCACTCGACGAGAGGATGCTCAATCATTGCGATCCAGCATCACAAGTTTCCAGACCCAGACACGACATAGTTTGCGATTCATACCTTGTATTCCCTCTCGATTTCCTCCTCGACCGGCCACACGAACACGGCCGTCAGCGCCGGGGCGAAGACATCCTCGTTGATTTTCTGAATGAGCTCATCACCTGTGTGCACGGGATACTCATTCTCTTCGAGAAACAATTTCCCACCCAGGTGCCCGCGCACAGGGTTCATGTTCGACCCGTCAAGTACGTAGCTCTCGCGCCCGCTGATGAAGTGGAGCCCGATGTGTCCGAATTTGCTGATTCCTTCGTCGGTAAAGACTTTTTCTTTCACAAACTGGAGCAGAAATTCGAAGCCGTCCATAGTTTTTTGACCCAGGTTCCCCGGCTGCGCGGGGGTCGTTGTTGCCTTCATGGACTGAAGCGCAGACTGCTGGATCACTCTGCCATGCAAACCCTGGATGTAGGCACCGTTGACGTAGATGCCCGGCTTGTTACGCAAGCCCTTGCTGTTCCATTTTTGAAGATCTTCCTCTTGCACCTTGTCGAATTTCTTACCGGCCATCTGGAGATTATTCCCCGTGACCGGAAACCCGATGCCCCCGGCGGCTTCGAAGCGTTGCAGGGCGTGTATGGAAGCGTCAGGTTTGAAATCGACAAAGTTGAAATGATTTGTCACGCATAAAATGCAGATCAGTTGGAAGCCCAATTTCCAAGCAGCGCATGACAAATTTTCGGAGCACCGGAATCCAATTTGTCGTGCTGTTTGGGCACAAAAGACTGCTTTTGTCATGCTCCTTTAGCAGCTCTACTTCAAACCCTGAATAGGCTCACAATCTGCCTCACTTGCCAATCCAGCAAGAGAGGCACTTCATGCCTTCCATTTTTTTATGCACGACAAATCATTTCAACTTTGACGATTTCAGTCCTGACGCTTCCATAGCGTGGAGGTTTTTTTTGAACTGCTCGAAGTTTGCGTCCTCCACGAACATATCAAATGTAAAAATGTCTGGGTCTGGAATGTTGCAGGGTTTGTCATGCATATTTTGCATGACCCAGGATCTCTATAATGCACGACCTAGCATCATAGAAGATTTTTAGACGGCTTCCTGATGCCTATTCCGCATGACAAATGCCCTCCCCGCGTAGCACAAACTAGTACTAGACTCCTCTTGCTGGTCATGCAATACAGATTTTTTTAGAGTCCAAAGTTAGCATCACAAGTTCCAACCTTCCAGACCCAGACATTTTTACTCTTGATAGAACAGGGTCTTGTCCAAATCCATGGCCGCGAGCTATCCTGTGCAAAAGTATCGTACTCGTAGTAATTGCAGTTATGCATTACAAATCTTTTTCTTGAGGCAAATCCGCATTACAAATTTCATTTGTAATGCTAAGTCAATTTGTCATGCGATTTATACTAGTACGATGCTTTTGCAATGCATACGAGCGGCTTTTCGACCAATTCTCGCAGTCGTTCCATCCCTTTGCGCCCCGCACGGGATTTCATCTTCCGAAAGTGCCATTTCTTTCTCAGTGTTTCGCGCGCCTCAAACGTGTACAGAAATAACTTTTTCTGCAGAAACTGGCTCCACTTGGGCGGCTGCTGCGCAGTTGAAGCGGAGGAAAAAGCGGCTGCGGTGGAAGCTGCGCGGATGAAGCGGCGATCTATGGATGTGTCAGAGTTGAAATCGACAAAGTTGAAATAATTTGTCATGCATAAAATGGACGCCAGTTGGAACCCGGTTTACAACTGGCGCATGACAAATTTCGGCGGTCCCTAAATCCAGTTTGTCATGCTGTTTAGGCAAAGAAGAGGAATTTCTCATGCTACTTTAGCAGCTCGAACTGTAACCCCTAACAGGCTTACAATCGGCCTCACTTGCCTGCTCTGCAACACACGTACCTCGGGTGATGCATTTTATGCATTGCAGATTATTTCAACTTTGACGATTTCAAACCTGACGCTCCCATAAGATCCTCCGGAGAAATAAGCCCCTTCGCAACCTTGACGGTCCGATCCAGATCATGCGAGGTTGAAAATCTTCTACTGCAGGTCACCATCTGCAGGGTGCAGCCGAGAGCGCAGACCGCCCCCACTTTGCAATAGCTCTTGGACATCATTATAATCCTGGTTCCGGATCCGGATGCTTGTTGTTGTTCGTTGGGGTACTATAATACGTAATTTCTATTTCTCCCAAATTATACAATTTTTTTTACCTTGTTCACAGCTTGTCTGTTAACTACAGGTAGGCTGCTCTCGACGTCTCGAAGGGAAGTAGACTAAGTTAAAGGTGGGAAGCAAACGATCAGAATGCTGAGGTGAAAAAGTGATGAAAGTACTGATGTGATTTCGAGTTACAGCCAAGGCAGTGAACGGTAGACATCAAAGAGGTCGACGTTGAATTTGAAGAGGCTGTTCTTTTGAATGACAAAAAAAATTGTACTGCTCAGATATATTACTGTTGGGCGAAGACTAGGCCGGACCGAACAAAAATACCCGAAATGATCAAAGTGATGATTTCGATTTAGCAGCAGGAGATGATTTGTTACCGAACCTAGAAGTACATTGGAAGATCACCTCATTCATGCCACCGATCATGGAAATGAAACGACAAGCCTCGGATCCGATCATTTGCATTTCATCCCGTTGCTCGACCTATAATTTCTCGTTGACAGAAGTGCGTGGATCTGCTGAGACCGATCTCAAATTAGTGTCTTGCTCTCATGATCCAATTATCTGTATCGCAGACCGCGCCGCTCGGCTGCTTCTGATCTTGTTCACTTTCAGAATTTATTCAAGAAATATGTACATCACCGAAACGTTGTATCACTTGTGAAACTTTTAAGGTCGTGCTGATCCTCGTCGTCATGATTTCAGTCGTGAGCAGACGGAGATGAACACAACTACTCCACGGCCACCTATTTTCAACAACGCGAATAGAACCAATAGCCGATAGTAAGAGCAGCTCGAGCAGCTGTCCCTCCTCGTAACATTTCAGACACATTACTTTCCCAACCCCAACGTCGGGACTGGCAGATGAATACTACGAAGTCATAGTGATCGGGTAAGTAGGACTTCTTTATTCCCCTATGCCGCCAGCACGACTTGGGCTGCTTCTTAACAAAAACAAGGTTGTTGAATAGCCGAAATATAGTAGCAACTGCTCGCTCCAAAGATGAACCAAGAGCAGAGAAGTCGAAGAGCTGCTCGACGCTACTAGTAGTGTCCATTACAGGCAGTCGCTGCACTCGCATCCAATACGCGGGAACGCGAAAGCGAGGCCTGACGCCTTGAGTACCATGCGTGCGCTGTGCTTGATGTTTTTCGCGGTAAAGAAGGACGGCTCTACCTCTATCCAGGAAAAAACACCCATCTTCATCCATTTTTCGCATGACAAACAGTGGATTTTATGCATGTTTTGCATGAGAAATGGGATGGGGACCATGGATGTTTTCTCCTGGATAACCTCCGCACAGATTACACTTTCCTGGTCTTCCGAGACTTCGTCTACGGCTTGTCTGCCAGATATAAACTCCGTCGCCGTACTAGGTACCTCCGGACCTCGTCCACGTGGGTCTTTTAATATTACGTTTACGTCTGTTCCACCTCCTCGTCCCTCTGCAGGATCATCTGCTCCTGTGGTCAACATTTTATTTGAGCCCGGCGCTGCCTTCCTTCTGCCACTTGTGCTGCTAGTACTACTTTTTGGATTGGACGGCGCTGGTGCTTCCTCCGGTAGTACTATTTCTGCAGAAGTGGTCGTTGCACTTTCAATATTTCCACTAATCTGTGGTCTCGACGAGGACGAACTTGCGCTCATGATCCTTCCTTTTCGTGGTCCCACGTTCAATGCGTCGACAGCCGACCGCTCGCTGGTGAGTGCGCGCGTTTTATTTGCTCATATTTTGAACCTATTATTTCAGCAACTGGAAATTGATTACTTATCTGGTTACCGAAAAGTAGAATGGCGTGAACAACAAGAATGACCCGATTCAAATTCAATAGATCTAAATTATAGCCTACTTGAGCAAAGCCAAAGTTGTCATCTGTAGTTCCTGTTTGAGGGTTCTTTTCTTGTACTCAAGTGCTCCCTTGAATTGATAAGATGGAACTGGAAGCGCTTCGTTCTTGTACTAGGTTGTGCTCATCTCTTGGATGGTACTACTACAACTACGCCCATCAAATTCAAAGCGGCGATCATCAGCCAGACAACAACAATTTTAGGATTTCATCTTCTAGTAGTAAGTAGGTGCAACTACAGGCCGAGCAGATACTTAGTGTGGCATGCAATAACTAAGGTCTTCGTCGTGGCCACGACGGATCTTCTTTTTCGACGAGACGACCGAGAAAATGAAGCGTTTGCATCTAAGCATTTTCTTTTTTGCTTTTCGATATGAATTTGGAGGATTTCTTTCATTTCGCTAATATCGCTCTTTTCTTCAACGCTCGAAATAAACCGGGACGGACCACAATTGGTAGGCCTGCTGCTACTCCTGCGATCAAAATATAGAGACCGACTTCTCGATCGACTTATTTATTAGGAACACCATTCTGCGAGCGTAAAGCGGTGAACAACCTGAACGATAGTGTCTGCTGGACACGGCCAACGACCACTCATTCTCCGATCGAACAAGACACTACGTTTAATCATGCGCGCAACTTGGTTTTCTTTCACAAAGTTTCGCAAGTTACGAAGCCCCTTTTTCTTTTCAATATTGGGTTTTCCGGAGAAAACCGAGCGCCGTGCTCGGCGTCGAGGAGACGTTTTTAACCCAGAAAATCACTAAGATCGAGTTAGTCTTATCGTGTTTCTATTTTTTCCACCAGCGCGCCACATCAACGGCTCTCATGCGCATTGCGCACAGCTCAATTCATGATTTACGCGGCAATTGATCGTGTTGATGCGCGTGGTCATGCGCTCCCAAAAATTATCACCATCATGGAGTCTATCTTTACAAGCATGGAAAAATCGCAAACAATGCTCAGGTGATTCACAGGACAATGCTCTTCAAACGACCAACAAGTCGTGGATCCTCATACACGAATGTAAGATTCATCCTGCTCTACTCGAATCGTTTTCATAAAACGATTACCAAATAAACAAAATTGGACTCATCCAAATTGGCGTCCACCGGAGCAAGTACTAACACTACGCCGAGATCTCGTCTGCAAAAAAAGTGAACAATTCTTCACATCGCCCAGAGCAACTGCAAAAGCTGCTTCCGGGTCAACAGTTTGTAATGCGGCTCCGCTGCAGCTGGTGCTCGTCGAGTAGCATGCTCTGCTTGTCGTTGTTCCCCAGGACCAGGTGGACCTCCTTCGTCGTGATAATATGGCGGCCAAGATTTTTACCAAGGGGAAAAACACAGGAACGGGGAAAATTTCAAAATTTTTGTAGGCTGCGTCGGCACCCTCCTTCTAAAATCCACCAGCACAGGGATGGCCGCTGCCGCCGGGTCGATGGTGCAGCGCGATCTCCTACTGTCGGACCTTCTGCCTGTTGACCTCCAGCAAACCGTCGCCAGCCACCTCCTTCAAGATCGGCGGGTGCTACTGTTTTCACTATCATCCAAATTCAGGTACCGACGGCGCTGGGCGGCGGGACCGGACTCGAAACACACACACCACACACCAATATTAGAGTCATAGCACTATCATATCATACATCGATCAAACCACACCACTTCATGTTAAAACTCAAAAAGCAGCACAATTCCAGGTATACTTTTCTCAGCACCAAACCTCTCACCAAAAGTGTACAGGGAACCGGTTTCCAGAAGGTGGCGGGGGAGCCTACTCGTCCGATTTACAGGCGTGTTGCACCAGGACCTGGTGCAACAGACCTGAAAATTGCAGTAATAGGCCCCCCTGCCGCCACGTTTGGAAAACTCGAGAAGTGCAGCAACCAACCCGACCGCCCGGCCTCAGTGGTGGTAACCTGATGTGCTTACTGGGATGAGTATTGTGCTCTTTTTTACGATGAAAAGTGATGAGATTAGTGCGCTAGTTCTACTAGATGGTGTGTGGTGTGTGTGTGTGGTGTGTGACGCGGCTGCGCAGGCTCCTTCGGTAAGCGGTAAGTGCAGACGGCGCAAGTAACCTGATGTTTTTTTGATTTTACACGGGCCCGAAGATGAACCTCACCTGTAGTATTGTTTGTGATATGTTCGAAGCGGGTCTTTGGCATATATAGGGCTCCCGAAAATCAGTCACGTTACCTGTAGAAAGGATCTTCTTACCTCTTCTAAAAATCGGGCATGGCAAAATTTTGAAATTTTCCCCGTTCCTGTGTTTTTCCGCTTGGTAATTTTTGTAGTTCTTGTTCTCCTTCATCCTCCTCCCCATCGCTTCCAAACAGCGGGAGAAAATCTTCTTCATCTTCCTCTACAGGAAGCTCGTCTTCAGGCGGACCGTGCCTGCTCGTCCCTGCGACAACAACTCCTCCTGCATTTATTCTTTGGCGTAAAAAATCCTCTCTCCGAAGCGCCTCGAACTCGAGCACAAACGCCGGACACTGCTTGAACATGGTGGTAAACCAGTGGTCTTGGGGCAGCCGAGGATACTCAATGCGCTCGTCCGCGGGATCTCGAATGGTCCAGAGCGTTCTTCTGCCCGTCGTTGTCTCCCTCGACGTTTCCTCTCGAAACCTCCACTCCCGCAGTGGTCGGCTAAAAGCGCGGGCGCCCCTATCAAATGCAAAAGTGTCTGGGTCTGGAAGGTTGCAACTTGTGATGCTGTCTTTGGAAGGTAAAAAAAATCTGTATTGCATGACCAGCAAGATGAGGGGTTCAGTTTGTGCTACGCGGAGTGGGCGTTTCTCATGCGGAATACGCATCAGAAGGCCCTTGAAAAATCTGTGATGCTCCGCCATGCATTACAGGCATCATGGGTTATGCAAAATATGCATGACAAGCATGGCATTCTTCCAGACTCAGACATTTTTGCATTTGATAGCCCCGGAACATGTCTGAAAAATCCTCGCCCTTGGAAACGTCCCAAGCGGATATGCCATTGCGATGAACAACAGAAGAGGTGCCGGGAGCGTTATAATTATTTCTTGCAGAAGTATGAACTAGCAGCTGCAGCAACGCTGCACCAACATCGCCAAGATGTTGCACTTCTCGATCATGCAGGTCCACCTCTTCCTCTACTCCGTCGTTATACTTTCGCGCGTTCCGGAACATTTTGGAAAAATTGGTGACGCCGGAAACATCCCAGTTTAGCTGCTGGTTGAAATCATCGCAATCCTCGAATTATCCTGTGCAAAAGTATCGCACTCGTATTGCAATCATGCATTACAAATCCTTTTGCTAAGCTAAATCCGCACTACAAATTTCATTTCTCATGCTGAGGAAATTTGTAATGCATTTTCATTTATACGAGTACGATACTTTTGCAGTTCATACGAACAGGGACCGCATGCTCTTCACAAAGGACGTCTTCCAATTGGTATCAAGTGTAAAGATGTCTGGGTCTGGAAGAATGCAACTTGTCATGCTGCGTTTCGATGACTAAAAAATTTGTGTTGCATGAGCAGCAAACAGAGTCTAATTTTTGCTACGCGGAGAGGGCATTTGTCATGCGGAATGGGCATCAAGAATCCCTCAAAAAACCTGTGATGCTAGGGCATGCATTACAGGCATCATGGGTCATGAGAAATATGCATGACAAATCTTGCATTCTTCCAGACCCAGACATTTTTACATTTGATAGTTGGAAATGATGAGAGACTCGTGAAAAAGACTGGACCACGAGGACCCCGAGTTGTGCGGCCAGTTGTTCCGTTTGTGGTCGGCGTCGCTGCAGCAAAACACACCACAACCAACCGGGCGGCGTCGCCCCGACCGGGCCAAGGATGGTATGCATTCGCAAATTGTTCTTGTAGCATGTTTGTGAATGTCAGGCAAGATATGAAATCCATCAGGACCTTCAGCCAAGCAAATTCTCACCGACCTAAATCGAATGTCCATGCAAGAAGTCACGATGTAAATTTTCGGAATCACGATGAAGATCGAGACGTACAAATTTGAATCACGATGGTAGTCAAAATTTGTGATGATCGATTTAGGTCGGTGAGAATTTGCTTGGCTGAAAGTCCTGATGGATTTCATATCTTGCCTGACAGTGAACAAAGTCTTGATATTGTATTTATTGTGTGTGGGAAAATTAAAAATTCATTTGTGCTAGAAAACATTTGTTCTGTGATGTACGAAGGTGATAGTTTACAACGCCCGGTTTTTCTTGATGGCAAAAAATCTGTACTTTTAATCCAGCAAATGCTCCAGACCTCGATCACAAACATGAAGCTCGTCACACGACAATACTTACAGCTGATAAAAGCCGGCCTCCAGATGCCGCCTTCGAGGATTGCAGCCTCGACTTCTTTCGTCTTTCCGAGGTGCGTAACTGCCTCTCCCAAGGACCTATCAAATGCAAAACTGTCTGGGTCTGGAATGTTGCCGGGTTTGTCATGCATGTTTTGCATGACCCAGGACGCCTGTAATGCACGACCTAGCATCACAGATGTATTTTAGAGGGCTTCCTGGTCCTACTCCGGATGATAAATGCCCTCCCCGCGTAGCACAACCTAGACTCCTCTTGCTGGTCATGCAATACAGATTTTTTTATTTAGAGTCCAAAGTCAGCATCACAAGTTCCACTCTTCCATACACAGACATTTTTGCATTTGATAGGACCAGGTTGCCGTTGGCCCGTAGAAGAACTCGGCTTCCTTGCGATGGAGTTTGTTCGGCTTCTTGCGGTATGAATTGCAAAAGTATTGCATTCGTATAAATGCATTACAGATTTCCTCAGCATGAGAGATAAAATTTCTAATGCTGATTTACCTAATGCATGCAGTAATCTGAATTGCTTCGTGCTGAGTTGTCTTCTTCACTTTTTTTCGTGGCCTTACGGGATGCAATCTGAGTTGTCATCGTATTGTGTATGCGATCGGTTTTCGTTCTTTCGTTGTTTTCGTTGTGTTTCGTTCACGTTTTTACGCTTCCTTTCGTACGTATGACGGGCGTTGCGTCATATCAGGGGAAAAATGCTTTCGCTGTCGAGCGTCGGGACTCACATGATAATCACATGATTATCATGTGAGCGAAACAACTCAAAATGGCTTATGGGGGTCCAAAGTCATATGATTATCATGTGAGCAATCGCGTGATAATTATATGATGACTTTGCGTTGGCTCATGCTTATACTACTTTTTTCTTGTTTCATCTTCATTACCCTTACAGTGCCCAACTTCAGTTTGTCTTGTTCAGACGAAAAAAGAACACGCTACCCAAAAAAAAAACTTGTCTACCTCGGACGAAAAACGAGCGCGCTAACCACCACAAAAAACTTCTCTACTACTAAGCAAAAAAAAACACCAGCTACGCACTAGCTTGCTACGCTTCTCGCTTCTCTATCTTTGTCGTTGTTTCGCGTTTTTCTTCTTCTCGCATTTTTTCGGTTTCGCCTTGCAAATCGAAAGAAAACAAAAACCATGGCGCTTGTTTCGGTGGCCGGCGATTATGATCGGGCGAAGGCACTGGCGGCCGCTGGCTTGCTCGACTTGCAGGATTCCGACTTCTGTTTCGGGGGCTCGGGCAATTTTCCCCCTCGCCTGACTCCCGCGGGGTGGGTCGACATGAGTGACCCGGGCGCTTACTCGGACAAGCAGCGCGACCGCCTGCGGCTCACTCGTATGAAGGTGGCGAAGCTGTGGGCGAATTTCAAGCGCTTGGAGACGCTCGGGAAGGGCCTCAGCGCCAAGGAAAAAATACGAAAAAAAATCAAGCCCCTGCAATTGCAGGGCGTGGGCAGCTTTTTAGGCATGACAAATTTCCCGGCTTTGCAGGGTTTCCGCCCGCTAAGGGCTCCGCCTTTTGCGGCGCCCAGGCCAGGCAGCGCCTGGCGCTTTGGGCTGTTTTTTATGATACAAGGGCCCCCGCCCGTGATTTGCTTGGGCGCACTTTTTCCCATTATGGCGCAGCATGCTTGGCGGGATGTTGGCGATGGCGATGGAAGGGGCGCAGCCCATCAGTCCCGAGCAGAAAGATTTTGCCGCGAATGTCGCCACAAAGACGCGGGATGCCGGCCTAATGGCGGCACTTCCGCACAGTGGCCCGGGCAGTGTCTTGGGCATTTCTTGGCTGCAGGACCCGGCCCCCGCTGCCACGGCTCCGGACGGAACCCAGGCCCCCACCAACGGGCAGTTCGACGCGGGCCCGGCTTCTGTGGCGAGCGACTCCGATTGCGGGGACAATTCGAAGGCGAGCGGCAAAGCGCCCGGGCGCAAGTTCGATCCGCCCGCGGGCAGCACGGTCGGTGGCCCGGGCTTGCACAACCTGCCCCCCCCGCCCCCCCCGATGCCGTCGGCGTTTCCGGGTTACCGGTACACCGGGGAAGGGTTGGCGACGACCGATTTGGATGCGGCGGCACTCGTCGCAGACATGACCTATCCCGCAAAAAAATGCACTCCCCAGGCGCATGGAGGGCGGCGGGGCCTCGTGGTGGCTTTTTGCATTTGCCCCGCCGGGGGGCAAAGGAATTTTTTTTCGTTTTGCCGGTTCGCGTTTTCGATCTTGTACGCAGTGAGGCCGCCAGCCTTGGGTGGAAAGCATTTTTTTAGGGGATAGGTCACGGGTCACGAAGTTGTTGCCGGTCGGGGCCCTCCGGAAGCTGATCCTGACACAGGCCAAGGACCCGCTGCGCGGCGGGGGAGGTATTCTTTTTTGCTTGGGTGTTGCGATAGATTTTTGCTTCCGCTTTCTTATAGTAAGGGAGGGCAGGGGGGCGCTTCAGTCGTTTTCCGCGTAGTGGGGTTTCTTTTTTCACATGACAAATAGCATTCATCTTTTCTGTTTTTCAGGCGTCGCCAGCATGGAGCAGCGAGCGGACCCGAAGGCGTGGCGGCCCGACGCGCTCGGGAAGGATTTTCATTATTTCTTTCGCCCGATGGGCTCCGACTGGATTTTACGCATGTGCACGCGCAAAGCCTTCGCAACGGCGCGCAAGCATTACGCGCGACGGAGTTGCGGCGTTTTTCTGCAAAGCCGCGGGCGCCCGGTGAAGATTCTAAACCCTAGGCCCCGGCCCAGGTCGCGGCGCAGGTTTGCGCCGGTTGGTGAGAAAATTTCTTTGGCCGGCCGGCGGCCGAGCGAAGCGACCCGAGTTGCAAGGCGCGCGCCCAGTGTGGCGCAGCGTCGGGGCCGTTCCTTGGCTAGATAGGGCAGCGCCGCCCCCCGCCGCGTGCGCGCATCTAGTAGCATGGGGGGCGTTGTGGGATCGCGTTTTCCTTCCTTGCTTGCCGTCCGTATAAGGGGAAAGGGGCGCCGGGTGCTTGATTGGCCGCTGCCAAGCACCATGACAGAAGAGCAGGGGGAAATGGGCGGTCGCTCAATTTTCGGCCCAGCCGTCGGGCAATACTCCGCGCGCGCGCTCGTAGCGCGGCGCTGTTTTGCGGGGGCTTTGCGTGTTTGATATTTTTTGGCCGACCTGGACAACGCTGCGCCGGGGGTGGTGGAAAGGGCGAAGGAAGACCACCGCTGCCAGCTGGTGACCCGCACTTCGGCAGCCTGCTGGCAGGCGTGGTTTCAGGTCCCCGGCGGCGCGACGGCGGAAAAAGATTTCCGCACGGTGATGGTTCCCCTTTTAGGGGGGGACAGGCACGCCAACAAGCCGAACCAAGTCGGGAGGCTCCCCGGCAGCCGCAACCCCAAGCCGGGACGGGGCAAGTGGCTGTGCCGGGTCGAGTGGATCCGCGGCGAGAAACCGGCGGAGGCCCCTGCTGCGGCCTCAGGCGGACAGGCCCGGGCGACTTCTTTTTCTAATTCGTTTCTGAAAGTTGGCTAATTTGAGAACCAAAAGAAGGCGCAAGCGCAGAAAAAAACACCCCGGCCGAACACCCTAGCCCGAGGGTGATGCCTCCCCGAAGAACCAAACCCCCCGAACATTATTGCTCCGCGGGCGGGCATAACGGAATCAACAAGGCGCAAAATCAGGCAAAAAAAGCAACACGGAACGGAGAAACACCACGCCCAACCTGCCGGACCCAAAGCCCGGCCGGAACACAAAGAAAGGCCCACCAAGGGAATTCATGGTGCCAGCGCAAGCCGATACACGCGGCGCCCAACCAATCAAAGGCCCGGCCACAGGCCATCAAAATTCGAAGAGAGGACGCGGGCGGGCAAGCATCGGCCGGGCCAGAATGAAAGGACACAAATTAGAATCGGCTTCGAATTCGTGTCCGGCGCGCGCCGGTTTCGTGTCTAATTTGCATCCGGAGACACCACCCGACCCCCCGAAAAGCAGGTGTCTAATTTGAAATCTAATTTTTTTGGAACCGTGTCTAATATGCTCTTTAATCTGCATCTAATTTGCAGAGAATCCCCAAACCCCCGGCCGAAAAATCGTTCCCGATTTCCCTGTACAAAATTTCTGCGATTTTGTGCCGTGAAATCGGTAACGATTTTCGGCCGCTGCAAATTAGCCAGCCAATTAGCGCCTATTAGCAGCTACATTAGCTGCAAATTAGGCGCAGATTAGCTGCAGATTAGGTGCAGATTAGAAGCGCCTAAAAAAGGTGCGTTTTCCAATTAGAATTTCAAATTAGAAAATTCCGGGAGGTGTTCCCGGGGTTTTTGGTGGGTATGTCAAACATGGTCGACGCCATGTTTGAAATGCCCGCGCCCAGGACCATCTCCAGACGAAGAAGGAGGAAACCATAGGACGGGGCGCGAAACTCCCTACCGGGGCAAAGTCCGTCGGCCTGCAACGCCCGGCCCAAAAAACACACAGACGGAAGCCATGCCGGGAGGGTCACAGGCCGAACGACAAACCAGAACACGCCCCAACCAACCGACCACGGCTTCCAGACCGAAGGGAGACGGGCCGCCGAAGCCAATGCCGCAAAGCGAAAGACACCCCCGCCACGAAATCGGCAAAGCCACGAGGCCACGGGCCCGCATTCGAATAGCGGCGCGCCGAATGTGCCCCGTGCGCTTCGCAAGGAGATTCGGCACGCAACCAAGCCGACGCAAGGGGGCTGCGCACGCTCTCAAATTAGCCGGATTTTAGTTGATAATTAGACCCCGAAGGCGCCCGGGGCTGTCCGCCTGATGCGGCCGCCCCGGGAGAAGCTTAAGGCCGTGAACACAGGCGCCCCCCCCCGTTGTTGTTTCAGCTAATGCGCGGACTTGGTTGCGCTTTCGCTGGTTTCCCAGGATTTTCCACGAAAGTCCTGGGAAATTCAGGAAATCAGCACGACAGACGCCAGAAACGATATCGGGGAGGGGCTTCGTTTTTTCAGCGATTGCGGTACGGCTTCGACCGAAGTTTTGCAAAAGATCGAGGGGAACGGCAATTGTTGCCCTCTTTCGATTGCGGCGGCCACAGGCATCAGCATGCCGAAGGTGAAGCAGTTGGCGGAGGGTTTCATGGCGGACAAGCGCGAAGAGCTTGGCCCGTTTTGGGTGGGGGAGTACGGAGTGGACGAGCCGGCGGGCCCCGCGGTTTTAGCAGAGCAGAGCAAGTGGCTGGCCTGGTTGGAAAAACTTCTGCACCCGACGGCAACGGTATGGCTGGGCCACGCATTTTTGGAGGCGGTGGCGAAAGTCATGGACCCTATGCGAAAAAATGAGCCCGCCCGCACCTAAAAGAGCCAAGCGGCACGCCGCGCGCTGTCGTTTTTGCGCGGGATGCGGCGCCCGTTTTGCGAAAATTTGCGACCCGTGCCTCTCTTGTCTCTGATGTGTAGCGGGCTGGTTTGCTTTTTCTTTTGCATAGTGTTGTCGATTCAGATCGAACCCGCCCCCGGTTCTCAAGAGCAGCCGCAGAGAATCGGAAGCGGCGCGAAGGCGATCCGACTCGAGTACGATGGCCGCCACTACAACGCTTTTGTCAGGCGCGGCGCTGAAGCGAAAGCGACCGGGACTTCCTCTGCCAGCCCCGCGCCCCCCGAAACGAAGGCCGAAACGGTTTCGAAAACGCAAGAGGGCGAACCTGTGGCGGCTGGCTTGGCCTCTCGCAAACGTGCAGCGGAAGCAGATGCGCCCAGGCCGTCGGTTTCGAGCGATGTTAGCTTGGGCGACTCGAGCGAAAGCGATGGGGAGGCTGCTTCGGATGCAAGCGAGTGCGCGCCCCCCCCACGGAAGCGGGGGCGAAAGTCCAATGCCGGCAAAAATTTTTCTTTGCCCGATGGCGCGACTGAATTCTTGCTGCGGGCTGCTGACATTGGGGCGGCTTTCAAAACGTTGGGGCTTACCGCGCGGCAGCGGAAGTGGTGGAAAACAAAGAAAAACTTTTTCCGCTTAGCCCCGGGCACGGGCAAGCTGCAGGTCCGCGTAGAGTTCCAGGGCTACGGACGCAAAACCACCGAGGCGCTGATGGTGTATCCGGATTGGCTTACCGTCATCGGCGCCGACGACGACGCGGAAAAACAGCGCATTGCGGCCCTTGGGCATTTGCGGTCGCATGGGGGAATTGAGGCAACTGGGGTGGCCATCCAACAGCTTGGCTTCACGTGGTGCGGCTTGAAAGAAAGCGCGCGGGTTGCGGTGCAAGCGTGCGAGGCTTGCGCGGCCAACGAAGAACATGCGCCACAGCAGCAGGATTCTTACGCAAGCAGCACTTTGGCGGCGCTCAAGGACCCCGCCAATGAGTCCCTTCGGCCTTTTGCCTGGGCGGGCGTCGACTGCATAGTTTGCACCCCCTGCGAAAACTCGGCGCACCGCGGAAAAAATGTCGGGACGCGCTTCGTCGGTTGTTTGAACATGTGCTGCCTCACGACTGGCGCCGTTTGTTCCAAACTGCTGACGAGCTTCGAGGCGGAAGAGGTCAAGCAAGCGTATCTGGACATGGTCGAGGAACACGGCGCGCCGGATCATTTGAACATTGACAAGGGCACAGAGCTGCAGCAGATAAAGAACTGGAGCCAATGCACCTGCTTGACGCGCGACCATAAGTGCGCGACCTTCACCAACGACCCCCCGGTGGGCGCAGCCTTTCGCACGGATATCCGCGAAAGCCCTCGCGCGCATCCGCAGTCCAATGGTGCCGCGGAAAGTTCTACGAAACTGAAAAAGCCACTCGCCCCATATTTATAAAGGCCATTCGTGTTGCTGGGTATGTGTTCGCGCGTGTTCTGCAACGGACTACAACCCGTGGCCACGCATCAGCAACGCATGCAAATTCCTTTTGCAATATGGGGCGGGGGGATTTTTCGGTGATAACCTACAATGGCCAGCTGAAGCAGCAATTGCGTAAAAGGGGCGGCGAAAAGGATTGGCCTCGCCATTTGCCTGCGTCTGTGGCGGCACTGAACCGACGGGCGACGCGGGGCCGTCGGATTCCCGCTGCGAGGCATCTGAGCACGTTTCTACGCCCCTTGCGGGACATCACCGAAGCCACTCTGCATCCCGTGCAACGTGCGCCCCCGCATATCGTTGCAGACAAGGGCGCCGCGGCAGAAAGCGCAAGCGCAGCCCCAGCCACCGCACTGGCTGGACCCCCGCCGCAGAATTCCGAGGAAAGGAAACACGGCGCCGGGGCCGCGGATGGCGAAAGTGATGGCGCTGCTGATTTTGCGGCCGCAACGTTGCGCGGCTCGCTGGCCAGACAGGCGCTACGCAATCGCAGCCGCTTCTTTGAAAATCGTGAGGATGGGGGCAGGCTGAAGGACATCAAAAAACTGAAAATTGGGGAACGTGTTTTGTGCAGAAACAGACAGAAAAGCCCCGGCTTGGCAACAAAATTCTTGGGGCCTTTCGTCGTTACGCAGGTGAAAGCGCTCGGGGTGGATGCTCACAGCGACGGAGTCCTCGCCGGCAAGAAACGCGAAACGACGCTGCGCGATGTTCCTTGGAAGGACCTCAAGCGGTGCCCCACGGGCCTCACTCAAGTCGCAGCGCCGCCTGCGCCTCCACCCGAAACGGCGCCGCCTGCCGCGCCGAATCACGCCCCGCCACGAGCCCAACAAGAAACGGCGTCGGCTGCTGGGCCACCGCCTCCAGCTGCGGGCGACGATCTTTCCGCGATCGCCGCCGTCGACCCCGCAATGGATCGCGTTTTTGGCTCGGGCTCGCTTCCGCTATTAAGCTCTGCAACACTCGTGCTGGCGCGCATGTGGTTGCGCCTTTTTCTCGGTGTCGTTTTTTCTCTTTATGCGCCCAGAAGCATGCTGACCTCTAGTTTTTCTTTGTTGTTTGGCTGCTTGCGTAATTACATTGCGCCAGTGCGTTTTTGCAGTGCATAAAGGCAAACGAAAGCCTACGTCGACGTCGCCGAGCTGGAAACTGCCGGCCCGAAACAAGTTCCCACGAACATCCGGGGTTCGGTCACCCGTGTCGAGGGGGCGACGCGCGGAATTCGGATCCGCATTGAGGGCGTTACTGGTGTCAGCATCGTTTGGCGAATTTATGAGGCTGCACAAATGGCGCGGCGGCGTGCTCAGCGGTGCCCTTGCGTCGTTTTCATTCCTTTGGCGCTCACGAGAAATTTTCAAGGCGGCCAGTTTCTGCGCATGCCGGCAACGTGGCGCACGACTGCGATCGAGGCGCGCGCCCCGCCGGAGCTTCAGGAACTGCACCGCATGGCCTCCACGTCCTCCGCCTCGGAGGGGCGCCGGTCTCTGTCTGCGTTCAAGAATCCCGAGCCCTGAAGAGGGGGAACGAGAAAAGGGGCGCGGCGTCGCTTTTCCGTCCTTGCTTAGCTTCTTGGGCTGTTATTGCTTGTGCTAGTAGATGCGTCGCGTTCTTCTTACTCGTTTTGTTTTGTTTCGAATGTGTGACTTCTCGCGGAAAACCACATGTGTTATGCTACTTTTATCAGTCGCTCTTCTCGTCTTTTCTCGTATCTCTTCTTGTGTCGGGTTTGCACTGTTATCAGCTATAATTATTCCCACTAGGAGCGCAGCGCACCGCGCGAGTTGATTTGAAGCTGTCGCTTCGACCAACGCGCTCTGTTGCTGCACTCCACTTGTACACTATGCGCTTCTTCTTGAATTTTGCGTGCTATTTTTGCACTATTCTGCTGTCTTCTGTTTCTGCAAACTGTTTCCATTTCCGTACGAAGTACAGCGCGCCCCGCATGTTGATTGACGGCTAGCGCTTTCACCAACTTGCCCCGACGCTGCACTTCGCCTGCGAGTTTTCCTTTGCTCGTTTTGTTCTCATACAAAACCTGCACTGCTAATTTGATACGTCCCTGCGTTTTGTGTTTGTGCAAGTTAAGTTTTGTAGGCTTTATTTGTCAATGTGGAACTCGTTCTGTGTATTTTTGTTTTCCCTATGTTAGCTTTGGCTTTCTCGTTTTCATTCCCTGCATCTTCACAATCTAAAGAGCGACTTTTTTTTGATCGCGTTCGTCAGTGCGCCAATTTTGTTACAGCAGCTGCAGCTAAGTTAATAGAAGTGGATCGCGCTCGCTTTCCTGTCGCTACTTTGCTGAATTTTTTTTCCGCTTCCTCGCATTATTCTACTTCGCAGCGCAGCTATATCACAGAAGCGGCAAGCTGAGCTGCTTTGTCTTTTGAAACTGAATTGCATCGATCTCTACAAAAACACTTGATGCGTTTTGCAATTCATTTTTGGGAAAATATGTTGCAAGGGTTGCTTTTTTGCTTTTGTCGAATTTGGCTCGCCTGGTGTTCGCTTTCGCTTTTCGGTGCTGCGTAATACGATACGCTGCAAGCTTCGCTGGGTACTCGATACGTATTCTGTTACAATTCATCCTATACGACAATTCATCTGGGTGCATGCATGATTGCGATACGAGTACGATACTTTTGCACAGGATATGCGGAAAAAGGGAAGAAACGGCTGCCAGTGGGAATCGTCTTCAACATCATGATGATCGTGAAGATCCGAGAAGTCCTTACTAGTATCGTCATGGACGGGGGACCGGTGGTGGCAAGGTGTAGAAGTCGTCGCCGTCGCGCTGTCGTCTCGTCCACTTCCAATTGTATGAAGATCCCCGTGGCCGTGGTCCATATCGAAGATATCAACGTCCTCCTCGTACTCATTGTATTCGGCCCTACTCCACAATTGCAACACGCGCTCCAGTATCCTCTGCAAAAGTATCGTAGTCGTTCGTAGAAATTGCTGTTTATGCATGACAAATCTTTTTCCTAAGGTAAAACAGCATTACAAATTTCATTTGTAATGCTGAGCTAATTTGTAATGCAATTTATACGAATACGATGCTTTTGCAGTGCATATCCAACTCTTTCCGACTCGGAATGTCCGCGAATCCGGCGCGGAGCCGGGTCACGCTAGGACTTGGATGGTGGTCGAAATATGTTTCCCAACTGATTTATTCACTGCAAAAGGAGTTGCGTTAATCTTAATATGGTCCGGCTTCTATCTTATACAACTCAGGCCGCACTACATCCTGCCTTCGTCAAATACGACATGCAACTTTTATTTCAAGTCGTTGCAATGAAGCAATTATGCAAGGTGATGAACCCGTCGCGGTTGATAGATGCAAGTCCGAAAAACGATACAGATACTCAATACTTTTGCAAATTGAATAAGATCACCACACTGTCCACCGTCAACGGCGTATTCTTGTGCACGTTATCCACTAGCTGAAGCAAATTTTCGTATACAGTCGGGTTCTCCTCGGGATCGATGTGCAAACCGAGTTGAGAAATGACGGCCGCTGGGGGTCCGAGCATGGAACAACTCAGAAATTCCTGTTTCTGTTTTTTGGTCAGTCGAAATTCTTCCATCAAGTGCTTTTTGAGGAGCTCGAACAGGATCAACTCCTTCAATTCCGAGACCGTTTTGCCGTTCCAGACGCTAGGGTGGAGAGAAAGAAGCTCGTCACCTGACAGATTGAAAACTAAAAGGTTGGGCGGATGAAGGCGCGTCGTCCCCGTGGCTGAAGATGATTTTTTACCAATTTTCGAATTTGTTGGTCTTGGTGCTGCTGAAGCAGGACTGGAGCTATAAATGTGATTGGGCCGCTCCCTGTAGTCCTTCTGATGTGCTGTCGTATATGTGACTAGTTGTTGATGTACTCCCTCAGGATCTCGGCGAAGAGACCCCTGCTCCACCGTCAGGCCAACATTCTTTCCGTCATGATCCTCCTGCTTTCCATGTAGGTGTCCAGCAGCATCTTCGTCTTCATCTTCCACATCTTCAGCCGCGAGGACCACTCCTGGTAGTGATCGCTCTGTTCTTTTGGTCCCCGGAGCAGGCGGTGGTGGGCTTCCAACAACTACTGCGGCAGCAACGTGTACTAGCAGCTGCAGGTTGCTCAGCACGACCTCCTGGTGGAGGACGTCGAAAAGAAAGCACACCTCCAGCAGCGGCAGCACTAATGGTAAGAGGCTCAGCTGCTTTCTTGACGCCATTTTTATCTTCATCAAGGAGTCATGTGCTTTATTGTTGTTCATGTTCTCCCTGCTGCTCACGACCGGCGGGGTGGACGACTTGTTCTTGGCATGGTACGGAATAGGTGCAGCACCATCGTGATTTGTGTTTTTTCTCTACTTGAGCAAGAACTGCAGCAACAACAGACACCACTCAACTACTCAACTTCCACAAAAGGAGACACATAACACACATCAGAGGGGGTTTGTTGGTCTCCGGTCCTCGGTCCTCAGTTCATCCCAAGGCAATAGAAGACAACGAGAGAAGAAGGGGGAAAGCTCACACACACCAAGGGGGGTTTGTTGGTCTCCGGTCCTACCTCGGTCCTCAGTCCTTCCCAAGGTAATAGAAGACAACGAGAGAAGAAAGAAGAAAGCTCACACACATCAAGAAAGGGGGTTTGTTGGTCTCCGGTCCTCGGTCCTCAGTCCATCCCGATGTAATAGAAGACAGCGAGAGGAGAAAGGAGAAAGCTCACACACATCAAGAAAGGGCTTTTGTTGGTCTCCGGTCCTCGGTCCTCAGTCCATCCCGATGCAATAGAAGACAGCGAGAGAAGAAGGGAGAAAGCGCACACATAAGAGGGGGTCTGTTGGTCTCCGGTCCTCGGTCCTCAGTCCATCCCAAGGCAATAGAAAGCCGACGAGAGAAGAAGGGAGAAAGCTCACACACATCAGAGGGAGTCTGTTGGTCTCCGGTCCTCGGTCCTCTGTCCTTCGCAGGGTAGTAGTTGGCGAGATAAGAAGGTAGAAAGCCCACACACATCACAGGGGGCCTGCTGGTCTCCGGTCCTCGGTCCCCGGTCCATCGCAAGGCAGTAGATGGCGAGGCAAGAAGGTAGACAGAAGGCCAACACACAGCAAAGGGAGGTTGTTGGTCTCCGGCCCTCGGTCCATCACCGGGCAAGATCCGACGGGGAAAGAAGGTAGAAAGCCCCCACACAAAAAAAAGGGGGCCAATTGGTCCACGGCCCCCCCTCAGTCCATCGCGGGGCAGCAGCTGGCGAGATAAGAAAGAGGGCAGAAAGAGCACACAAATGCGCGCGGGGTGTTGGTCTCCGGCACTCGGTCTGCAGTTCATCGCGGGGCGGCGCCTGGCGAGACAGATAAGAAGGCAGAAAGCCCCCAAGCAGGGGCCTGCTGCTTTCCGGTCCTCGGTCCCGAGTGAGTCTGTAGAGCGATCAGACCCGGCGAGCGTGATTGCTAGCATGGTACAAAGGCCAGGCATTTACGACGGAGCCTGTTCGTCTCCGGCTCTCGGTCCTCCGTCCCTCATGGGGCGGCGCACCACTTAGAGAAAAAGGTCGAAGGCCTACGGACATCGGCGGAGGCGTGCGGGTCTCTGGTCCTCGGCCCTCCGTGCCTCCCGAGGTTGGTTGGTAATGTCTGAGTTGGCGCAAACAATACGCGTCGCGCTAGGCAGCAGGGGCGGCGGCCGGCCCGATTGCTTTCGTTCGGCCTGATGAGCGGGGGGAGCGGCGGCCGCTCCCCCCGCACAGGCCCCGCCCCCGGACTTTGTTTGTTCCAGCGGCCGCGGCCGTGACGCACATGAATGACGTCGCGGAGGGAGCCCGGGCGCAACAGGAGGCGACCGAGCGCCGCCATTTTTCCTCGCCTGGCGGGCGCGCCCGTACATACTAAAGGAACAGGCGGCGAACTGAAGCGCCGCGGCGCCCCGGCCCCCGTTGCTTTTGATCACACAACCGGCAACCGAGCGACACGACGGACGTGAGCCGGCGCGCGCTCACATACAGCGCCAGGGCCATACGGCTTTCATTGATTCGCCTGGCTCTGAAGGCGAAGAGGTTCACTGCGCGGGAACAAAGATAGCGACGCACAGCGCGCGCCCGGCCTCGCTTGCGATCTGCCAGGCTGTGAACCACGCGCGCGCGCTGTTGTTCTTTGCGCCCCCCTGCATTTCAACACGAAACGCGCCACCTGGCAGATTGGTGGCCGCCCACCGAAATCACTAGCCGCCTGCGCCGCCTTCGTCATCGCCGGAACTTCGAGGCGACGGGCCGGAGCTCCGGGGGCTGCTGTCCGTCGTTGTCGCTGGGAGAAGGGTCCGAGGCAGTATCTGCGCCGGCCCCTTCGGCTTCCACCCCCGGCCGGTTGGCTTCGGGCTGTCCGATTACGGGCGAAAGGAAAAAAATCCAGCCGGTTTGTCAGCCTTCAGCATACATTTCTGTACCGCCCAGCAGGTATCCGCCCCAATCAAATGAAAACGACCCGCGTGGCCTTCGTTTTTTTTTTCCGCGGCTCGCCTTTCAGTTGCTTGTCGGCCGCGACCTGGTCTGAAAGATCAGGAAGAGCACGCGGGTCGGGACTTGGAACATTTCAAAGTGGCGGGACCATCTTGATCCATTACGGGCATGAAGCTGATCGCACTAATCAGAATCGCGCCGGCCCATGTGCTTTTTTTTTGCTGGGCCGCGCCTTGCGGAGACGGCCCTACTCAAAGCCTAAAAAATTTACGGTCTTCGCCATTTCCGGCGCAGGCTTTCGCTTCTGGCTGCGCCCCCTTTTCATCTTCGCTGCCGTCTGTTGTGTTGCGGCCGCCCACCCATGGCATTTCCGGAGATTGGGAGAAAGCCGTCGCGGCGTCGCCCTTGTGTGCGAGACCTTTGCCGCGCTCTAATTCGGGGGCGCTTTCACGCTCTTGCGTTTTGGGCTTGCGTTTGTGTCTTGCTTTTTGTTCCTATTTTTTGTTCTTCTTTTTTGCTGTTATTTTTTTGTCTTACTTTTTCGCCCTACTTTTTTGGGTTCCTTTTGTGTCCTACTTTGTTTGCAGTTTTCTTTTCTTGCTTTAGAGGCCGCGCGATTAATGGGCCTCCTTTTCAATAACAAAAAGGAGGGGGGTAGGTGCGGTCGGTCGTCTGGCGGGCCGTATCCACAGATGGCCGGGCCCATCCGGACCCGACCAGTATTCCCTTTTCGGACTTCAAAAATCTAAGGCCACACCCTCCCCGCCCCGGCGAAAAAAAAATCTGTTTTGCTTGCTGCGGTTTCTCGGCTGGTTTGTTGCGCGGTTTCTGCGGTGTAGCTGGAACAGAATGAAACAGAACGAAAGATATTTCTTGGGCGCGCGCGGCGCGCGCGTGGATCGGCATACGGACGCAACAACAGAAAACGCTTCAAGCGGGCGATGCGCGCGCGCAAACTGAAAAAAAGCTCGCGGCGCGCGCTGGTGCGCGCGCGCAGCGGAGAACATGCAGCGGAACACGTGCCGCCCCAATGGTCGAAGTGGCCGCCTCAGCTTTTGCAAATGCGGGCGGTGCTGCGGTGGTCGCTTTAACAACCCGAGGGCGGCTGCGCAGTGCTGCGCTACAAGTAGCTGCCCCCTGGTGGTCCATTTCTGATATGGCCTCTGAGTAGGCCCCTAAGCAATCCTTTAGCAATGCCTTTAATTCTGCCTTCTGATTCCGCCTCTGGAATTCTTCTAATTCTTTTGCCCACGCGGCAGCTTCGAGGCTTCCAAAAATCCGCTAAAGCTGCCGGGTAGGCGAAATCACGCACGAAGTCGCAGCTTCGCGACTTTAGAAGATGAAAGAGAAGCACTTCGGACGGCAAAACCGGAAACGGAACCGGAAGGATCTTCCGGTGAGCCGGAAGATTCCTCCGCTTGCTTCGGCTTCACGGGACCACGTAAGATCCGGCAGCTGTAGATATCTGCCTGCGGCCTGCGGGAGATGATGCGCATGCTCGAGAGCAACGAGCATCATCTTCCGCGAAACAACAAGCAAACGCCTGCCCTCATATTTCCGCCCGCACTGCGAAACGCCCAGCAAGGTGGTATCTGCCTGGTGCCTCTACCTTCTATCTTGCCCCGCCATATATTGCTAGCCTCGAGATGAACGGAGGCCCGGGGACCGAAGGGCAACAACCTCCTGCGCATGTGTCTGGTGCTTCTACCTCCTTGTCTCTTCACGTATTACCTCGCGAGGATCTGAGGACCGAGGACCGGGACCAGCAGCCTCCTTCTTATGTGTCTGGTGTTTCTACCTTCTTATCTCGTCAGATATTGCCTCGCGATGAACTGAGGACCGAGGACCGGAGGCCAACCGCCTCCTTCTTATGTCTCTGGTGCTTCTCCCTTCTTATCTCCTCATATACTGCCTCGGAATGGAGTGAGGACCGAGGACCGGAGACCACCAACCTCCTTCTTATGTGTCTGGTGCTTGCTTCTCCCTTCTTATCTCCTCACATTCTGCCTCGTAATGGAGTGAGGACCGAGGACCGGAGACCAACAACATCCTTCTTATGTGTCTGGTGCTTCTCCCTCCTTCTCTCCTCATATACTGCCTCGTGATGGAGTGAGGACCGAGGACCGGAGACCAACAACCTCCTTCTTATGTGTCTGGCGCTTCTCCCTTCTTATCTCCTCACATATTGCCTCGCGATGGACTGAGGACCGAGGACCGGAGACCAACAGCCTCCTCGTTATGTGTGTCAAGTGTCTACCACTTTATGTAGTGCGTTACTTTAAATGAGCTTCCTTTAAGATCTTCTGTTGGTATTTTTTCAATTCCTTTTAGAGCAAAAACACGAAACACGATGGAACTGCACCTATTCCGTACCATGCCTTGTTCTTGCTCGATGGCGTCATTTTTGTCTTCCGCGTTCTGTTGACCTTGATGACGTGGTCGTTGCGCGGCACGGGAGATAGAAGTAGTTGATTCTTCACCTACTGGCAGGATGTTGAGCAGCTTGCTTGCGCTTGGGTTCTTCCTTGCAACTGCAACTCCCATAAGTCGTTTCTCTCTATTGAAAAATTAAGTACTTACCTCGCGAGGACGTTCTGTTGGTCGTGATCGTCGTGGTGCTTTTGTTCGAATACAACAAATTGCAACTTAAGTTGTAGCTCAATAGGTCAGGCGTCGACCGGAAATATACTTAGAAGCACTGCAAGTAGGAATAACTAGAACTACGCGACATCGTCCTCGGGGATCTTGATGTAAAGTAGCTGCCCTCTCGGATCACTATTATATTCCTCGCGACCGTAGTTGTGCACGACTTTTCGTCTTGTTCATCTTCGCTGAGGTGGATGCAAGACCAGAAAGATGAAGACAGAGCACAGATGAGGATTGATAGGTATGCTTGCTTCCTCTAAATATGCTTTGCGGGTTAAAAACAATAGCGCGAGCTTTGTTCTTTTTACATATATGATTCAAGATTATTGTCCACCACCGTTTGCCGATGGATAACTTAAGTAGTAAACAAGAGCAGATTTTTCTTCACTCCTGTCAGTGAGCAACTGGAACGAGATCCTCGTGATCATAATTTATCTTTGCCAAGAAAACACCGAGCGAGTGCAAGAAATATGTGTACATATGTCTGAACCTTTTTGACTTTGGATCAACATCATCCAATCTCAATCATGATCCGCGTCACAACAAGACAAACAGGAACATCTTCCAAAGACACCGGTAGTCGTGAAGGATCTCATCACTTTCGTCGGTTTCTGTCCTTCTTCAGTTGTCTCGGTCTCTTCCTTTGTATATATAAAAGCAATCGTACACGACACTTGGTGAAAAATCTTAGACAGGTAGGTAGTTGTAGTTTCCGGGAAGGAGGGCGGCAGCGGAAGCGAAGGCGAGACACCTGCTCCCCCGACCTACATAGTGCATGCCCCGATCGCTGCATGAAGTAAGTAGCAGTATCGAAAAGTAGAGACAGAGCGCGGTGGTGTTGTTGAAAGCCGAAGAGCAAGCTGTAGTAGTAACGTTCACATACGAACAAGAGAAGGACCACGGAGAGCCAACATGGTCGTGGTGGGTTTGGTTTGTCATGGTCCCTCCTGCCTTGTCCCTTCTTGCTGGCCATTATTTCAACCTCTAAGTCTCCACGGAAAAGCAAAGACGTAGAGGCGCCTTTAACTTATAGTGTGTGACATGCATGGAGTCACTCCGAATAAGCAGGCACTTCTATTTGTATTATATCACGCATGAGCTTGGCCGGCTGCGTTCGGATCCCCCGCCGCCATCTTCGCAACGCGCAATTCCTGGAACAAGGCCGATAACCGCTCGAAGAAGCTCTCCAGATCCGCGTTCAACCTGCGCCGCAGCGCCCGGGCCGTTTCCTTGCCCGAGTGCAGTTCCGCAACATGCACCGAATCAACCTTCTCCTGTAGCATATCCGCGGCGGCTTCAATCTGCGCAAGATCGGTGGTTGCCTTTCCGTTCGTGATGTGGCCAGCCCAAAAATCTGCCTCGGTCACGTTCGTGCGCTCCACTAAGGCGTTGTACTCCGTGGCCAGATCCTGCAATACTTCCAGCTTTTCCCGTGAGGGTTGCGACAGCTGCCGGCGCAACTCCACGCGCTCCGCCGGGGAAGAAGAAGAACTCTGACGAGCATCGTCTTGTTGCTCCTTCACGGACGGAGAACCCTGACGATGGTTATCGTCTTCATGATCTTGTTCTTCGTCCACATCCACAGCGCCCTCGTGATCTTCTTGCTTCACGGAGGACGGAGAACTCTGACGAGCATCGTCTTGTTGCTCCACGGACGGAGATGAACTACCCTGACGATGGTCATCGTTTTCATCTTGTTCTTGGTCCACGTCCACAGAGCCCTCATCCTCTTGCTCCACGGACGGTGCCACGACCAGGTTTGTGTCGCCGAGGGCCCCTGATGAGGATGTCAACTTTTGAATCTCTCCCTCTCTGAACGACCGCAAAGCACCGATTTGCGCGGCGGTCTTATCTCTGGGTGCTGGGACTGGCGACTTAAGAAAGTCGCGCGGCTTGGCGTCGGCCCGTTGTTGAGCAGGCGTGTTGACATCGTCCCGCACCTTATGCATCGGCTCAAGTTGTAATTGTATCTCCTGCGGTACATGATATAGACCTGGAAAGTCTACTAAGTCAGCATTTGAAGAAGTAGATGAAGATGCTGCAACAGCCTCCGCTCCTGAGTTTCGAGTAGATGCAGATAAGAACGCAGCTCTACTAGACGACGCTGCTCCGCGTCTGCTGGGCGACGTTGAGGACAGAGATGAAGCAGCGACAGCGGAAGCAAGGCTGAAGTTCGTCGTGCTCAGCAGGGGCAAAAGCATAGAGCAGCTCTGGCCGAGTTGTTGGAGGACGAGAGCAGAAATAGACCACGCTCCTGCAGCAGTAAAAGCTTTACCACGAGGATGCAGCATCTTGATGTCGATGTCCACGACCAGTCAGTAGTCGTTGTTATTTGTTGGTACAACTACAAGAGATAAGATACGCTGGATTTTTGTTTCTTCTAGGGCCAAAAATACTGAGTAATGCTGTCCAAAAATATGTGAGTAATTCTGTAGTCCAAAAATAGAAATACTGCGACAAATTAGAACTCCGGGGGGGGGCAGGTTGGTTGTAGGATAAACAAGAATGTACTTTTTGCGGTAAGTTTCACGCTCACCTGGTGCTGTTCTTAATTTTATCCACTGACTTCTTCAAGACGCAAATTTTCTGCTAGGTAAGTTCTTCCTTATTTCGAGCAAAGTACTTCTACAAGCACTTCTTATTTGGCATGATAAACAGAAACCGACCTGCTGGACGAGACTCTCGTCACGAGAGGTGGCGATTTTTCATTTCTACTGCGTAATAATGACATTTGCACTTCGCATGTCTCGATCGATCCCAACATCCCACATTTTGATATTTTTTTTTTCAGAAGTACAAGAAGTGACCAAAGATTAGATCCTTGAGCCAGTAGCAATACCGAGCAGATGGAACTACTTCTGGAGGTCTGGCTGAAGAGCCTTTCTTCACGTATGATTTTGGATCCCCTTATTTCTTCACTATCATGAACATGATCTTCTTCTTGTTCTTAGTACGCTAAGACGACAGCCACCGATTGTCTTGCTTCATGATCCGGTCTGTCTTGCTACTTCATACTCTTCGTCCTCTCACTTGAAGTAAAAATGCAACCACTAGGAGGCTCCTTCCAACAGGACCAGAGCAGCCGGTCTTCTTGTACTTCTTGTGCTGACACGAAGAACCGTGCCAGGTTTCGGACAATGTTGAGGTGTTTGTCCGACAAAGAGGAGACTGAGATATGATACACACACGAGGACAACCAAGAGTTTGCAACATGTATATATTGATTGTGTTCATATTGATATTGTTCATCATGGGTTGTTTTTTGCTGGTTCAAAGCACCGCGAGCAGCTTCAACTCTCTCAAAAACTCGTCGACTGTAAGAATGCCCGTGAAGTGCCGAAATGCAAGCATCGAGGTCATCCCAGCAAACCCCAGGAAACACGCCGGTGTGAGGTGTCCAGGAGTTGCAAAAGGCGTTGATGTGTCTGCCCTTGTAATTTTTATGCTATAGAATATTGATATTCGCGTCACGACCAATGTTTGAGAAAAAAAGCCGGCTCGTCCTTTTCATGGACAAAGTTTTTTTATCAGAATTTGCCAGAATCGACCCAATGCAAATTGGCCGAAAATAAAAATGAAAAGTCAACTACCTTCTCTCCTGTGTGTTCTGCGGACGGCTTTGTCGGTGGCGCCTTCGCACGAAAAGCGGCTGAGGCAAAACATTTTCGAATTAGCAAGAAAAAAAATGAAAACCGACGCTCCTCGCATTGGAGGCCGGCTTCGGCTGGAGCGGGCGCGCGCCTGCACGCTAGCGGCTGAGACGAGACGTAATTCTGGGTCGATTTTAGAAAATTACGCAGACTTTCACATTTGTATTTTGTACGGAAAAAACGAAAAAGCGCGCTCTTCGTGTTGGAGGCCGGCTTCGGCTGGGACGGGCCCCTGCACGCTAGCGGCTGAGAGAAAACGTAATTCTGGGGCGATTTTAGAAAATTACGCAGACTCCCACACTTGTATTTTGAACGAAAAAAACGAAAAACTGCGCTCCTCACGTTGGAGGCCGGCTTCGGCTGGGGCGCCTGCGCGCCCCATCCTGGAAGGACATAGGGATAATTCTATAAAAAAAAAATATCTTGTTCATCCGCAGACCCGCGCAATAAACCCAACAACAGCTAATAAAGTCCTTGGCATGACAAATTTGATTTCATGCAGACTGGCAAGCTATGACTTCGGGCTCGACACAACTCATTTTGAGTTTTTCATACGAGAAGCAGGTAAGTGGTTATGGAAGGTGAAGCGTTAGGTGGCAAAACGTCGCAGTGGAAACAAAATCCGAATCCGAAATCTCGAGAAGTGGTCATGATGTGGATTTTTGCAACCGGAAAATCTTTCTGTCCCCCAAGCTGATGTGGGGGTGGCTTCTACGATCTCAGCCTGATGCAGCTAGAACACTGTCATAACCACGGGGGAAACTTGCAATGCATAACGCGGCCCAGCGAGAGCAAACTAGTTTACACACGACCTCCACATCATACATTGGTTGCACCTGGTGCACTTCCACTCGACAGGAACAATAAGAACAACCACAAACTGCATCACCTATGTGGAGGCCGGATGCAGGTGTCATGCAGCTCTGCCTAGCAATCGAAACGATGCTGCTCGTGCCAAGAAAGAGCCAATTGGCGACATTATTATTTGATGGAATCATACTCGTACTCGACGGACAGGGCAAGGAAACTGTTTCCACGTTGCCGAAATGTCACCTAAAGAAAAACAACTCGTCCGATAACGATCTCCCCTGGCGTCAAAACTGCGGACACACGAAAGTCTAGTTTGTTGGGAGGCTCCTGCGCCGCTGATGTTGATGTAGAAGCTCTGGCTGCTCCGTAGGGGTGTGCACTGCTTTTTCTTTGTAGCTGGAGAAGTTGCTGTTCCTGCTGGATGTTGTTATTTCCGATGTTCAGGAGCATGGCACAGTCATCGTCAAAGTCGTCGTCTGTGTAGGAAGGTATACTACCAAGATGCTGGTGAACGTGGTCCTCTACAGTGGGATCATATGCAGCACAAATCTACATTGGTTTTGTTTGCCCCCGCACAAACACACGTACAAATACAAAAACAAAATACATCACAGAAATAAGTTCAGTAACCTCGACAAGGACCATAAAGAGCCTTGTCATACTTGGTAAGCTACGATAGTAGAAACGACTTTGTCATACAGGGTGGACATTTTCAGTGGTACGTCGCGCAAGGTAAATTAAAATTTACAATTACAGGGGAAAGCGAAAGGGTTGTTGTAGGCACTCTGTTGATAAAGGAAGATGACCTCCGACAGTTCTTCCAGTAGCCGCCGCAGTAGGTCTTTCTGCACTCCTTCCAGGGACGACCCTCCCTTGCCTTCTCTTCCGGTAGCTGTGAATCAGGTTCGAAAAGGGAAGCAGGCCGTGTAATAATTGGACGAGTCCTCTCGAATCATGTCGTCGCACTTCGTGCCGCTTGGACAACGTCGAGACCGCTTGCGCCTCTACTTCCGAGCTCCCCGCGGCCATTTTTGTTCCACTTGTTCCATCTACTAGTACCCCAGTAGGCAGCTGCGCAGGCTGTGGTGAAGTTGTTGTATTTGGTGCGGTATTCACGAGGACCTGTGTCTTCCTTGTCAACATCGTGGGCCAAGAACAAGAAGGCGTCTGATGTTGTGATCCACCTCCAGCACCCCCCCGCGTGATGGTCACGTGATTTTTGCTCCCCAGTGGCCTTCTACCCTCACCATATCCATACCCCTCCTTCTGGGCGATTTCGCGGACCAGCTCCGCTCTTTTTTGTGGAAGCGTCAGGTTTGGAATCGACAAAGTTGTCATGCATAAAATGCAAGGCACGAAGTGACTGTCTTGCAGGGATGGCAAGCGAGGTGGCCGACTGTCAGGGTCAGCCTGTTTGGGGTCTGCGATACAGCTGCTAAAGAAGCATGACAAAAGAGAAAGACCACGCGCTCTATCCCTAAACAGCATGACAAACTGGATTTAGACGGCGCCCAAATTTGTCATGCACCGCTTAGAAATTGGGCCTCCAACTGGTATCGATTTTATGCATTGCAAGTTATTTCAACTTTGTTGATTTCAATCCTGGTGACACTCCCATATTTTTCTTCGAAAACCTACCACCCCGGCGGCAAGCGTGAAGGCGGTGATTGCGAAAATTTTTGTGGAAGGCGAGGAACTTTTATCATTATCTTTGATTTGGGATGTTGTCAACAACGTGTCATTCTTTTCGAAATTTGTTCCCGGCGGCGGCACAGGCGACAAATAAGAAGTTGTGCTCGCCGCTGTGGAAGTAGAAGCAGGTAGTGACATAATTTTTTCTGATCCTACTGTGCTCTTGCAGCTACCGTCCACGTCCTCCGCTTACAACTTCTATGTTTGTTGTGCCAGCTGGTTTAAATACCACCGCACAAGAACGCAACACCTGCTGACGACAGGCTCCTCCTGGTCGAGATGAGAGGAAGCAGCGGCCATGTACTTCAACAATTTCTGTGATTTTTTTGTATCTACATCGTCCACTGGGACGGGCTGGGGCTGGTTGCAAAAAAAATGAGAATAGCCAAGGCTTGACGAATTTGAAGTCTCAATCTCTGCGACATGTTCTTTGCACATCCATAGAAGTTGGCGAGTGAATGAAACAAACATCAAAACGAGGCTGGAGAACAAGTTAACTACGCAGGCGACCGAACAACACCACAGGAACACGAGGCACGACTAGTTGTACAGTTTTACTTTCATGTAGCCGCTTAAACTATTATGACCACCGCCGTGCTGTCTGCAGCATCAACGGCGCCATATCATCGTGTTTTCGTCAAGATATAGATCGATCCTCTGGCAGCAGCACACCATCACCATGATGTTCCACAACAAACATAGTTTACTTTTTCCGCTGAAAAAGCTTCCGAAAATCTCCAAACAGGTGTCTCATGGATACGTACAAAAACAAAATGTCCTACAAAAAATGCCATATCTGAATCGGAATCCGATGTCATTGTCAGCTGTTTATTTTCACATATTTTCTTCGAAGTCGCAAAAACTAGATGTGAACAAATTGGTGTATAATGTTTGTACTCGTTGAAAAAAAAGTGGCAATGAAAAGACATTTTCGACCCCAAAACCAGGCCGTAGGGATGCACCTCCTGCAGTGGTAGTTGTTTGACGAGAAAAAGAAAAAGAAATCACCATATCAATTTGAAATAGTTCGTAAAAGTGTTCTGCTTGTGCCGGTACCACGACGAGCGGCCCATGCAGTACGTAGTAAGTACCTCCGCCGGAATTGGCGTAGTACTTCTTGCACAAGATAAAAATGGTCGCACGACCAGGTCGTGGAGGCAGCTTTCCTCTCGAGAGGCTGCTGCGCCGAGGACCTCTTCGTCTTCTACTTCTAGCTGCATTTAGTTGCACGCAGCGTGCTCCGATGCATTTAGTTGCACGCAGCGTGCTCCGACTGTCGTGGTGATTGTGAAACTTCTATGTTGGCATTTTTGTCTCAACAAAGACTACCTGCTCGTAGTACCGCACATACATTATTCCAGCATTGGTTCATCAGGGAAAATATCAATAGTGAAGTGGTCGGAGTTCGTTTTTGTCTTGTTCCCTGGGAGTACAGTAAATCTAAACGACAAAGCGACCCTTGTGCGGTCGACAGGTGGTTGAAACTTCTGTCATAACGTGCTCCCGGTCGATCATTTATTTTGTGCATTCTTTCTAGAAAAAATTAATTTGCTTGTGACGTCATTGGTCGTTACTAGTAGTGGTAAAAAAAAAATATCTCTAACAAATGACTCGGATACCACGGCGTAAAACCGCTGGGACTACGTACCTGTACTATCTCCTCCGTCTTTGATATACATTTACGTTTCTTTTCTGTATGTCTGCTTTTTTCTTCATTATCATCTAGTATTTCCCCATGCTTTCCAGGGTTTCCCCTAGCATATTACTCCACTCTCCCGGTCCGTCCGCCATACGGTTCAGAGTGCCACGCCTTCGCGCCGATTCCCGCGATTATCCACAGGAAGAAACAACTCACGACCGAACTACACGGAGTAGGTACATCAAACTGCATTCAGTTCTTGCATCATGCTAATTCTCCTAAATAATCTCTACTGCGAGCTGGGCCTCGTTCTGTATTTCATTTTCGCATCATTCTTGTTGATGCAAGAGGGCTGGCCATCATGATCATCTACTCCCTCCGCTTCTACTAGATCTGGACAATTTCATCACCTCGTGCAGTTTGTACGTGCTTTACAAATGTAGTACGGTGGTAGATTTGTATTGCATAGCTTGCTCCCGCACACTATCTTTCCGTCGTGGTTTTGCAGCTCCTTGTTGTTTATCCTGTGCAAAAGTATCGCACTCGTACTAATCGCACTCATGCATGAGCAGTTATCTTTCTCAAGGGAAATCAGCATTAGTACAAATTCAATTTGACTGTAAATGCTGAGCTAATAATTTGTAATGCAATTACTGCTAGCACGATACTTTTGCACTTCATATCGCTGCCCTGGCACTTGTTCCAGATGTCGGTAAATTTCACATTTGACGTATGGAAAGGTCAGAATCGAAAGCGACAAGATCAAAAAATTTGTGATGCCCAAAATTGATACCAGTAGGAAGCCCACTTTCCAAGCGGCGCATGACAAATTTCGGCGTCATCGAAATCCAGTTTGTCATGCTGTTTAGCGAAAGACGGCATCCTTTGTCATGCTACTTTAGCAGCTGTATCCCAAACGACCCCAAGGAGGCTTGCAATCGGCCTCACTTGCAGTCCCTGCAAGGCTTCATTTCGTGCCTTGCATTTCGTGCATTACAGATTATTTCGACTTTATCGACTTCGATCCTGACGCTTCCATATGACGACCTGGTCCCATCAGATTTCGCGCACTCCTCGCAGTGCAAGTCTTTCTGGCTGTTCTTCAGGGTGCAAGTGACACACGACCCTTGGTAGCCGCCAGGCGGGATACCTGGACAAAAAATTCAGATTGATCTTTCATCATGATTGATCCACACGTACTACCAGTGCCGCTCAGAGGGACTTCCGTTCTGAGTGAAAACTCTATATCTAGCGAATTCCGATGAATAACTGATCAAGATATTTTTGGGAAGAAGCCACCACTTTGATCTCTGTAACTGTATCGGAACAACGCTCAAAAGTTACCAGCTCCATGTGGTCTGGCTCGGCAGCGCAGCTGGCCCGCAATGTTGTCCACTTCTAAAGTTTTCAGGGTGGTTTTAATCCACTCTTTGTCTTTTACGTCCACACCCTGCTTCTTTGCAATTTTCACGGCGTCCTGTATTTTTTTTTTTTAAATTTGAACCCGCTAAGGAAGAGGATGAAAATAGATCGCGGGCATGCACATTTTTTTTTGTCATGCTACTAATACTGGTTCTCTATCTCTGTTGTACTCAAATAGAATACGAACTACAGTGCACATCAAAGAAAAACTTCTCTTCACCCCTTAGCTGCTCCACCTATATCAACTCGTCGTCACAAAAATCATAGTACCAACAGCAACGGGCAGCCACTGAGTTCCAAATTCGACTGCCTGGGCAAGTGTCCGGGTCGAGACTCGCAGTGCGTGCAGACGAGGAGGGTCTTCTTGATCCCGAGCATCTTCTGCAGCTCCGTTTTTCCGTCGCCCCGGCCCTCGACCAGCTTGCAGCCGTCAGAGGTCGTCAGGTAAGAGCCTCCGGGCAGGAGCTTGCCGTTGGGTTGGGGCCCGAGCGCGAGGTTCCCGGAGACACGGTCGTGATAGAGCGAGAAATACCTGATGGATGAATCACGAGAAAGAAAAGTGTATTGCGTACTTATCCTCCAAGCTGTAAAGAATGCCGCGCAATCTGTCATGCGTCCGAACAAGCAACGTGCTCGTGTCGATGTTCGTTTCCGTTTCATGAGATTCCCGTTCGCATCAATAACGTAAAATTATACCGTCCCAATTCCTCCTTCAGTTTCTTTTTTACTTCGGCACCCTTGCCCTTGCCCTTGGCGTCTTCATCATCCTCTTCGTCCTCGTCTTTCTGCCCGGCCACCGTGGTTGTGGTCGTCACGGTAAACTTCTTCGATTCCTCCGCTTTGGCGCCCGTGATGGTCCAGCCAAATCCGTGATATTTGTCCACTGCAAAAGTTGTATGTCGCACTGCTCGTAGTATGTAAGTATTTAATTGCAACAAGAACCATGGTGCATCACATCAAAATTTGTTTTTGTTGTCCTGCTATCAATCTGGCTCATCTCCAGGGCAAGTTCCATGGAAGTGCCATTTTTGCTTCATCCGCAAAAGTTTGAGTTTCAGTTTGCTATATAAACACGTCCAATTTTCCCAACGAGTGCTACGATACATAGTACGACTCTTGCATGGCATAAAACCCGATTTCCCGCAATTTCGCGAGCTGCCCCGCGTTATCCAGGAACAAAACTGTGTTAGTGTAAGTCTTTTGGGAAAACAGCATCACAAGTTTGTCTCCCATGACAGGACAAACTTGTTATGCGCAGATACAAAGGGAAAGCACATAGGAAGCGAGCCGGCCATGCATGGCGAGCATGACAAGTGTAACTGTTTGGCATTTTCTGCATCACAGATTTACACTTACACAGTTTTTTTCTTGCATACGCGTAGTCCCCCGGACAATACCAGGAGCCCTCCGAGTCGCACTGCCACCTCTTCTATCCTATGTAAAAACGTACCCACACCAGAGTTGTCATGCAGATTTGCAAGCGCAAGAGCATTTGTAATGCGCATCCCCATGAGAGACATTGCCCATCGTGTTTTGGAACTTGTAATGCTGTAAACAGGATAAGGAGACGGATTTGTTATGCGGCGTCCCTTGCTAAGCTGCACTACACTACAGTCTGCAACTTGTCATGCGTGACTCCCAAAAGGTCTAGGTTTGTGTTGCAAAATCCCCATCTTGACTATGGTGTGGGGACGTTTTTACAAATGATATCTTCGGGTCGAAACCTAGCCGCTTCGATTTCTGGTATGCATTGCAAAAGTATCTTCGTACTAGTATAACTATAAATCGCAACACAAATTGGCTCAGCATTGAATTTGTAATGCGGATTTACCTTAACATGTCAGGCATAATTGCGACTACAACGAACAGTACGATACTTTTGCACAGCATATCTGGCTGGCCTTGGCGATTTTGAAAATCCGGACCGCGGCGTGCTTGGACTGAAACACGATTTTGTACCGCCCCGCGAACTCCGGATCGCCGTCGCGGTACCCGGTGGTAGCGTGGTACACGAAGGAATTGGCCATCATTTTCGAGGGCTGCCCGTGGCCCTCCCACCCGAATTGCCAGCACATCTTGTCGTAGCAGTGCCCCTTGTAGACCGAGTTTGCGATGCGAGCCATGTGGGTGGCTTTTGAGAGATCGTCATCACACCAAACCAACACGTAGTCCGCCCAGTGCCGCATGATAATGTGAGACTCCTCGACGGGGGAGGTGATGGTCATTCCCAGAGACGTATCCACTGCAAATATGTGGTCTACTGGCTGTGGAAGGTTACGAAATGTTTGTCATGCATTTATTTCTGGATCGCACAGGTGGCCTCTAATTCTGCACGCGTCAGCATCTACAAGATTTGCACCGGCCTCTTGCTCTTGATCATGCCTGTTCCGCATGATAAATTCCCCACTTGCGACGCAGCTTTTGGTGCTCATGCAACACAACTTTTTCAGTGATCCAGATGATTGTGCATCACCAGTTGACACTCTTCCAGGTCCAGACCCAGACATATTTGCAATGCATAAAAAGCGAGGTGCTCGTGGTTCCACGTGTTGCCATCGGCGACTGTGACACGCTTGGAGATACCGGCCAGCTGGTACCCGTAGTCCCACCTGAGAACGATTTTTTCACCAAGAATTTTTGTCATGCGCGGCATCGAAAAAGAACAGATACCTTTTTGTCAATCGTGCATGACAGATTCACGCACTTCCTTGCAATTGATTTGTATTCAAAAATCAATGTTCATCAATTACCACGACAAGATCCTTGCGTCCTCCTTGGTATTGTCTCGGATCCACAGGTATGCCTCTCGGTAATCGTCCTTCAGCGTGCCGTCCTGCAGTGTCGAGACGATCTTATGCATTGCAAAAGCATCGTACTAGTAGAAATCGCATCACAAATTCGGCCAGCATGACAAATGGAATCTGTAATGCGGATTTGACTTGACAAAAAAATTTGTAATGCATAAATGCGATTAGTACGAGTACGATACTTTTGCACAGGATAGATCTGTGGGTGGGACAACCCGTACTGGATCATGTTGTAGCCTGCACCGAGGAAATGTGAAAGTGGACAACTCCTCCTCCTCCCCCTCATTCACATCATGGTAGAAACAGCAACACAAGCGCCGGCGGAAATGCAGCTTTGGCATGACAAATTCTACTGCAGCTCACAGGATAATGATAGTGCTGCTTCGGCTTCCCCTTCCGGAATAATTTGCTATGCAAAAAGTGGCACAGGGCAGCGACTGGAATTGGGGTTTTTGCATGACAAACGAGGGGGAGGGGGGCGGAGGTGACCACTCTCATAAAAAATGCTCCATGTGACTCGGGAACCCGTGTCAAATGTAAAAATGTCTGGGTCTGGAAGATTGCCAGGTTTGTCATGCACATTTTGCATGACTCCTGATGTCTGTGATGCATGCCCTAGCAACATCACAGATTTTGTGAGGGCTTCCTGCTGATGCCTATACCGCATGACAAATGCTCTTTCCGTGTACTAGCGAAACTTGGACTCTCTTTGCTGCTCATGCAATACAGATTTTTTTAGAATCCAAAATCAGCATGACAAGTTGGATTCTTCCAGACCCAGACATTTTTACAGTTGATAACCCGTAGCGGAACACCATCAGAATCGTGACCAGTGCCCGTACCGAGAGGAGCGAAAGCGTTGCCTATGGAGAGAAAAAAGTTCGTCACAGTCACTAACTTGCAGGCTTTGCATTACAAATTTTCTCAGCATCACAAACTTTCCTTGTATTGCAGAAACACTAGGGAAATCCCTAATGAAGTTTGGCTGTGATGCATTTTTAAGCATGAGAAACAATTTTCTATTGCAAGAATGCGCATGAGTGATCGTGACGAACTTTTTTTCTTTGATATTGCCGCTTGAAATGGTAGTCTCTTCGCGGACGAGGAGGAGGGACTGCTACTAGAGGCCCCTGTTCTGCTGATCGTGGAGAGAGGACCCAGCTTCGTCGTTATGCAATACAAATTTACCTCCGTAGAAGTAGACGTACAAGAAGTAGGCAAGTAGATGTAGGAGTAGATGCATCACAAAAAAATTTGCGAACTTGATGAATCAATGGACACGTCGAAACTTGTGATGCTAGATGCGGTTGGGCAAAAGTTTTCTCATGTGGTCCTTCCACGTCCTCGTCCTGTGAGGTATTGTACTAGAGTTCCGATGGATACTAGTCGTTGTGCCACCAGTGCTAGAAGAGGAAGCTGCAGCACCCTCCTTCTTTCCCTTCAGTGGGGTCTCGTTTCTGTCCTTCTTCGCAACTGGCGGCGGGGTTTTCGCGGCCTTATCGACGTCCTCTCTCGAGCTATCTTCGATCGCCAAGGAAGAGTTCGGCTCCGCTCGGTAAAAGGCGCCGTATCGCCTGCAAATACGTCTGAGTCTGTAAAAGTGCAACGTTTGTGATGCACACTTTACATGACTCATGATGTCCTCTCTGATGTGTGTCATAGCATCACAGATTTTCTGAGTCCTTTGTGATGCCTATCCTGCATGAGAAATGTCGATCCCACAAGGCACAAATTGGACTCCTCTTGCTGGTCATGCAAAACAGATCTTTTTAGAATCCAGAGACAGCATCACAACTTGCAACCTTCCAGACCCAGGTATATTTGCAATGCATACGCCGGTGCTGTTAGCGAAAATGGTCGCCGCCTTCTTGTCGTAGCCGAGCAGGTTATGAAACTACACAATTCCCTTTCCCCTTATTTTTGCATGGAATGAACAGCAACACAAACACAAATACATGTGGTGGACGCTGCGCATTTACAAATTTCTCATGCGCTGGGTGTAGTACTGCTCGGACTTCCAGAATTTGTATTGCAGACAGGGCCACAAGGCAGCAAGAGCAACTGGAAGATTTGGGAGAAGTATTGCATTACGAATCATGAGGGGGAGCGGGAGTTGTGCACTCTCATACAGGTGTTCCTTCACCGTCAAGTAGCGAAACGGGGCGAGAATCCACTGGCAAACGCGCCCGACTTATCAAATGCAAATATGTCTGGGTCTGGAAGAATGCAGGGTTTGTCATGCACAGCTAGCATGGCTCTCAAGTCTGTCATGCGCGCGTCATGCAGAAACGCAGTTTGTCATGCAGATAGGCAACACTTCAGCAACTCCAAAACTTGTCATGCTTGGCTGTCAATGAAGGCGTCCAGCACACGACTCGCGAAACAGCATCACAAGTTTCCAGACCCAGACACTTTTGCAGTTCATACGACTGCGATGGCGGACAAGAGCGGTGCGGTGGGGCCGAGAAAGATCATGAGCCGCGTATGAAAGTGCACAACTCCCCCTGCTCCCCCTCATTTGTCATGCAAAACTCCAAATCCAAGTGCTTCTCTTTGGCACTGTTTGCATGACAGGTTCCGGAAGTTGTCCAAACAGTATTACACTAGGCGAATGAACTAGAATTTGTCATGCGCAGGCTCCACGTGTGCTGGTGTTTGTATTGCTGTTCATGCATTACGAATGACGGGGAGGGGGACGAGTTGTGCACTCTCATACCGTGCCATCTTCAACGCGAACGCGTAGGTAGCGATCCCAAAAATCATGCAGTAGAGACCCGCGGTGGCCTATCGCGAGAAAAAAGTGTTACAGGTGCACACTCTGATGCAAGACCAGCAAGACAAACAACCTCTGTCATGCAGGAAATGCTTCCCAGCCTTATTTCCTTCGTGTTTTCTCGTATAGTCTGCGCATTACAAGGCTTTTTTGCCATGCAGAGCAACTTTGTGATGCTGAAATTACAACCAATGTGTAACTGTAACACTTTCACTTTTTTCCCGTGATATGGCCACGGGAGTTTGCTCAGACAAGCCGAACAGAGAGTCGGTGTAGGCCTTCAGCGTACTCGGCACCGCCGCCGCCGGTGGCTCACAACTTGAAGAGGACTTCTCGACAGATGTGAAGCTGCCACTTTTGAGTTGTTTCACTTTCCTATCCAACCAATTTGCCAGCACCGTGGGTTTTCTCCCATTCCTGGCCAAGGCGGCGAAAAGGTAGCTGAACATGAGGCACACGACGTCGAAGAGAAGAAAGCCCACCCCGACCGGGGCCAGGTACATGGTGCGGTCCAGCATGCGCCACAAAGCCGCCGGGTTGCCCGGTTGGTGCTCGGACACGGAATCAATCAAAGGGTTTCCGGTTTTCGTGGCGTGCGCGCCGAACAACGCTTTGACCCGCCCGGACAGGGGGTCCATGAACTTCTCCAAAATCTTCAACAGCACCGAGTTCTCAATGTCGTAACTGATCAGCGCAACCGCAACGATGCCGAGGAGGACGACGTTCGTGCTCATCGCGCGGATGACATTCTTCTTGCTGAAAAACCTCGCGAGGTTCTTGCTGAACTTCTCCGTTGTATGAGAGTGCACAACAACTCCATCTCGTCCCACTCGTTTGTCATGCAAACCCCAAATGCAAGTGCTTCTTCCCTGTGGCACTGTCTGCATGATAGATTCCGGAAGGAGCCCAAATAACAGCACTACACTAGAACTGCATGAATCTGTCATGCACAGGCTCCACGTGTGCTGGTGTTCGTATTGCTGTTCATGCAATACAAATGAAGGGAGGTGGGGGAGTTCGTTGTGCACTCTCATACGTCAATAGGGGCAAAAGCACGTTCTGCATCAAGGAGCTGTCGAAGAACTTCACTAGTTGGAACAACACAAACACCGCTAAAGGCAACACCTGTTCCAAACTACACAAGGGCGCCCAGTGGACCACCGGGGTGAGCATGGCACCGTAGGTGGCGATATCCCGTGCAAAAACTTCGCCACGACTCTAGAGTTGTTACTTATGCAAATCTGCATGCCTAAAACGTTTGTCATGCGCAGCCACATGATAGGCGTTTTCTAATCCTCATCCTCGGGAGTTTGTCATGCTAGAATCAGGATGAGCTTGTCGATTTCTCGTGCGGCTGCACTAGCTACACAGGATTTTTAAACTGCGATCATCCCAAAGACCTTGTCATGCGCAACAGCCAAACCTTGTTGATTTGTGTTGCTAACTTTCCATCTTGACAACTTTGGGTAGTTCGGGACGTCGTTTTTACGCAGGGTAGGCGACAATGAAGAAGAGCGTGTAGGCCTCGTACAGTGCCTTCCAGGTGCCGTTGGTCGGGAGTTGCGTGTCCGAGTTCTGCAAGCAGCTGGTCCCGTACATGCGGATGCGCTCCAGCAAAAACAACAGAGCCGCGTGCATGCCCACCAGGTTGATCAGGAAGACGTACCCGCCCCACCCAGCGGCCATGAAGGCGTGACTGCAGCCGGCGAGGAAAGCGGAGAGCAAGCGTTGCACGAAGGCAGAGTAGGTGTTGACCTTGGTTGGGGTCTCGATGTTCCGGAGCGCCAGGCACCAGAAGAAGCCGCAGGCCACCATGGGGGCGATGGCAATTATGAGAGTGCACAACTCCCCCTCCCCCTCATCTGTATTTATAGCATGACGAGCAATACAAACACCACCACAAGTGGAGCCTCTGCATGACAAGTTTGTGTGCCTAATGTAGTACTGTTTGGGCTTCCGGAATTTATCATGCAAACAGTGCCACAAGGAAGCGACTGGATTTGCGGTTTTGCATGACAAATGAGGGGAAGGGGGAGTTGTGTCCTGTCGTAGCAATGCACTCGTTGTCAAAGCCGCCGCCGACGGACCGCTGCGCGTGCGCTGGAATCACCGACATGAAGAACATGGCGGACAGCGCAGTGGTATCGAGTGCAAATGTGTCAGTCTGGGTCTGGAAGATTAAAACTTGTCATGCTAAATCAGAATGATGCAAAAATCTGTGTTTCGTGAGTACCAAAAGCTGTCCGCTTTTGACCAAATTGAGAGGGAGTTTCTCATGCAGGAAAGGCATGGCAGGAACTTCAAAGAATCTGTCATGCCAGGTCGTGCACTCCAGAGCTCATGGCTCACGCAAGACGTGCATGACAAGTCTCAGAATCTTCCAGACCCAGACATATTTGCAATTCATAAGTGGCCGCTTTGCTGATGAACCGAAAGTAGTCGTAGTGCGCGACCGGCTGTGCGACGGCCTCTGCGGCCAGCAGGCCGACGAACAGAGTTGCGATCGACCCAAAAAACGCAGGCAGATGGCACGCGACCTGCGTCAGCGTCCAGTTGTAGGTGAAGGTGGCGAGTAACCGCTGCGGGGCTTCTATCCAAGAAAAAAACTGTGTTAGTGTAGCTCTCCTTGGCTGACAACATCACAAATGTGCTCTACATGACAGCGAAAACCTGTCATCGTCATGCGTCGCTTGTAAGGGAAAACACACATGAAAAGAGGACTTCGTGGTTGTCTGGCATGACAGGCGTAACTCTACTGTTGCATATTCTGCATTACAAAGTTACAGTTACACAGTTTTTTTCCTGGATAGCTTCGTACACGAGGTAAGCGAAATTCGTGGAGACCGACTTGCTGATCGTCTGGTATGCTTTCTTGTACTCCTTTTGGGCCTGCTTCGTGTACTCCTTCCACGATTTGTTCGAGAATCCGAGAAATTTGGTGGCGAGCTGTTCCAAAAACGCGGACTGGAGAAACCTGTTGAAATACAGTGTCGCTGCAGCTTTCTTATCGGAAGAGCTGCTCTCAGACGAGCCGAGGACTGCGGAAAAAATCGGATACACCGCCGACTCCAAAACCGTGTAGCCTGCGTCCAAATAGGCGACGACGGTATCGTTGGACACCCCGACGTATGAACTGCAAAAGTATCGTACTCGTATAAATGCATTACAAATTTCCTTAGCATGAGAGATAAAATCTGTATTGCGGATTTACCTTAAGAAAAAGATTCGTAATGCAAGACTTGCATTTATACGAGTACGATACTTTTACAGAGGATACGACGGTCTGTTCCACCGCCCACCCGAACAAGCGGTCCGGGCGCCACTGCAGATCCGCGGTCTGCGGTTCCGTCTTCTGTCCCTTCCCCTTTCCCTTTTTCGACTTTTCCCCAGCGGTCTCGCCCCACAAAGGCGACGTGGAGGCGTAGACGCGCTTGAAGATTTTTTGGTACCGCAAGATGCAGTTGCGCGGCTTGCCCTTCACCGTGCGGCACGAGTAGAGGATGTTTTTGACGAAACGGGATACCAGATCCAGCTCCGGCTCTACTTCCGCGTCTGCTGTTGCAAGCAGCTCGCCATTCGCGCCCGTGGCCGTTATGCATTGCAAACGCGTCTGGCTCTGGGTCTGGAAGGTTGGAACTTGTAATGCTAGCTTTCCATACCTAGGAAATCTGTATTGCATAATCAACAAAAGTCGCAGCGTCTTTTGCACATGCAAGCGCGGAGCTTCTCATGCGGATTGCTTATGAGAAAGCGTTCTGGAAAGTTGTCATGCTAGGTTGCGTTTGGAACTGTTTCGATCATCCACATTCTAGCATCACAAGTTTCCAGACCCAGACATATTTGCATTTGATAGCCGCAGGAGCTGTGGAATTACTACTCGCTTCAGCGTCGGAGAGCAGTTTCGTAATTACCTGCTCGCTATCAAATGTAAAAATGTCTGGGTCTGGAAGAGTCATGCTGTTTCTGCATGACACAGAAGGTCTGGCATGGAAGCTCTAGCATCACAGGTTTCGAGAAGCTTCGGCTTCCGCAATGCCGAATCCGCATGACAAATCCCCCATTTTGGTGACAGAAAGTGAGCAGCCTTTGCTGCCTATGCATCAGAGATTTTTGTGTGTTCTGAAATGCGCATCACAAGTTACATCCTTCCAGACCCAGACATTTTTACATTTGATACTCGCTCTGTTGCTTGCCGACTTTCGACGTCACTTTCAAGGTATGCAGTGCAAAAGTATCGCACTCGTAAGTAATTGCATTTGCAGTCATGCAGCTGCATCACAAATCTTTTTCTTGAGGTAAATCAGCATGAGAAATTCCCTTTGTAATGCTGAGCGAATTTGTAATGCGATTACCACTAATACGATGCTCATGCTTTTGCGTTTCATACAAGGTGCGGTACATCGCGACGGCGGTTAGCTGCATCCCTATCGTGAGAAAAAAGTGTTACAGTTACACACTCTGATGGGAGACAAGCAAGACAGACAACCTCTGTCATGCAGGAAATGCTTGCCAGCCTCATTTCATTGGTGTTTTCCCTTATAGTCTGCGCATCACAGGTTTTCTTAGCCATGTCGAGCAACTTTGTGATGCAGAAACTCCAACAAATGTGTATACTGTAGTAAACACTTTTTTCCTGTGATAATCCCCGGGTAGATGGTGGTGCCGACGGGGCGGCCAAGGGGAAACCACACCATGTGGTCGAACCACTTGAAGAACCTGGTAGGAAATTCGATTTTGTGATGTGGTGCAACAAGATGTCTACTTACTACTTTTGCACCGACCTACCAGGAGCTGGCCTAGGCGAATGTTTGTTCTTGCCATAGTTCTGTCAGAAGTGTTTCAAAAATGCCTCATCACCAATTCAAATTCATCATCATCAGCTCTTCCACAAATAAAAACAGATCAGCCTATTTTCCAAAAAAATCCTTCCTCTTACCGCTCCACCACCGCATGGCGCCAGACGTTGAGATCAAAGTACTTCCGCGTCAATCGCCAGGCAAACGTATCCTGTAGATACGGGTTGATGACGGATAAAAGCGTGTTTGACGATTTTTTCGCGGCTTCTTCCTCGTCCGCAGACATGTCATCCGAAGCCAAATCGACCACCTGAGCGTCCAGAAAATGGTTGCGCCCGGCTTGCGAGTCATCTGTAGTTTCGGTGTATTCAACATTTTTTTCATATCACATGTTCCCACTGGTCCCGGGGTGTCAGCTTCTAGTTCTACACGTAGCTGCTTTCACGAAGATGTGCTCAGAAACCACCTCATTCTGCACAACTGCTGCTGCTTAAGCTACACCAGTGTATAACATTTACAAACTCAAACGACCCTAATGTCAAAACTTCTTTACCTGCCTTCGCTGCCTCTGCTCCCGCCGCAGCGGCAGCGGCGGTTCCGTTGGTCTTCTTTTCCGCTACCAGCTGCTTGTAGCTCGCTCGGAGCTCTAATTCCAAGTGCTCGGTCGCACGGTAATTATATCAAATGCAAATATGTCTGGGTCTGGAAGGATGTCATGCACATTTTGCATGACTCCTGCTGTCTGTGATGCATGCCACAGCGTCACAGATTTTGTGAGGGCCTGCTGATGCCTATACCGCATGAGAAATGCCCTTATTTCCGTGTAGCAAACATTGGACTCTCCTTGCTGCTCACGCAATACAGATTTTTTTAGAATCCAAATGCAGCATCACAAGTTCCAACTTTTCAGCCCAAGATATTTTTGCAATCCATAAATTAAACCACGGGTCAAATTCGTGGATAACATACCCGTATTGCCGAATCGCGAACAGTATGCATTGCAAAAGTATCGTAGTATTGCGTCTATGCATTACAAATCTTTTTTGTCAAAACAAATCCGCATTACAAATTGAATTTGTAATGCTAAGTTAATTTGTAATGCAATTTATACTAGTACGATGCTTTTGCAGTTCATAAACAGCCTCACGTCGTACGCAAACCACAGTACGTGCAGAGATAAGGCGAACAGGATGGGAAAGTAGACGAAGGGAAAAAAGATGCTCGAACACGTCGCCCGGGTGGAAAAAGCGACCAGCTTGGTGACGCAATTTGTCAAGGTGCACGTAGTATGAAAGGAAAGAAGTGTGTCTGTGTCTGGACAAAGGCATGCGACTTCTGATGCTGCATCTTGCATGACAAAGCCGCACTTGTCTTTACGGCATGAACTACGCATGATCACAAATTCCTTATTTTCGGGTGTTTTTATTGCGAGTTCTTCCGTGTTTTTCCGCATGAGGAACAAGTGGCTTCCAGCATGACAGACGGATTGGGATCCGTCACAGGTGCAGGTCGTCTTATGCTTTAAGCCTATCATTGAGATCCCGCATAACAAATCGTCCAGACCCAGACATATTTGCCGTGCATACTTACAGCCCTGCTGTGCTGCCATTTGCGCCGCAGCCTTCGTGGCCTTCTTGTTCGCGTTTTTTATTTGGTTTTTGTCCAGCTTGGTGGATGCTCCCGTACCACTGTTGCTGTTCCCGTCTTCATTCCCGGAAGACTGCGAGTCCACGACGGACATCAGTTCCACTTTGTCAGACCCACCCGATGCGGACCCTGAGTACTCTGCGGTAGGCTTGCTGCTCGTTGGCGAGTGCAATAGCATCTATACGAAGCTTTCTGCTCTGCGAGTGTTCTCTTCCAGGGCAGCTATGCGATCGTGAGTGAAGCACTGCGAGAGGACTGCAACTGCTGCTGGTGTTCTTTTAGTAGTACAACTACAGATGCTCTTCGTACTTGTTCTACCGAAACAGAAACTACTTGTCAACGTGGTTCTGTAACTCAGGTTCTATTTCCTGCGTTTCTGCAACGCACACGATCGGCTGCCGATCCACTAAACCTTACTCACACTATAGAACTTCTAGAAGTCTGGGTGGCACAAAGATTAAGATGAGAAGATCGGAAAATGGAATAAGTAGCAACAGATGAGAAGGATCAGGACACAATCGAGTTCTTGTTTCGGTGGAACAATCCAAAAAGAAAAAGGATACTCGTCGACGCACAAGAGCCAGAGCAAGGTATGTCTGTCAAATGGCACATCATGCAACGATGACCGCTTAAGAGTGGAGTCCGTTTCGGTGTCGTGCTCGTGTGTGCAAAAAGGAAAAACGAAAAAATGGTTCGCAAAGGAAAAGGAAAACAAAGTGATGGATCTTGGAAAAGGAAAACAAAGTGATGGTGGCCGCAAAATGAATGATCATGCATGAAGATATTAGTGTCAGCTGCACTAGGCAGGGCCTTATTACGCAGAAAAAGCAAAAGCAGGACTAGAAGATGATCTCTACACGCTTACTTTTAATATTATTTCAATTTTTATTTGTAGGGCACGCACGACTGCTGATCGTGTGGCTCAATTGGTGAACACGAGGCTTTGGCTTGCTTCATCACGTTGTAAAAGGGCTCGTGAACAACACTAGGCTCCAGCATGTTACGTCTTTGATGTCTGATCAAACTTATTTGAGCATCTTCTAAAAAAATCTTTTCCAAACGCACCCGCTTCAACAAGCGAAGCGCAACTGAGTGTCATCATTTTTTTTTACTCTTGACTACTCTCTGCGCAATTTTTCCGGGAAAAAGTAGCAGGAGTCCTTTTTTCACTGTGATGTAGTTGAATTATCAGACACGTCAACGCTTCGGCCTGTAGCTGTACTCCCCCATACAGTACTTTGGTTCCCATATTTGGCACTTGTAGTTGTACTTTTTACTTCGCCTCTCCTGCCCCTTCTTCCTTGCACAAGATTTCCACGAGCGCCGGACAAAACCCTAACTTTTTGTCCAGCACATCCGGGTCTTTCACGACATCCATGTACAAATCAATGCCGCCAACATCGGTCCACTCGAACTTGACCGCCTCCACCGGTTTTTGACATGTGCTAACCAAGTGGCGGATTCCGTTGGTCATCTGGAGCTCGTTCTGCGTGTAGACGTCCTTCAGCTCCAGCCCTTCCCAGTACTGCTCAGCGTTGTAGAAAAAGCTCAAGCCGATGTAACTCGTGTCCTCCTCCTCCGTCGTCTTGTACTCGGTGTAGGGCTGCTTATCGTACATAGAACTGATCCACATCGCCGGTTTAATATTCGACCGCGCTGTAGAAGTCAAAGCTGCTGCAGATGATGATGTTGAAACCACATCATCAAACTCTTTCTTCACCCCCGTTTTGAAGTTGCAGTACCGCGCCGAATCCTCCTTGGCGACCGTGGAAACGCCCATCCAATCGTGCTGGAGTTCAAACGGGATGGGATCCGCCACGAGGGTGTCACACGCGACAAAGTAAAACGACTCTTGTCTTTCCATCTCCTGGAGACAGGCCTGCAGGGACAGCCCCGGCCCGGACCCGGGGCCGTCGAAGTTTTCCATATGGCGTTCTCACATGTTACATTCGCGCATTGTTACATGATTTGTCATGCAAAATTGCAATCAGAATCGACACGATCAAGCTGCTTCGCATGACAAATTCTCGAAGTTCCCAACACGATAAGAATCTGTGCCCAATCGGTCATGCAAGACGCACAAGGTCCCCTCTTTCACTGTATTTGAAGTTGCCGCTCTCACATTACAAATCCACGTAACAACAGCTGAGGATGTAACAGTTGAGAACGTCATATTCCACGAGGCAAAATTTGAAGGGGATGTCCGGGTGCTGCTTTTCCAAATAAAACCTCACCTGGTCGCCCTTGTAGCCGAGCGCGATGACAAATTTGGTTTTCTCCTTCGGAAACTTGTCGATGATGTGCGAAATCACCGCTCGCCCGTCGGGGAGCGGCAGCAGCGCTTTGTTCAGCGACTGACACAGCCCGCCCATGCGCGTCCCCTTTCCCGCGGTGGGGATGCACAGCGTGTACTGGTAGGCGGAAACTGGGGGCTCGGAAGAGGTCATGGCGGCCATGGTATCAATCTATTTGTTCAAGAACCTTTAATGAAAACAATGATCAGAGGACTTTAACGTTATCCGGTAAGGAAGGTAACCGTCACTGGCTTCGCACCAGTTTTAGTTTTCTTCGAAGATGTTGCTCAAAATCGCCCTTCAAGGTCAGGATGATCTCTAGCACGTCGCCACGACTCGGACTCCTGCCTGCTCCATCTTATAGCAGACTACATTTCAAATTCTTAAAGTAGGTATTCCGATAGATAATATACTAGCACCAGAAGGTCATCTTCATTGTCAATACTTCAAACTCACGCGGCACTGCGACCAGGAGCAGGAGCTTCTGACAGCACTCGTATATGTTCATCTTGGGACGATGAATAACGACACACATCAAGATAAAAATGAACAGACAGATGCTAAAAACGACGCAGACAAATTAGCGGCTGCTCCTGCGTCCTTTCAGTTGTTCGGTGGGGCAGTGCTCCGGCTTGCTTATTTCGTCTTTATCTTTGATAGTTCACCGACGCACACTGCCGATCCTCGTTCTTCTTGGAAACAATTTTTGTTACATAGAGCACTAGAAGAGCAGGCCACCGAGTGGAGTTCCCTCCCAATCACAACTTCATCCGAGCTCTTTTTTTATGCACCAACACCATCAAATTTATTAATATGTAAAGACAAAACATAACAAGCTCTGGTGTGAAGACTGTAGTGGAGAAGTTCCTCTCTTTTACATGGGGGAAACAATCAAATTAAATATTACAACTGACGAGGAAGCCAGCTGCTGAACACTGGCTGCATGATCAACATCATGATCATGATAAATCACGTTACAGAATGACACACGACTCGCTGCAGGGGCTACAAGCTCCGGGGACCGGGGCCTCGCGCGACTGCACGACGCTCGCTCGGGAATTCCGTCTTCCCCCGACCGTCTCCCCCTCCGCAACCGGTAGCTGCTTCCGGGGTGCGGGCGGATTGGCGATGAGCTGTTGAAGTTTTTGCTTCTCCGCATTCCACTTTTCTAACTGGTCCCCACGCTGCGTCGCGGAAACCTGATAGAGACAATGCCGAAGATTCCACGCCAAGAATATGGTTCTTCGTACTCGGCATGCTATGGCTCCTGCATCAGAAAATGTAAAAGTAATAAATTGTTGAATACTTCTATTGTTCCAACTTCCTTGTCCTTCTGTTTTCCATGCTGCAGCACAAAATGAAAACGTACCTCTTGCTCCCTCACCGTTTCGGTCCAGTGCAGCAGCTCTTTCATCAGCCCGACGGTCTCCAGCTGAAAACGTATCCTAGGGAAATAAACGAAGATTCTAGAGAACGGCCCAACTCGATGCAAAAAATGCTATTTGTCATGCGTCTGAAATAGTACCAACAGCCGCCTGCTTTTTACGACTAAGTAAGACTCGGTCGTACCACCAATAGAAGTAACAGGCATTTCTGAAAACCATGCAGTTTTGAAATTGACGAATCGACGACGTCCCTCCTCAAAAATCTTCTCCAAAAATTCCCTGTTTCCTACACGGCTTCCGGCAGCTCTGCACAAACTGATAGGCGGCAAAGGGTGCTGTGCCGTATTCGATAGAGTCGAACTTGATCAGAAACGCGGTGGCCAACAGTCCAGACGCTTCAGAATTGGAGAACTGCGGTCCCCCGCTCTCATCACTGCAGATCAAAACGCGCACATCACCGTATACGTGCTTGCTGTCCTGCACTAGTCCCTCATCTTGCGCAGTAGCATTTTTTGCTGTACTGTCAGTCACCGCACGCCCCGCCTGGTTATTAATCATCTGCGTTCGTCGGTGGCAGGCAGTGACAATCCAGTCGAAGGTGCGATTGAAAGCTTCCTGAGTTGGCGTGTTCTCGTGCGGTGCTTGGCTAGAAGATTCGGCCGCATCTTCTGTCTCGATTGGTGCGTCGAGGTATTTCACGTTTGGGAACCTGATGGAGGTTTTTTTGTCAACACATAGATTTTAATATGTACAAGGTCATCGAGGTGGACACCACCACCACGCGCAGAGTACTGATCAACCTGAGAGGAAACAGTATTTCCAAAGGAATACATGATGACGAGAAAATCATACGTTTTTGTCAGCGTGGATCCCCCAGCCACGAAATTTCGCATGGAGGAGGTTGCGTTGACAATGTGTGTGAACTGAAATTCCTGTGTGACCACCTGCTCATTCTGTGCGGTAAAGGTGTCGGTGACCCACAACAAATCAGGTATAATTTCGGAAACGATCCCCAGCTGCTGCGGCTGTTCTACTTGTTGTTGTAACAAACCAGGTTGATTCGACGCCGTCTTTGATAAGCGCCCTGCAGAGGCAGGAGATGTTGCAGTAGGGGCTCCCCCTGGAGCTCCGCTGACCCGACCACGAACTACTACGGGGCTCATGGAGGAAGACCAGGACGACCTGCGTCACAGTCGCGCGTTAGGATTTCAAGTTTTGTTGGTCTTCGAGCGTCGATGCAGCCGTGTTGTAGCCGAAAGGCCGCAGCATGCTGCAGTTGGTTGCAGTTGGCTGGGCAGTGGTCGTGTGATCGTGGGAGGCGGAGGTACGAAAACGAAAATTATCTTTCCACAAGAGGAGGAGGAGGAGGAAACCTCTATAGTCAGCTTCTAACTACTAAGCTACTCTCTTTTTTAAGCTAACCATAGGACATGTTTCTGAGGACGACTAGCCGAGCTGGGGATAGGTTTTTACATCGTGGACAAATAGCCCTGCCAGGTGTACAAAACCTAGGACTTCAGTGCCACGACCCATGAAGATCTCCTTTTCTCCGCTCAAGGCCCGTCCCCGAGTCTGTACTGCAAACGCCCCCATGGTGTCGCTGGCCGCTTGAATGTAGTGGCTCGCTGGTTCCGCGGTAGTTGTATCTGCCAGCTGTACGTCTTCACTTGATGTCGTAATTTCCCGGTGGAGAGACGACGCAACATACTAGCTGCTACACCGTGATGCGTGTCAAACCACAGCGAGAGAGCTCGGGGCGCAAAGTTTGGATTTGTGGCGCTGACCACAGCCGGTTGGTGACCACTAGGCGGTTGGAAACCGCTAGGGCCCGTACCCGGAGTGCCCAGACGCCACGCCTGTTCGACGAGAAGAAGTGAGCCACTACTGACGAATGGTTGTGAGGGCGAAGCAACAGAGTTACCTGTCGGCTGAAGCCCGCAGTGGAGGATTCCCAATCCCTCCACCGTCGACATGAAGTAGTGCATCATGATGATATTATCAATACGTCGCCCGCTCCGACGTAGTACAGAAAGCTCCCCCGTCGTCGATCCTCGGCTGACCCTCCCCCGTCGTTGGCGGCAGTCCTTCTGTCGCGCGTGTAGGCGCGTCCACGTCCGACTTCGTTAAGAAGGGCGTTGTTCTCGAGCAAGCTGGCTGCGCTGATGCACAAAGAAAGATAGCCTGTGTGGAATCAAAGGAATAACCGGGGGAACGGAAAAAGATCGACGAGGACAAGCCCACGGGTTCCCCTCACTGACATGTCCTGCGCCCTCGTCCCTAAGAAAAACGCAGGCCCTTGTCGCGTCGCTCGATCACGGCACGAAGGTCACGACCACGGCGGGCGCGGGTGGAGTGTATAATTAATCTATGCGCTATTTCTATATTCATTGGCCCGGTTTCTATACTTTCTTTTTTACTCTTACTAGGCTATTGCTATCCGAGGCCGTTTATCTAACTCCTTGGCGGGGCTACGCGGTGACCCGTGCTGCGGTGGCGCTGTCAGCGAGAGGGACGACGTCATTATTTTGTTTCTTGTATTTTCGACCGACGTATTTGTTTCCTAAAGGGGCGAGGCTCACCGGGGTCATTAGGCTCGCTATGGCCAACCTGCAGCATCCAGGGACCCTCACGAGGCCCTCGCCCCCATGGTTTTTGGTTGAATTTCAGGTAGTATCCGTTCTCAACAACGACGAAGAACAACGACGAAGAGAACAACGACTTTCTTCAATATCATTCAAGAATAAAAAACACTTGCTCCTCTTCGCACATTCTTATGTCTGTGAGTACGTGTAGTGTTTTTGCTCGCCCTGGTACATTTTCATGGAGTAGCAGCCCCTTTTCTGATTCTAAAATAGCTCTTGGTTAGAAGTTCGATCTGACCTAAATAGTAACTCGTAACTCTGTGCCTGAATTATCTTTCCACAAGATGAAGCGACGGCGCAAGAACGCAGCCAAGCACTTTGCCCCTAGCCAAGAAATTTTATCGAAACACACATCACAAGAAGTCGAAAGCTCTTTATTCTGTAGTAGTCCTGAGTAATGAATAAGTATGCTTATCTCAAATTGAATAGATTGAGCAATCGCGTTCTTGTATCAATTGCAGTAGTTTTTACTAGTAAGTACCATGACCATCGACGAAACGACGTCACGAATGTCAACTTTTCGAAGATGAGGACGACACAGACGACAGAACAAGCGACGACGCTCAGGTGCTGGCGCCCTCGGTTTCTTCCAACGACAACGAAAGCGATAGGGTTCCGACGACAGCACATGGGCTTCTAATCCGTTGTTCTAGTGAGGACACAGAGCCAGACAAACACACAGGGTCGTCGTCCTTACTGGGCTGACGAGTATGTACCGCGTGCCAGTGCAAGTTGCTTCCCCATCCGAAACCAATCGAAAAAGAACGAGCACATAACTACCCAGGTTGTAGAAACAAATCGACAGGGGAAAGGGACTTGATCCTTCGCCGAGTCGAAGTTTTTTTTTTTGTTTTTCACGATCACGGTGACGGCACCAGCACGACGAAAATATAGATTAAGAAATCCTTCAAAATCTCCAAAAGGACTGCTTACGTACCGCAGCATTTGTACCGTACGGAACTCTTCTTCACGAAGATGCAGCGAACAAATTAAAAATGCCGTTCCAACTTGAGACGCAAGAAGAACTAGCGCCACAAAGTTCTACTTGCTGGCGCGGTAGAGCTTTCTGTTCCAGGGTGCGGCGCTTTGCTGTTTAAACCTATTGAAAGTAAATCATAGTGTACAGTTTCATTTTCGTAAAAAATCTTCAGCATCAAGGCGCATCGAAGTGTACTATTCTCGATGATTTCTTTTGTCATAGTTAGTCGTGCGAATTGAAATTTCTTTGAATTGCGGACAATTATGCAAGAGTGTCCCCGACCCTCCTCCTGTCACTGCTCCATCTTTTCCCGTGTCGAGGCAAAATTGCGATTGCCACCGACAACATGGGGCTGATGTTGCAACTACATGATCCTCTAGTCATCTAAATCTTGCTGTCCCTGGCTGGTTGTGGTTCACTTTTCTTTGCATTTGCTTCCGCGGTGACAATCGAAATATCGTAGACAAAACTGTAAAGCAGCATGGATACTTTTTCAATCGTCGCGAAACTTAATTTCATTCACAGTATCTGAGCGCAGGTCTCGCTAGGAGGTCAGTACTAGGTTGAAACTGCTATCGAATTCGTTCATCGCGGCTTTAAGTATCTGCTCGTCTTCAAACAGAAACAATAACAATCATTTTTCATGGGAAGTAGAATACTTAAACGTTCGTAGTACTTTATTTTTTGGTGCATGTTCATTTTCCTTCGCGACTTAATTTTCGTTCTTCATTCGCATTTTCTTCTGTGAGAGTTGTAAGAGTAAATCTAAATCGTCTAAAAAGTGGTCAACTACAGGATAAGTTAATTTCAGTTGAGTAAAAACGACGTTCTTGCGCTTGTACGAAAAGTGGGTGCATCAAGAATTGATTAGAAAACAAAACTGGACTAGACTACAAGGTCCCCTCAGCATCGACGGACTCGACGTAGCCATTATACAGTGCTGTGAAAAGTGTAAATTCGAATCGTTTTTTCATCTTTCTAACAGAAACAGTAACATATGAGTAATATTTTCCTAGAATAGTTTTTTTACTTTTTAACGTCATCAACAAGATCCTCACCGTCCTCAGTCCTCTCTACAGCTACTTCTCGTGTAGTAGCTTGTTGCGCCTCTTCTTGAAGATTCAGTCGCGATTTTTACAACTAGACCGTCACTTGCAGCTCGATTTCCGTCTCACCGAGTTGCAGGAAAGAAGGGGCTATGCGCTGCAAATGTATCTGGGCCTGGAAGAATGCAGAAATTTGCGATACATATTTTCCATTACAGACTGATGAGGTCCACCGGATGAATGCAGACCTAGCATGACAGATTGTTCTGCGAAGTTGTCCTTGTCTCCATCATGTTCATGCCTGATAATATTCTGCATGAGAAACAAGTCCTTTCCACCTTGAGTAAAATCGCGCAACTACTTTTGGTAGTCATGCAACACAGATTCTTGTTCTGTGAGTGTCGTGACGTACAGGATGCATCACAAGTTTGCATTCTTGTTCCAGCCTGAGACGTATTTGCACTGGATAGCCTGCGACGTCGTTGTTGTGGACGTCGTCCCGTAGAGGTGCTCGTGCATGTTCTCCGTAAACACCACACAATTCTGCACGACGAACCTGCAGTTTGGAGAGATGAATCCGTAGTATTCATACATCTGAGGATTCGACTAGATTCATATTTCATTTCAAGTCCACGTACCACCACCATCTATAATCATGCCAATGCAGCTCGTGTAGGCCACTGCATATAATTCTCATGTGGATAGAAAAAGGCACAGCTATTAAAGGCACCAAAATAAAGCGCACCTCGTTCAAGAACAGGACTAGCACGAAAAAAGTTCCTTATGAATTCTCCCAAGTACTACTAGAATCCACCCTGTCAGAGAATGACTACAAGTAGAAGTACCGCTCCGGTTGCTTCTGGCCCTCCAGGTTGTAATAGTGGTCGTCCGTCATCGCTTGCACCACCACCGAGCAGCATTCGGCATCGCAAGAAAAAACCGTTTCACTGTGGTAAACACAACTTCCTGTCTAAGCATAACACTTTGCAATACAGCACCTGGCTTAGTAGCTTTTAGGATTTTTATTTAGCGTTTTTTCTCATTTTGTGCACGTTGCCGTTGCGTGTTTAATAATATTCCCCTTACTGAATTAGTCTTAGTGGGCCGGCATGGCAATATCGTTGCTCTTCGCCACGGATGATCATGTAGAGCAACAAACTTGAAGATGTGACGCACTATCAAAGAAAGCGGCTCAGCAAAACACTTTTTTCCTACGATATTCCGCCAGATCGATGTAGTCATCCATAGTTCCGTATCACAAGCAAAAGATCAATCTGACACTGGAAACTTACTTGTGAAGTTGTAACAAATACAAATGCACGACAACTTGTTTTCGCATGTGCAAACCAATGTGAATCTGAATGTCGCTGCAAAAATAATACTAATACAAAGCGTTGATCCATTTCCTTTTTGAGTACGTTTCCAGAGGACTCAGATCATATTACATTTGCAGTGGATATTCCGCCAACCATGTAGGCCTAGTATTTGTAGTTTATTTCTTTGTATATGGATAGTATCAACACCGCTCTGCCAGGCTATTCAAGTTTGCATGAAGACAAAGCTGGAGAATGTATGACAATTCTTGTTCCGGCCCGAAACGAAGATGCAGCTGGCAAAGAACATCAACATCTTTTCTATCACCAGTACCTCTCTGCTTTTTGGAATGTGCCAGTCCTTGGGTTCGTCACTGTAGGCCTTGTTAAACAACGGATGGTTCTGACCCTATCCTGTGCAAAAGTATCGTACTCGTATTGGTGCAATCATGCATTACAATCTTTTTCTTAAGGGCAATCCGCATTACAAATTTTATTTCTCATGCTGAGAAAATTAAAATTTGTAATGCATTTATACGAGTACGATACTTTTGCAAAGCATAGACCCCGCGAGTCCGCAACGATCAGCCGTAGCGTTTGACGCCGAGTTTCCTGCCCAGCGCTTAGTTGCATAAAGGCGCCGCCGCCGCCGACAGTGCCGCCGCTACCGCCGCCGCCACCACTACCGGGCTGGCTGCTGATATGAGGGTGCATAAAAACTCCCCCTTCCCCTCCTTCGTACAAATGCAAAATGTCAACTTTCATCCCCTTTGCCACGATTTCTCCATGTTGACACATTCCAGAAACCCAAAGGTCACAGCCAGGCAGTGATTACAGTCTGGGCACCAGATGCTTGTCATGCACAGACTCTATGATCTACTAACGCGAACTTCCGTGGTGTTCCTGTTGCTTGTCATGTATGATTTTCAATAGTTCGGGGAAAGGAACGGGAAGTCCTCGTTGTGCACGCTCATACTTGTCGTCGTCGGGATTCGTGTACAGCGTTCCAATATGAAGTGAAGATTATACGTCTGGGTTGTAATATGGTACTGCAGACAGCTATGGGAAGATAGGCGTCCGCTGCGTTCACCTTCCGTACCACCTTGACCTTCTGACGGGCATGCGCATGCGAATGGAAATGGATTACGCTGCGTTTCTACAACATAACAAAAGAGCTGCGCCTTTCCGCAACATGCATGACATGGTTTCGTTTTGGGGTCAAACACAAACCCTGTATGACGTTGATGCCACGCAAGCATGCTAATCTTCCAGTACCAGTAGACCGAGACATATACGAAAATTTGCGTTTCATATCCCGCGGCCGCCCCAATGAACGGATATGCATTACAAACTTGTCTGGGTCTGGAACAACGCAGCCATTTACTTTGCAGTTTTTGCATCTGCGAGACGGGTTGGAGTGCACGCAAAGCATGACAATAAATTCTGCGAAGAAGGTCTTTCCATGCCCAGCTTGCATCAGAAATGCCCTGTCCTGGACACAAGAATCTCGAGTCTTCTCCGGACTACGCAAGGCAGATTCAGATTTTTGCCTATTCCAGAATCTGCATCACAAGTTGCTGGCTGCAGCCTTCCAGACCCAGACATATTTGCAACGCATAACGGATTCTCCCAGACGATGGGAGTGGCGGTGAATTCAAACGCCTATGCATTGCAAAAGTATGATCGCACTAGTAGACACTGGATAGAATAAAATTTTTCTGAAAGGAAAAATGAAATTTGTGAAGATGCTGCTGTGCCTAAAAAGCGAGATAATTTGTCATGCGTGTTCACTGAAATTGAGATTCCGACGAGTGCGATTATACTTTTCCAATGCATAACGCCCCGCGCAACACGATTTCGTCATCGTCCTCGAAGTCGGTCAATCCCCGCTCCTCCTTGTTGGATAAGGTGTCGGGGTTCTCTTTTTTACTTTGTCCAATCTGCTTGGGGGTCTTTCGATATGCAAGAAAATGCTAAAACTGTTTCACTGTAAACTTGTGATGCAGGAGAAGATGACGCAGCACGGACCATGAACTTTTGGGCATGAATGTTGTAGTTTTCCCCGCCTGAGAGGCTCGGATGGAACATCAGCATTTTGATTTTCTATATTCTTTCGTAAATATATAATGTAAAACAAACTTGATGTGTTATAGACCTTGCAAAACTCTTACAGTGCAACATTCTTTCCGTACGATATCAAATCCTTGAAGTGTAGTGGTCGCGCCGTTGGGAAGAAGTACCCCAAAATGAGGCTCTCAAGCGTTACATTCTGAAGATGTTGCATGACCTTTTGTGATGCAACAAGAATGCCAAAAGCGACAGGAGGGCGAGGGAGGGAGCTTCTTGATGCACCTCTCGCATTACTACATACAAGTTTGGCACAGGTTTCCACGCTGTTTTGCCCCTTCGAAGATTTGTCATGCGCAGTAGCTTGATCGTCTCGAAGATGCTGATCGACATCACATGGCACTTTTGAAGACGCATCCTAAATCCTGCAACAGCTGAGAATGTAACGTTTGAGCATTTTTATCCCATACCCACGTCCTTGCTGTTCTTATCAGCCACGCCGTGCAGTACATCGCGTCGGAGCGGCAAACCGTTCAGATGGTCCAACGATGGCCAGTGGAAAAACCCGACCCGGTCCTTGCACTCGCTGGCCCGCACCTTGTTGACGGGCATTTTTTTGAAGCTTTGCTCCCGCTGGTCGCTGTCCACCGTTCCTCCCACTTGGATATCCTGTTCGACGTTGTGTTGCTTATTCTTGTATATGGCGGCGCGAGCTCATTTTTTTTGAGAGTTTTTTTTTTTTTCATATGCCATTTAAATGCCTAGCAATATGTGCATTTACTGGCCCCATTACTATAGCTAAAAGCGGAAGGCCCGCCTGCGAAATGCAGACGGAGCCCGATACTGCGGTAGCCGGCGGGGTGGTAAAGCAGGAAGCTGAGGCGCGGACCCGTCTCGGAGCGGTGCGCGAACGTGAAACCGCCAGCACCCATGGCCGCAAAGTTGTGGCGACGCTATGGCAATAGGGCGGCGAGACCACAAACGGGGCGCAACCCGCGCGCAGGCTGTGGCGCGTGGTCGCCGACATTCGGCCGACGAGGGGGCCCACGCAGGCAGCGAAAGCCCAAAGGGCGTGAAGGTCACGCTTGGGCGTTTGGCAGGCGGTGGCGATGGCGAGCTGTTTCGGGCGGTAGTCAATAAAAGCAAACAGCCGCCCGCCTCGCAACACAATCACGGTCGCCGGCCCTGGGGTGTCGGGGCCAGATGGTGGCGGAGGGCCCGGGGTGCGCATGCCAAAAAAATAGGGGCGCAAGGGCGCGTCGCGCAGTGCCCTCGCCCCTGATTGTTTGGCTGCGGGGCGGATTTGGGGTCTGCGAAAGAACTACCAAGCGCCAACAAGGCCGCTGTCCCCGTGGCGGGCGGAGTTTCGTGATTCGGCGCGCGCAGCGATGCAGAGGCCGCTAGGATCAGAAACAATCCCGGGGCGGGTATAGAGTAAGCGCAAGGGGCCCCGGGGTCGATCCGAAAACCCGCCGCGCCCCGTGCCGTCGCCGAAGCACGCCGGAGAGAATGCGGGCCCTGCGAAGCAAAAATGGTAGGGCCGTGCTGGCAAGCGGGCCCGGGCGGGTGTGTCGCTCTGCTTAGGCAGGGAAGCGCGGGTTTTGCTGTATTCGCAAGGGCCTGGCATTGTCCTGCCGCGCCCGGCCGGCCGCTTCCTATGCCCGCCCGCCGGTGCGCAAGGCCGGCGGCGCTCACACACTTAGGGAGCCCACTACGCCGCGCCGCGACGCCTTTCCTTGGGGGCCTCTGTCTTTGAGGGGCATCCTCCCACTTGGATATCCTGTTCGCCGTTGTGTTGCTTATTCTTGTACATTGTGTTCTTGTAACTACATTCTACTAGTTGTAGGTCTCGTCTTCAAACAAAAAAGTTTGTTATTTTCGTTCCGTGGTGTTTCTCATTGCAAAGCGCAGCACATCCTCATTCATCTCGTTGGATACACTCATGCTCAGGTGAACACGATGAAGAAGTGTAGTGAAGATCGATGGTACTACTACTTAGACTTACGTTTACATAACAAGAAACTTTTTATACAGCATTACATAGTGATTGTGATTAAGCTTTATCTTACCCCGTCTTTCACCGTCTTGTCCGGTTTGCAGGCTGGGAACATGACGTGCTTGCTATCAAAATGAAAATTCGCCCCTCCCAATATCGAATCGGAAATCTGTGGAACGCGGGATCATTCGTGTTGTACACGGATCAGCTCTGCCTTGCAGTAAAGGACTGCAGGCAGATGCAAAGCCCGAATAGTGCCTTTTTGTTGTAGGTGCCTAGCAATGCAGAACTATCCTCTGAATGCCATACTACAGCATTATGAAATTCTCTTAGAATGCAGCGGAGTCTCTGGGTTTATTCTTGCCTTCTTGCAATAATGATTCTCATTCTGTGGTCCTAAATCAGCATCAAAAATTTTCAGAAGTATCCCTTTTCAGTATGGGGAGGGGGGACTTTCCTTTACGATACTTGCGCTTGGGCGACAGCGACTTGCTAGTATCGGAATCGCTGTCGGGGCTCTATCCTGTGTAAAAACGTCCCCACCTCCCCCCAGGGCTGTCATGCAATTTTGCATGCCGAAACTGTGCATCATGCGCAGCCGCATGCGGACCATTTTCTCACACTGTCTGGGACTTTCTTTGTCATGCTCTAATCAGGATGAGAACTAGGAGTTAGATTTGATTTGTGATGTGGCTTGCTCACTATATTAGCCAGCCACAAGAACTATACACTCGGGCGAGACCACCCAAACCACGTGTCATGCGCACCAGCAAAACCTTCTTGTTGATTTGTGTTGCAAAGTCACCATCTTGACTCTGGGAAGTAGATGGGACGTAGTTTTAACACAGGGTAGACTCATACCCTGGTACATGAAGTCCGCAATCACGTCGTCGAGCTGCGTGATGCAGTGTATGCCGTGCAAAAGCAATCTATCATGTAGGCGCACTAGCGGTGACGGCATGACAACGTTTTTCAGAGTCAAAGCTAGGCTAGATCATGTCAACATCATGCGCCGGAATCTGTTCATTATACGCAAGATAGTAGATGAGTAGATGCATCTATATGTATTTCACGCATGTTGAGCTGGTGTGCGATTCATTAGCATTACTACGTAGCGGCGATGCTTTTGCGGATGATACAGTACACGTAGGAACAACACAGGTCGTCACACGAGGTGCCAGCCTCGGTGTCGGTGCCCCTCATTCTGTGAAAAAACGTACCAACCACATGATATTTCTCATGTTCATCAAAATCTTGGGAAGCTAACAAGGATCGTCGGGCAACAACATCGCTGTCACTTTACAACGCTGCAGCTGGACGAAACGGTAGCCATTTTAATTTTTCTCCTCCTCGACAAAGAAGAAGAACTCTAGTAGGCGGCATAAAAATTTCAGCGGCAAAGTGATCTTCACTATAATCGAGAGACAGTCAGGAGCACAGAAAGCTCCTATGACACCGGCTCCAGGATCATGAGCATCGCACATTTGTTGCAGTTCTTGCCAATGCAAAGTACTAAACCGGGTCGGTACGTTTTTGCTTCGGTGGATACCGCATTTTTTGTCTGCATCTAGTGTGTACTTCAGGTCGTGGCTGCCATATCAAATGTAAAAATGTCTGGGTCTGGAAGAATGCGCGATTTGTCATGCTTCTCTGGCATGACTCTTAAATCTGTCATGCAGGTTACCCAAGAGCCCCAATTTCCTGTCATGCAAAAACGCAGTTTGTCATGCAGAATAGGCAACACCTAGAAGCTCAGAAACTTGTCATGCTGAGCCAGCACTTATGGCTTCCGCATGATACGCCACCCAGCATCACAAGTTTCCAGACCCAGACATTTTTACATTTGATATGCCACCTTTATCGACGATCCCCTTCTCGTTGATTTTCAGCCCAACGAGTGTGCAGGGATGCTTGTGACAGTATGGAAGACTCGTCTCAAACTTTACTACATTGGTCGCCGTTACTTACATGATTTTGCCAGAATCCAAGACTAGCAAAAAGCGAACTGCATGGACCTCGGGCTTGCGCTTGCGCGTCCTCGTGCATCACAGATTAGGCACGGATTCGAATGCAGCTATTCAGGGCGTCGAGAGCTTGCCATGCGGAGTAACTTGATCGTGTGGAGGGTGATAGCAAATTTGCAACATCAACATGTTGACAAGTAATGTATTGCAGTAAACAATATCAAGGTAACGCTCGAGAGTCTCATAAACAGGTTTTGGCGTTTTTCTCCTGCTCAACCAAGGACCGGATCTGGCTATACACTGCAAACATATCAGGGTCTGGAAGAACCTTCTATAGACTAGCCTCTCCAGTACCAAGATGCAGATGGGAGACGGTAATGGTAACAGACTGCACGTCGCAGCAAATAAGCATGAAAAATGTTATGCACAGATTCAGGAGTGATTCGAAAACGAAATGGTGCGCAATACAGGTAGTTTCTTGTTCTTTTATTCTTCCAGACCCAACCACGTTTGCAGTTCATACTGCCCCGAGAGAGACAAATCTTTCTGCTCCTGCTTGACCAAGTCGGGCATGCCGTTGTCGAGCGCCGTCGCCGTATGGGTGTGTCAGGATCGAAATCGTCAACGTTGAAATAATTTCTCACGCATAAATTGCAAGGCATGAAGTGCCTCTCTTGCAGGGACGGCAAGTGAGGCCGACTGTCAGCCTGTTTGGGGTCTGGTGCGCTAGAGCTGCTAAAGTAGCAGGACAAAAGACGCCTTCTGTCCCTGAACGGCATGACAAACTGGATTTAGATGGTGCCGAAATTTGTCATGCGCCGCTTGAAAACTGGGCTTCCAACTGGTATCGATTTTAATTTTATGCATTACAAGTTATTTCAACTTTGTCGATTTCGATCCTGACAATCCCATACTCCGCGTCGCCATCGTAGTGTTTTTGGCCCTTGACGACATTAGTCACATTTGAAAAGACATCATCATCCGTCACGGTTGCTTGCTGTTGTGCCGGCGCTTTCGCATTACCGGGTGAAGGAGCTGGACCTGGACCTGGAGCTGTTTGTTCTAGTAGAGCGGTCGGTCGTAGTTCCGGCGCCAGTCGTATGCATTGCAAATACGTCTAGGTCTGGAAGGATGCCTGCGAGGTGTGTCATGTATATTTATTTAGTACATGACCCATGATGTCTGTGATGCATGCCTGAGTAATATCACAGATTTTTTGAAGGCGGTTTCATGCCTCTTCCGCCGGAGAACCAACTTCGTCTCCAAGTAGAAAAAAGAACAGCCTGACTCTTCTTGCTGCTCATGCAATACAGATTTTTTTAGATTCCAAAGGTAGCATCACAAGTTCCATCCTTCGAGACCCAGACATATCTGCATTCCATAAGCCGTGCGTGATCGTCGTTTTCCCCGAAGACCTCGAAGTCCGGGACGAAATTTGCTATCCACTGCAAATTATGCATTGCAAAAGTATCGTACTCGTACTCATTGCAGTTATGCATTACAAATCTAGTTGCTAAGGTAAATCAGCATTACAAATTTAATTTGTAATGCTGTATGGCGGGAGCAAAGTGATATTTTTGAAAATAATAAAATTTTGATCGATGGGTATTTAGGCTTTTGCATTTAGCACACTGTAAAACCATCTATAAAAGGCGCCAATTAACTATATGATTAAGCTAGCTAGCTAAGGAAGGTCCGGCGGAGCGGCATCAGCACGGAGGAAGGGCGGCCCGGTCGGTTACGGCTGTGGGCACAGCCGTGGAGCAGCAGGTCGTGGAAGACGATGTCGAAGGGCCGGCCCCGGACCTTCCTTAGCTAGCTACTTTAACATGGTGCCTAGCTATGCATATCATAAAAATGTAATTAGGTAGTCCCATCGTAGTATGCATTTTTACCCTTTGTTGAAGTTCCGGGACCCCGATTATGATTGGGCTTGAAAGAAAACCGAAATATTTCCAACGCAGGACAAAAGTTTGGGGGCGGGCCGAAAAGAAATTGCGCGCAAGCCTCACACACGAGCAACAGTATGGCTTGAATGTGACTAGCGGGCTTCTCGTGCTTCAGGCCTGGAAGAAAACACAAGCAACCACATGCGAAATCCTTGAAAGTCGCGCGCTCCGTGCGTTTTCGACAACGACTGTCCCCAATCCGCACGCTATCACGTGTTCGACTCATGCTAAAGCGGGAATTTTGCAAAATGTGAAAAATCGATTTTTCAAAAAAAAAATTTCAAAGGAATTCCAAAAAAATTCCAAAAAAATTTTCGGCGAGCGACAAACTCTTCAATTTCCGCCCGTGTTTGACGCATTTTTTGCGATGGGTATGAAAGTGGGTAATTTTTCCGAGCTTTTTTGGGGGTGGCAAAAAGTAAATCAGAAAACCTGTGGGCGGGCCATGTTATTGCCTGCAAAGCCCGCCCTGTGGCGCATTTCTGAAGAAATGCTGCGCTACAATGTCTAGCGACGCCCCACCCAGAAAGGAGGTGGAGCCCGATGTCTTCGCGCCTAGGTCAAATTCGCAGGCCGACGCTAATCATAGAAAACGGGGCCAATTGTGGCCGATCGGCTAACGCCTCAAGATGTGGCCCAATAAGGTCGCCCGGCGCGAAGGCGCTGGAAAAAATTCAACTTGGAAAATTTTTTTCGTTTTCTTTCCGAGAATCTGCCCTCATCATCCGGAGCCTCAACCTTTGGTTAAAATTTTATTATTTTCAAAAATATCACTTTGCTCCCGCCATATGCTGAGCCAATTTGTATTGCGATTTACACTAGTACGATACTTTTGCACAGCATACAAATATCTCTAGGTCTGGAACGTTGTGATGCATCTCAGTGAATAGAAAACACACTGCAAGTTTTATGCACCGCGAAGCATGACAGATTTACCCGTGTCCCCGTGTTGCGTAATATTCCGCATGAAAAAAATGAAATCACACAGCGTTTTTGCATGACAGACAAGAGGAGTTCTTGCTGGCCACGCAATACAGAGGACCTGAGTGGGATCATGCCAGACTACCATGGCAAACTTTTACTTTGCATCCTTCCAGATATATTTGCAATGCATATTTGCTGCCGCGAAGCGAACCTGCGTCGGGAGGAAAAGTAGCATGCCGACGCTCGTGGCGAAAATCGTACGGAGCGACGCGGTATGAACTGCAAAAGTATCGTACTTGTTTGTATTGCACTCATGCACGACTACAAATTTTTTTCTTAAGGGAAATCCGCATTACAGTTTTTATTTCCCATGCTGAGGAAATTTGTATATGCAATTTATACGAATACGATACTTTTGCAGTTCATACGCGGAGAGAAAGAAGGAATTCCTGCTCGAGGATGAAGATGTTGATGCTGAGCAGGTGCTGCCCGCCGTCGCTGGTGTTGAACAAGCACAAGCACAAGGACGGCAGAAACTCATTTTTTCTTCAGCGCCAGAAGATGGAGATGCCATGTTCTTGACGGATGCAGCACGACCATCACCATGTCGTTTGCGGCCCGCATGATGTTGCCCGGCTGCTTTGTTCAAATTCAGAAATGATGTTTGTGATCCACTTGTTCTACAACTACTGGCTGTGCCTGCTGCGCTCCTAGTAGTTGTACCAAAGAGTGCTTTCCCTTTGGCTTTCCTCTTCTCCGTACTACTTTGTGTTGTATCTGCTAGTTGCGGTTCAGCCATACTTCGTCCTGCCCTCTGTTGACCCACCTTGTTTACAACTGCGCAATTGTAGCTGCTTGTTCCAGCTAGAGATGATGGCGCCGATGTCGGTCGCGGCTCCGCCATTCTTGCAGTAGTTTTCCGTGGTAGTTCTAGTTGTGACGACGTCAATCTGCTTGTCGTACTACAAGCTGCCGAAGGAGGACCAGCGACTGGTGCAGAAAAAGAAGCGGAAGCCGGTCCAGAACTACCTTCTTCTCGGTCACTACTTACTGTTGTAGTCATTTTTGCAGCCGCAGTAGCAATGGAACACGAACAACGAGAACTAGTACTACGGAACGCCGTAGTTGCACCAGGAGCCGTTGTTGCGCCACAGCTAGACTTCCCACATTGCGTCCTCAGGTAGGTCGTGCACAGCTCTCCTCGCTGTTCGTGTAGTCGTGTTGATGATGTCGTCGTGGTCACACTCGTCGTCGTGCAAGAACCTCTTCTACTAGCTAGTTCGTGAAGCAGCTGCACACCATCGCCGAGCTCCTCTTGTTCCCGTGCGGCTCGTCCTTCGTGGCGTTTGATTCTGGAAGAGGAAGTCAACGACAAAGATAATTTAGTTCCTGTTGCTGGAGCTGCAACACTGCTGTTTTCCTGGTTGTTCTTCGTATCGACAAGAGAGCGGTTATTTTTCTGAAGCGAAAAAGTATCGCAGCTATTGTTCGTCTCAGCTTCCTCCCACCGCGGTAAAAATGTAGTTGTCATTCCTCGTGGGAGCGATGTGCTGGTTGAGAACAGCCTTCCCGCTTCCGAATAGGCGGAAGGACGTCGGACGTCGCGGCCCACGTGGCTGCTAGTAGGGTTGGGAGAGCAGCTACACGCTGACATGGTGATATTCGGAAATATTGAAAATGCAGGGCGAGCTCGCGATGGTGTAAAAACCTGCTGATCAGTAATGTGTGCCCCGCCTCGGTTCGAAGAAGTTCTTACGAAGATAGTACAGCCTCCGACTTTCTACTCATATTGCTGCTGCTTTTCTCCTGGACAATTGACCGCGAAGTTGATGCTGTAGACCAGCACGACCAGCGATGCTTCTTCTTGGAAAGGCCGGCCCAGCAGATGACCGGGGTGTTGGTGATGTGTACTCTCAAAACCGCAGTAGACTACACGTTGGAAGCCTGGTTGTCGACGTCTTGCACGACAGACGTCGCGCCGGACTCTGTCGGAGGTGTCACGATTGTCCTTTTCAAATTAAGACTTTAGTTGTTTCCCTTCTAGTACGCTCAAAAAAATCGGGTTTCCTTGTAGAACCTGCGATAGATTGAAGAGCTGACTTGTTTTTGAGTTTTTTCTATCTTCGTGTCGTGTTCAGTATGCCTACACCCCGACTGTCCATCGCCAGAAAGTAAATAAACCCTGCGACTTTTTCCGCTCAACGACCACCACTCAAGACGTCGCTCTGCGTCCCCGTTCTAGTACTGACGATTTTGACGTTAGAGCGACGAAATATGCTAAAATGTAGTAGAAGTAAGTAGTAGAGTACCTCTAATTACTTAAGCAGTGCAGTGGACCAATTTCCCCCCGATACGTTCCGCATCCGCGCCTCTCTTCCTCGACATCAACAGGTTGTACTGGTGTACAATAGTCAGGCGTTTTCATGATCATCGTCGCGACCGACGATTTGATTTAGCTTGCTTTTCGATACGAATATATACTCATACTCCAAGAAACGGCAAACAGAAACAGAGCCTGCATGCAAACGTGGTCGATGCGAGTGGTATAATCATTCATGGCTCGATAACGAGAACGGCCCCAACAATGCGAAATATCGGAAGATACCTTTACCTGCGATGCTAGAAGAGCCCTATCAGATTCTATTATTAGTTGCGAAGCAACGAGGTGGGCACGAAAATGAACAAGGCAGGCACCACAATTCTTGCGTATACAAATTGAATCGGGATAAGCAGGCGGCTGGGGCTGTTTTAGCACAAAACGTCGGCCCACCAAAACCAAGACGTGGCGGCTCCTACATATTCTACCAGAATAACAATTATTGTAGATTTGAAATTGTCAACAAACATTGGTGTACAGCAGGTTTTGGTTTTCTTCATTCGAAAAAGAGAAGGGCATTTGCTTCGCATTTTTTTCCTAATTTTATCAAGAAGAGTGACAGCGGCAGACGAGCACAAAACTTTTAGTTTTCCAATCAACTGCAAGGAGAAGGAAGACCTCGCTCTACGCAGCTTCGCTTGTCTCTGTTAGGTGTCTTTTGAGAAAAAAATAGGATGTAAAATAGGGCTCCAAGATAAAACGGTTCGGTTCGAGGTTCGTACAATTTTTAATGATGATTTTCTGAAGCCGCAGCGAGGGAAGATAACAGTAGTTGTAATGTATTTCATTTGATGGGCTGAGATTCCATTCTGTGTGCAGAGATAGAGAATCTCAGTGAGTAATAAATATTAAAGCTAATCGTATATACTATCCTGCGAAGAAACATATAAAATTTCAATGTGCGCTTTCGCTTTGTTCTGAAATGAATTTTCTTGGAGTTGTTGTGATATGCGTTTTGAAATGAATTTTCTTGGAGTTGTGCTTGTCGTGTTCGCAACAGTAAATGAATTACTGCACGACGGTAGCTGAAAGTGCAAAGAGTCTTTGATATCGATATAAAACACAGAATAAACTGCTTTTCCTTCTCTACTTGTTATTCTTAAATCAGTTACAGTTGTTTTATTTTGGTTTTCCTTCTGGCCATCTTATAATCGTTTCTTCTCATGATCCTGTCATGAATGCACCTGAGACGACCCCCATCTGCACCCATCGGATGGTAGGTCGGAGGACATATGCATTGCAAAAGCATCGTACAACTATGTAGAAATCGCATTACAATAAATTCGGCCAGCATGACAAATGGAATTTGTCATGCTTTTTTGCCTTGGGGTCGAAATTTGTAATGCATCATGACAACTGCGATTACTACGAGTGCGATTCTTTTGCACAGGATAGGACAACATCCACGACAACATTCCTCGTCGTTCGTCCTTACCTTTCCAACGTATTATGCAAGCATCAGGATTGAAATCGTCAAAGTCGAAATTATAATTTCTCATGCATAAATTGCAAGGCATGAACTGCCTCTCTTGCAGGGATGGCAAGGGAGGCCCATTGGCAGCCTGTTTGGGGTCTGCGGTAGAGCTGCTAAAGTAGCATGACAGAAGACGCCCTGTGTCCCGAGACAACGCGACAAACTGAATTCAGACGGTGCCGAAATTTGTCATGAACCGCTTCGAAATTGGGCTTCCAACTGGTATCGATTTTAATATGCGTGACAAACTATTTAAAATTTGACGATTTCAATCCTGACATTGCCATACCCTGTAGTGTTTGTGTTTCCGTAGAGATGCTCGCGTATCAAATGTAAAAATGTCTGGGTCTGGAAACTTGTGATGCTGGGCGGCGTCTCATGATGAGGCCAGAAATGCTGGCTCAGCATCACAAGTTTCTGAGCTTCCAGGTGTTGCCTATTGTGCATGACAAACTGCGTTTCTGCATCACAGAAAAATGGAGCTCTTGGGTAACTTGCATGACAGATTTAAGAGTCATGCCAGACAAGCATGACAACCATGCATTCTTCCAGACCCAGACATTTTTACATTTGATATCGTGCATGTTGGCCGCAAACACGACACAGTTCCGGGAAATGAACCTGCGAGTCGTTTATGTAACAATATTAAAGCTGACCAATTCATTCATCTTTTCCTCAGTCACTTATGCTTTGACTTTGTTTTTGGATGCGTTCTACTTTTAAAGCAAGCTGCCTTCCATCACAGCACAGCACAAAATGTCTTGTCAGGTAAGTTCGATTGATGCTGCTCTTTGCCAAGATGATCGTGTACATCAATTTTGTAATATTTCCACACAAATACATAAGTACCTCTCCGTAATTTCCTGGTACTGGTTGAAAAAGTTCGCTCCTGTGTAGGCTTGGCTCGTATGAAAACGAAAAACCCTATACCGCTTATCCGGCCGCGAAGCATTCAGATTCTTTGCCGGAATCATGCAGATTCAAGCCAAGATATGAACCATTTTTGCGGCAAGGCAAGCTGGGATGATGAACAATAATTACTCATCTTTTTCGCAGGCATGCAACTCGAGCAGCGGTTGCAGCTTCGCAAAATAGCGATAAAGCTTTTCGCTTTTGTAAATCACGAACGAGCAGCACTGCTTGAGCGGAATCCCGAGCTTCTGCGAGTCACCCAGGATAACGTTGGCCTGAATAAGAATTATATTTTTGATCAAAAAATTCGTCGTGATTCAGCAGTCTATTACTTAGATGAATAGAATCGGTGAACAGGAGAACAAGGTGAATCAATTTTTGCGCATTGATCAAAATTGCAGCATACGAATGTAGTCAACGATCCACCTGCAAACCCTGACATCACAGTTCCAGTTCTTACCTCCCGGCTGTACGGAATTTTCCAGTCGCTCAGGTTTTCCGAGTACGCAGCTTTATGGGATTGCCAAAGGTTTGAAATCCACAAAGTTGAAACGATTTGCAATCATACATACTACCGCGGAACAAATTCAATTCATTTCAACTTTGTCGATGTGCTGAAGCCTGACACTCCCATAAGCATCGAGACGAGGGTAGTTGTGCCCGCGTGAGTCTGATACGATGAGCCGCAGCCTGTTGTCGGTGTCGGCCACGACACCGCCTTGGACGCCCGTCGTGGAGGTAGGGGAGTTGCCACCAGATGGAATGAGGTTGATGTCACCAATGAGCTTCGTATACATGGCAAAGGTATCGCACTCGTAGTAACTGTAGGCATGCGTTACAAATCCTATTCTATAAAGTTAAACTAAAGTTAAATCGGCATTACAAATAAAATTGCGTCTGTCATGCTGAGCAAATTTGTTATGGGGCTTACACACTAGTACGATACTTTTGCAATGCATAGTTGTGGTCCTTCACCTTCAACAACGGATCCTCCCACGCGTAGTTCGTCGAGGTGATGGTGTAGGAGCCGCGGATATCCACAGTAAATTTTCCGTACACGACGTATTTCCCCTACACGACGTACAAATGCAGTCTCTGCATGACAAAATCGGGGCTCGATCCTAGTTTAGCATCACAAGCGTCACGCTCCAAATTGGTGTAGTTTGTGATGCATCTTGTACATGGACGGGAAATTTGTATTGCATAGCGAAGCGCGAAGTCGAAATTGATGTCGTCACTGGTCTCACTTCCTGTCGCCTTTTCTACGATCTCCTTCTTCACATCTGGGTCGAGATTACCGTCCTTCAAGTCGTTGTTGTAGTTCAGCGGCTGCGCTATGCATTGCAAATATGTCTGGGTCCTCTGGTGTGTGATGCTGCATTTGGATTCCAAAAAAATCTGCATTGCATGAGCAGCAAAAGCATATCTAATTTTGGCTACGCCGCGGGGGCATTTGTTACGCGGAATAGGCATCAAGAAGCCCTCAAGAAGTCTGTGATGCTACGGCACGCATCGCAGACATCATGGCTCACGCAAAAGGTGCGTGACAAGTCTCAGAGTCTTCCAGACCCAGACATATTTGCATTTGATATGCGCGCGCGGCAGCTGGTTCTTTACTGCGCTGACTCCATCTTTGGTGTCCAGACTTCGCAGGTACTGCTTGGATTCCGTTCCGTATCGCGGGAAAAAAACTGTGTAGGTGACCGTTTGTAATGCAAGAACGCATGCAACACAGTTTTATACACCTGTGATACTGGCCACCCATGAAAGCTCCTGTTATTTTCAGGTGTGTTTTCACGTAAGTAGTAGCTACACATGAACGGTTTATTTCTCTGTCATGACAACATGCACACCAAATTTGTCTTCATGCTGTCACACTCCAAGATAGCTAGACTTAACACAGATTTTTTTCATCTTGGATATTCCGATCACGGGATAGTGGAAAAACCCGGTGCGGTGGTAGCAATCATGTGGTGAAACAATATCAAGAACAAAAATCCCACCTCCCCATATCAAAACGGAAATCTGTGACGCAGATTTTTTGTCTTTGTGGTTGTCATGCTACAAGCGAAGAGATGCGGACTGTAGTGCTGGATGGCGTTCTTGGAAGGCCTTGCATCTTCAGCATGACAGTGCCTGGAAGTGGGAAACAGCGTGAAAAATTGCCTGCAAATAACGAGGCCACAGCTGTGGCTCATCTTGGCCTTCTAGCAATACAAGTCGATTTGTGTACTTACTCAAATACAGCATCACAAGTTTCGTTTTCGATATGGGGACGGACGGGGAATTTTTCCTTTTGATAAACAAAGTTCTGCAGCTCCATAAAGCGATTAGA